ACCGTGATAGAATTTAGTAATACTACTAATACACATGAATGGTTATCAAAATAAAATTTAAATACATGAGTGATAATTATATGGATTTTGGATAGATAGCTAGGAATAAAATCATTGAACATGAGTGTGTTCGTAAGAGACATGCTCTAGACTCAATGTTCTGATCTGCAATAGACTATTTATTTATATTTATACTTGCCGGCTGCTTGGGCATACAAGTTAGTTGCAAGTATGCAGTTTATTATAAGGCGGAATACGATTTAATTGAGATATAGTGGTTATAAGTTATTAAAATCAGTTAAGCCTATGGGTCATATTACGAAGTGATGTGGTGCTGCAAGATGTATTTAGCTAAATAAGTTTTTACAAGATGATTAATAGTGAGTGATGCTCATGTGATTATCAGGGAGTACATAAGTTGTAACCAGGGGGAGTACACTCCCAACTCATGTCTATGATAATGGCTTGAACCTTAGTCAGTGTTGGGGTAAATTCGACATTGATGTTTTCAGTTTGCAGGAGATTTGCTCGACTGCTTATACTGATTATTTGCATGCATGATTGTGTCGCTAAACCTCCAATTAGACTGACAAGGTTTTGAGATATTTACTGAATGAGCAACTGATAGAGAAACATACTGTAATCATCCGTAGTGAATGAAGATAAAAGAAAAAACAACACTAGTGATAATTATAAGTCAATTTGTTGACCGATTTCGTTAATAGTTTTATTAATTTTATCAGTCATATTACGTGATTGTCAAGTTATGACAATGCTTTATGACGATATCCTGAAACTATTAAATTTAACTAGTTATAGTGTTGATTAAGGATTAGTCAGTAGAAAAATAGTATTGTTGCTTTAGGTGATTCGAAATCATCAGAAACTTATAACGTTAAAGAATCCGAGACGCCTAATTTAATTATAAATTTCAATTTAGAAATATTCGTTTAGTGTTAATTCTAGTAGGCTACGGAGTTTTGATTTTAAACATTTGTTTAGCCAACAGCTACCTGGGGATTTAGTTATTTTACTAGTGCAGTTGATAGTACCTAAATTTTTAATCTTATTATCTAAGCTATGTTCGCATTTTAGGCTGCTAATATGATAAACCAATCCATAAACCCAAATACGATTAGCAACAACGACTATGATGGGTTTATTGATAAATGTTAAAGGCGATTCAGATGATTTCTAAATTCAAAAGATATGAAGATATAGTAAAACGTATGTACGGGCCAGGTTAACATGCAGGTTGTTGACGTATATAAAAATTTAAAAATAATGAACATCACCAGAGAAATAATTTTAAAGCTAAGACTGCTTATGAAACTTCAGGCAGGAATATGACGCGTTATAAACATTACGTACGAAGTTACTGCATTTAGCCTAGGGACACTTACAAATATGTGTCAAAAGCAACTGGAAAATATATACGTGTTAAGTACAAAAAAAATCATCCAGTAAAATAGTTGAACTCGCCTGGATTATTTTTGAAAATTAGATTATTCAGTGGACGACATATATAACGCCATTCGTGATTAGTAATGATCCAAGAGTATCCAGAATAAAACATGCAGTATGGCAAATAATTCTATGGTGCTTGATGCTGTTGACGTTTTTGCCACTCGCTCGGATCAGAACAACCGAATGAATCCAGATAACTGTGTGTGCCATTGAATGAGTAATCTAAAATGAACTTATGATTGCAGAAAACTTATAGCTGGAACTCACCGTATGTTTCTGGAGAAGTGTCATCCTTGTTGTTTGGCAATCGAACTCGAGAATATGAAATTAGGCAGGCAGTGGTCGGAAGAAAAGATATTACAGGATAGTGTATAGTTTAAAACAGGATGAGGTAATAAGATAAGGAACACTGAATATTAGATCCAGATAACTATTTAGTCCTTGATCGCATTGTTAGTCAATGTATATTTACGCTATTTACAGGTCATATTTGCTAGAGCTTGATGTTTAAACAAGACTATGTCGCTGAAGCATGTAAATGCTATTACAGCTTGTTAACAAATCATCAAAGCTAATTAGTTAATATAGACGACCAGTTTTTATTATCGATTGAGCTAGTTTGTCATGAGGACTAATCAATATAACATTACGATAATGCATGTGAGCATTAATCAGAGGACTATTGGAATACAGGGTTAACATAAATATAAAATCGATCGAGAAAGTTGAAGTGGAAATAAGGATTAGTAATATTAGGTTGCGTTTCTTTAGTTGGGCTCACCAATGTGGAACTATGGTCTACTATGATATTAGTACTGCTCTAATAATAGACCTAATCCTGAAATTGTAGATTTGTCATGATATAACTGCCTAATCTATAAGATCTTACGTGGAAGTCACACCATCGACTACACCAACTCACCGTATCGTAACAACTACCAATACATAATGAAGAACGAGCTTAGGCTAGAGAAAGAACAATATATTTAATATGAATAGAAAATATACAGTAACACTGAGATGGACCACGCCTGCATGGACGAGCCATGCCACTCGATCAACTCCAGTCCATTCAATTCATTATTCGCGCCTTCTCCATTGTTAGGTATTTATCCGCGTTAAATATTGAATATCTATTTTCTGAGTAGTCTCGTGTTCACAACTTTGTGGATTGTGTGGCTATTGTCCAATGCCACTACAAGTACCAGTCAAAAAAGCAAATAAATTATACTGAAAGTGTAAATTATCTCAAACGTTACAGCTTATTTTACGTAACCAAAACGACGTGTACTAATTAGCAAAGAAAATGATAAGAAATAGATACCTGAGAATAACAAAAAGTGTTCTCAACAAGATGAAATGAAGTATCTGTCTATAAAGATATTAAACGTTTCCAACAGGAAGTCAAACAACTGGAATGGTCAACCGCTCAAATCCGCAACCCTAAATCTTGTCAAACATTGTTAATGATCAGGGATTATATATCAACCGAATCAAATAATAAATGCAAATCCCAACCAAAGTCAAAACAATGAAAATGCTTAATAAAAAGAATGCGGAACAATATAAATGATTAAAAATTAAAAGACAAGGCAGGGTATAAGTTCAAAAAAATAACGATGTTATACAGTAAAACGCTTTGAAGTGATGTTCTCGACTATCCTTTCTGTTACAGTGTAAATGTATATCCATGACATTAGAAACTGAGAGATGTTCCATTTCTAATGTATTCTCTACAGGAATTTCAATCTCTGTTCAATACTCTTAAGCATTGTAGCATTTGTACAGAATGGAAGCGGTATTGTACGTACTTAACGGAGCTATTCCAGTTTGAATACTACACATTCTTGTGAGTTTGCTGTATTCGAAGTAGTATTTAAGCAGGAATGAGAAAGAGTTTCCCCTCTGATTCTGTAGCCTATCACTAGTGCAAAATGTGACCAACTTCTGTTTTTCACTCATCATACACGCGTCTTGGTTAAATCTGTTCGTGTCAAGTTCCTCTGATGGGTGCTTCGGCGTATCACGGCATTAACGAAGACGCTAGTTTAAGTATTTCGTTAAAGCTGTACACCCAAATTTAAATATTGGCAATCAGGTTAACAACAATGATAAACATCATATCACTCTTGACATCGCCAAATAATAATTCTCAAAAACTTAATTAAAGTGGGACAACTGAACAAATCTCACAATTCAGAAGGATCCAATTTTTCATTGCTTGATTTGGTCAGGTGATGGACAACGAGGTAATGACATACTGTCATGTTTAGAAGTAACTGAATTGTTGCACAAACTAGGAATTACAGATATAACGCAATTTAGACCAAGAAGATCTTGGTGATCACGAACGGACGTATTGCACTTGGAATCCGAAATCAAGGAGCCATCAAGTACAAAAGAATCAATAGTTCATAGGAACACTGCAAATATCTCATTACATTTATTTTACCTCCAGACCCAAAATGGAGAATGTCAGTATCTGAAGTATAATGAGGAACAATCGTTTGACCGGTCATACTTAACACGTCCTTTAGTGATCATATTTCTGTGGTTCAAACTCAAATGTACAGAAGGATATAGAGGAGAAATACATAAATACACACCAGTAATAAAAATAGGTTAGGTTAATCTGCTCTTATTGGAAGAACTCACTTACCCACCTGTGATTACTGATTCCTCCAAATTTAGACAAAACTCAATTACGTGTTTCCATAAGACGAACACTCAACCTCGTTACCAAATGTTTGAAAAAGAAAGTAAAGGATTTCCAAACTCATATTATCCACGGACATCAAATCACAAACACCTTGAACGTTTTCCAAACTTTTGCCAATTAACCATAACATGTGAACATGACCCCATCATGTTAAGGTAACCTCGTCTGTAAAAATTAACCTAAATATTCTGAAGAACAAAGATCCGTATACTATGACCACGCTGAAAGGAGGGAACTTCTCAAAAAGGTCTTTGATGTTTCATCAAGTTCTTACATATTTTCATCAGACAGACGGGTGACTGCATTGTAACATATAACAAGAAATTTTTGAAGTAACGAAATTTTTGTGTAGATGATTTCTTTGTTGATTAAAATGATCCGCAAACGTAACATAGGTATAAGAGAAGTTTTCACAAGAAGCTTCTAGATAACGTAAGCCGAACTCTCATTCCTCGTTCCCCAACGTATCGGTAAGAACGTGATGGTAAATTGCTTCCATAAAATTTGTCACTTAATAATCAATATCCTACTGGTTTCAGGTTGAAGTAATAGTCCAAACGATTCTTCAGAATGTGAGCGAGACTGTTCCACATTTTGATGGCCTCTAAGCGTAGTAACTGTAATATGACGATATCAGAACAGTTAGTTTACTAGACTCCCATATCTTCTTATTTTACATTTCTACGCTGACAGCATATATAGACCTCATAAGATTTTACTTAAAGATCTAAAAAGGTTTCCAAACTCAAATGCAGCATTTGTACGAAGATATTATTAGTATATTGGTAATAGAAAGTGCTGACACTTGTTTTAAATGTTACCTACGACTCGCCGCTGACTATGGATTTCCCCTGAAAGGAAAAAAAAGAAATGATATCTTTATCTGTATGTTGAGAGGCCGATTATTTATCTATACCGATAGCAAAGAAAAGATCTGCTTTCGACATTTATTCGTCCAGTTGCTTCATTCAATGAAAGCGATGTCACATGTAGAGCGGAAAAGAATAATTTCGATATTTGTAGAGTTTTGAAACTACTTACCGATCCTCATACAGTAAGACTCTTTGTTTCAAATTGATTTTTTTAGGATTTTATGTATGAAAGGCACAAAATAGCGTTGAGGAATTTGAGAACTGCAAATTCGCTTGGTGTTGTATCCTTTGATTACATTGGTGTTTTGACTTTGCTTTTACCCAATTTATAGTATACACTCGTTTTCAAGTATTTCTAGAAACCGTTAGATTATTCTAAATAGTCCATTTGAAAGGTAAGGTCTTAAATATACTGATGATGACGATAACTACAGTTATCATTGAATAAAAGGTTTACTTTCATCTTACCTTTGAAAAGTACAAAAGCCTTTTAGATTTCTGTTTTGATTTGTGGTGCAGTGTCCCTGTCCATCCTAACTTCCGTAGGATGACTCTGAAAAATACAGCATCCTAGACGAGAATGTCAGTAGTCAGCTGATATATTATTGGCTCTGGCCCTATCAACATTATTAGGAGTCCTCTGTAGCTAAGTTGAAGTTTATGCTTATGATGTTGTTCAAAAGAACGGTGAAAGATCTACCACCAAACAACCAACTAAGAGAACAAAACTTTATCAAAATAACTCTTGATGTTTAACTCTGTAGTCTACAGGTTTCACCACCGACAATGGGAATCTGCGGGTTGAGGTCAGATGTGTTATTTTTAGAACTAATAATTTGAAACCCTCCTTTTTTGTTATGGGCAGTCAATATCACTACAAAAGTCGACTATCTAAACTAAATACGTTAAACCTATCTTACTCTGCCACGTTCGACAAAATGAGCCCATTCTCCGATCTTTAATTTTATTACTTTTGGTCTGATTGCCGTGAAAAATAATCGACCAGCACGATGAGACTCTAGTAGATCAGACATTTGATCCAACTAGGTCATTAGGATATACAGATCGAGTAGCAGTTAAAATTCAATAGAATTAAGGATATGAGTTCAGAACTGCTTGCAAAGCATCATATAATTATTACACCTATACCCCATAACGTCAGGCTCTAAAATTATAATACCTATCAAACAATATACGTTTACTTGTTAAAAGATCCCACACACTAATACAGTTCTGTTCTTCAACATTGAGAAGAAACACACTTATGATTTGTTCCTCTTCTGAAGATCTGTACCTATATAGCTTGATCGATAATTTGATCTCATTTTTATTGAAATGAAGTTTTACTTTACCTAAAAAAATCACTGACTGTATACATAATTGCCACGTTTAACAATTTCACGAACAAAAGTTTCCCTATCAATATGGGGTTGTGGAGTTTGTCAAGTTTTTGATTGAGATCATGAATCAATTGATGTTAGACCACCAATGAAAATCTGTAAGCACTGGACTGCCGTTTCGTTCAAGTATTGAACTCTTTAATAGTGTGCATTCATGATGATACTCGCAGGATTCGGACACAGAACTTTCGGTTTCGCGCGCGAACTCCTAACCTCTAGACCACTGAGCCACCATCCAACGGTGTTAATGTCTAACTACGATCGACCCATGAATGGCTGCGCAACCATTGTCTGAGGTGGATACCTGTCTCTACCCGACAAGGATTAAACCTCACTGATCACGGCTTCTTAACGGAACTGCAAGAAGTCATCTTGCACTCAGTCACTAGTGAACATATGACAATTATAATCAGCACTAAGTTGTGAGGCTTGTTCAGTGGTCTAGAGGTTTAGCGTTTGCCCATGAGACTGAAGTGTTATAACTTGTGAACCTGCGTGCTATGTATATTGGATAACGCAGTGATACCGTCAGTCAGAGAACGACGAATTGTTTATCGAATCAGTGACGCATAAAACACATGCGAGCAGCCTAGAGTCCTGATTGGTCCCGCTTCCAGTCTAGCCCAGCCAGTTTAGTCCAGAACACCAGTCTCAGCCTCTGTAATATGAATCATTTATTTCAAATATACTCGGTTTATATATCAACCAGACAGACCACAACGTACCATAATATATGTAACAACATTTGCACAATATTTAGCCAAAAGTGGCTGTGAATTAATAGACAGGGAATAATCCAAGAACTGAAAATCGCATAATAACAGTTCATAGGTTAAAATAAAGCTTATGATAAGGGAAACATGAATATAAATAGTTTAGTTATTTAACAATTATACGATAAGAATATACCTTTAGCGTTAGTCCATGAAAGGATCCCAAAGTTACCATCCATTATGTTTCTCGGGTCCTAACACGAAGGTCCTGGGTTTGAATCCTGTGTGTGGGATCGTAGAAGTACACCGCTTAGGAGTCCTGTAATAAAACGAACCGGGCGCTCAATGCTCCAAGGTTTACAATGTTGATCTAGTTTCAATCGATTCATGATCCAAATCAAACGTTTTTTCTTGTTTTTCATGATGAATGTTTTGTGTTGTTTAGACATTCAATATATTGATGATCATCAAATATCTGTGTTTTTCTCATTGGTTATAAAATTTTAAATGATCATTGCTAATTTCTTTTTAACTTACTAAACTATTTTTAAAAAAAACAAATAATTTAGAATATACATGATCTTGTACATTATCAAAATATTTTAAAAGTATGCGCTGAACGTGTTCTACATTTACCGGATGTTTATCATCAAATATTTCTTGAATTAATTCAATTATGCGGCAAATCATTTTTGAAAATTTTTAGTTCAGATGAAATGAATTATTTCAATGTAGCAGTAGATTTTATAAATCATTTTGGTTTGTTCACTATTTATGTAACTAAATGATTTTTGTCTAATAGGATATCTTTTACAATTGAAAAATGTTGAGATCTGTACAAGTGTTTGTTGTTCATTGGAACAGTTCTATTTTAAAGGAAGTCAATTAAAGGATATACCTGAAGGTAGATAGTTATTTAAATATTTGTAGATAGATAATAATTATTATTATAGGCTTGTTCCAGTCTATGGTGTTAATCTGTCTTATTTTAGTTGAGACCATGAATTGGTCAATGTAAGACTATCACCGGATGATCGTTTCGTCCTAGTATGGAATTCTTTAACAGTGTTTATCCACTATCAAATCACCAAGGGCTGATTCAGGGACTTTTGATCTCCCGTACAAACTTTTAACCTGTCAACTGTTAATCTGAAATCTAGTAGTGAACGCGTTTAACTTTAACCAATTCACGATATTGTGTGACCGCTTCAAACTAGGCGTTGTTGAGCTTTGTTGCTCACGGCTTCTCATTAGAACTTAGAATTGTTGGACAAGTTACTGACCGAATAGAATAGAAGACAGTTGCGCAATATCATGGATTGTTTGGAGTTGGACCTACACGTCATCGGATTTCAGCTCAGTTTAACCATTTTCTCACGAGAACAAAGACCCTTAATCTGATTCGTAGTGGATAGGTCGTTGGTCAGATACCATCAGTAACAACCTACCAGGAAAGCGAACAAACCAGCTTCCAAATAAAGAAGAAATTAAGAAAAGACGTTGAAGGTGGGTAAGAAAAACGTTGCAAAAATTACCAAACCGCATCACGAAGCAAGCGCTAACTTAGAACCCTGAGAGGAAAAGAAAGAGAGTAACGCTGAAGAACACACTACATCGGGAATTCGGAGAAGACATGAAAAGAATTAATAGCAACCGGAAATAAATGGAAAGGATCGTTTATGAGAGAGTTCGATGGAAAATGCTTGTTGGTGGCCTATGCTTATTCACGAAGAGTGACAGGCGTAGTTAAATAAGCAAGGCAAGGTAACGAACGCTTACTCCTGGAGAGTCTCGTTGTGAAACGAAACGACCGTCTAGTGCTCCTGGGTTTTCGGCGTTGTGCAACTTATATTGACTTGTGATTTCAATAAAATTCAGCAATCTTTACAACCTCGTACAGATAAAACTACGTTCATGTTTCTGATACCATTTGCACTAACAATAAACATCCGTGAAGCCCTTAATGATGGTCATGATATCACACAAACGTAAGCTGAAGATCGTCTGGTCATACTGTAAGTCACAACGACCTTAGATTCTTCAAAAGAAAAACACTAGTTCAACCAATGACAGTAGTTCGATGATAGACAATTATCATCTGTGATTTAGTTTTTTGGTACTGAAATGGAACCGTATTTAAGTAGAACTTCTCCATTTCTGTTCTGTTAAACATATTATGACTATAAGATGTGGTCATCGTTTTTCTAATCGATTGTAATCGGTAACATATTTTTACGTTTCGAAAAATAAAAATGCCACTTGGTCAATCATAGTTTGGGACCAAACTGTAAACATCTTTCCACCAAACGTCCATAATTGTTATATACTTTCTTTTGACTGGTCTCAAAATGAATTGATTGAAGCTCCATAAGAAACATCTGGTTGATGAAATTTTAAAAATTTCGTGAGGTGAACTCACGGAGGAAAATGGATAGGGTACTTGAATCTAAAATTTTGAACATTGGGATGTCTAGCCATTGCCCAGCGCAGCGGTTTAACAGTAAAGTTCTTACTACGAGAATTTTACGCTTTAAGTTCAATCATTATACGAGTCAGAAATCCAAACTATTGAAAAAAACCTCACGCCAGGTCGAAATTGCTTTCCAGTGTTTCTCAGCTTTCATTGGTTACTTAACTAAAGTCAGAAATAATATACATATACTGTTTATTAAGTAAATCGCTTTCATTTTCCTAAATATTCTCATGTACTCACCAGTGACTAGCTTCATGAGAAAATTCTCGGAGTTCTGGTGAGAAGCCGTGACCAGTGGAGCTAATCCGTGTCGGGTAGAAACAAGTGTTTATCTCAGTACAATGGATGATGGTCGCGCAATTTCGTGGATTGGTTGATGATAGACATTAACACCATTGGATGCCAGCCGGCTCAGTGGTCTAGTTCGTTAAGCGCCTGGCGCGAGACTGACAGGTCCTGGGTTCGAATCTCGTGGGGTGCTGGATCGTGGATGTGCGCTGCTGAGTCTCATACTAGGACGACACCGCCTTCCAGTGCTTCCAGGTTTTCCATGGTGGTCTAGCTTCAATTGACTCATGATTTCAATCAAAAACTTAACAATCTTCACAAACCCTAAACTGATCAATCCAATTAATTTATCTAACATCGGTCTCTTTCCTTATTTTAGAGCGTCAAGTACAACCAACAACAAAAAAGTTCAATCAGAAAGTTGTTTGTCATAGTGATATCATTGAATCTTTATTAAAAGTAAGTCACATTGATTACACTGATTTGCATTTTCTACACAATACTATTCCTTTATCTCCGAACATTAGTGTTACTGTGAAATAGATCAATCTGATGCTCTTTGTTTAACTATACTGATAATAATGGATAAACTAACTAAACATTCCGGTAAATTGATGCTTTTCTATCTACAAAATATAATAATCATAATAGAAATTTGTTCAAATAAAATTATATTAAAATTAGGCGCTCAATTCATTTGTAATCGATTAGTATTACCAATTATATCAAATGAATTCTTATCAAGATCAATCTCTATACTTTGGAATTTAATTGAGAATACAACAAGCGATACAATGAAAATAGAATGGATGAAACAAATTGGAAGTGAAGTAAGTGAATCTATCATTTCATTTTGTTTTTAGTTACTCATTCGAAGGGAATGGTGAATTTCCATGACTTTTGTTTTAGGCAGAGAAAAGCTTTAAAAAGATAATGCAAGTGGATACTGTAGAATATATGTATACAGAGATTAGGATATCAGTAGTATGGATAGTTAACTTGACCCACATTATGTAGTGCAAACTTACTACTATCTTTGGAAACGTTTATATAAACCAAAAGCTTTGATGAGCTAATAATGAGTTAATCATTGAAGAAACGTGGAAACTATCCTCAAGTATGCTTCATATGCATGTATTCAAATATGGGTATCAAAGATAAATACATTTCAGTGATATAAATCATGGCATAGACGAGCGCTGTTACTAGTATGTTGTACATGTATTATAGAAAGCGTAGGCAGAACCACACCTCCCACAAATGCATAAAGGCATAAAATTTTTTGCTCACAAGTATACGATACATGCATACATAAAATGCGTAAACCCAAGGCCCATACACTCCATAGTATACACATAGGTAAAGATGCTAACAACCCAGGGCCGTAAGCCCAGCAGCATTTTCCCTGAAAAATACCGAATTTTCAAGCTTGTAATATGAGCAAGTTGTCATAAATGATATGCTTACTTTACACTCTTATAAGAAGCAGGTTTAATGTCGACCTTTTTGCATTGGTTACGGTACAGTTTGAAATCTACACTTTGATACTTCTAATATGCAATAATCAATGAATAAATAAATGCAAAATGATTAAATGTACCAAATATAATGCACTTCTAAAGTACAAAAACAAACGTTATACATTATTATTGAAGTATATTCAATGAGTTACTATGCCAAGTATCAAATGATCATAATTTCCAACGAAATATAAATCTAAATATATAAAAATAATTTCAGTAGTTGAAATCATCAGCCAATTAAAGCTAGACAACCATGGAAAACCCGGAAGCACTCATTGACCGTTTCTTCTTATTTCGAGACTCCTGAGCAGTGAGCATACATGACGGCATCCAAGAAATTCACGAAATCGAGCGACACATCCACCATCGTCTTCAGAGAGTTACTATCTCACAACATACCTTTATTTATTATTTATTTATTTGAACACATATATATTGGTACAGGAGTGCGCCAAACATATATGCGCCACACAATTTCAGTTCATTAATTGCGTGTGGGCTGCGTTACTGCCCGGGTGCCCAGACCGAAGCAGGTGGTTATCTTAGGGGGCCACACCCCGAGCCTTTGACCTAAAGGTCTAACCCACAAGGCAGTGGAGCATCGTAGGGAGATGCAGTCCCATGGTAGCCGGTGTCCGAAAATTGGTTCATACGCCATTTGTTCCCTCAGGATAATGGTGCCCCTGTGCACCATAGATTTGGAATCCGGTAAAAGCGCCGGACATTCGCTTTTCGTCCTCTCATTTTCGTAAACAACACCCCCGCCACGAGAAGGCAGTGAGTAGGACCTCCCTGGCAGAGGCTGTATACGCGCGGCCGTGTGAGAGTATTTCGAGAGGGAGGGCGAACCCACCCCGCTCTCGGCCATACCTGGCTGAACTCCACTGGTTAGTGCTTCACACTAGAACTCCACGAAATACTTCGTGTAGCCAGTCACTACTGAGCGTACGATGACCAGTATCAGAAGGGGTTTGTGGATATTCTAGTAATTTGAATAGTTGAGATCATGAATCAATGCTAGCTAAACCACTGTGGCATAAAGAGTAAAATTTTAATAATATGATATGAGATGATATGTTAAATGTTTTAGATGATATTGAAATCTCAATGATTGAACTACTAGATAGAAGCTATTTTATTTAATTTACAGAGTAATGAACTTTAAATCTCTCTTAGGAAGTAAAAGTTCTGCTTACAATTCAAACTCATTTAGTTACATTCTCGACGATAATCCAATTGGTGTCACCATCTTGAAACATCGATTTTGGTGGCTTGGACATGTTCTACGAATGTACTCCCAGAGAATTCCTCGTCGTGCATTGTTTTCTGACTCTGGGACTGGCTGGAAAAAGTGGAAAGGTTATCAGTGCAACACAGTGACTAGAGACGTTATCAGATACGGGTCATAATAGAAGTCAATTGCGATCCTGCTGTAACCTTCTTTTACTTTCTTCATAAAAAGTGGTTGTACCTTCCTTAACTGAAAGAATTCTTCTGGCTGTACCTTTCTGTTTCCCCCATTATTATTATTATTATTATTATTATTATTATTATTATTATTACTACACTACCATACACTAATCTGTGGTCGTTATTGTTCTTTTTTTGCTTACACGCAACTTACCTTCTTTTTACTCTTCCCATTCTTATTGTTTTGCGTGAAGCATATATATCTGGTGCTCCCTTGTACCAACATTTATGTGTCCAAATAAATGAATAAAATAGAGTAATTTACAGAAATGAATATATAAAGCTTGTAATTCAGGACTTGCAATAGACGATAGCGGATGGCGGCGCAATTTCATGAATTGGTTGAAGTTAGACAATAACACCGTTAGATGTTGGCTCAGTGCTCTAGAGTCTAAGCACTTGCACGCGATACCGATAGGTCTTGCATTCGAATTCTGCGAGCGACATCATGGATGCGCACTGCCGAGGAATCCCATACTAAAACGAAACGGCCGTCCAGTGATTCCAGGTCTTCCATAATGGTCTAGCTTCAATTAACTCATGAATTCAACTATTATATTTTTCATTGAGTCGTAAATCGCATTTCCTATCCCTCATACTTTGTTAAATCACTTGCATTGATTAAAGATGATCACCTTCTGAATACAGAATAAAGCTTTACGTGATGAGCCCATTTGTGTTTTAGTAATCCACTGTTGATGCGTCCATACAGAGATCTCAGTATGTGAAAACAAATCAGGGACAGAAAAGCGAATTCTTTGAAAACCTGAAACGAATTGGAATTTAGTTGACTAACCTAAATGAATTGAGTCGGCATTCAATCATCAAAGTTGGAATTGTACAGCCAAACGTTGACATAGTCATTTTAACTGTTAAGTGTATTGAGCCCAACTTCTGATTGGACTATAAATCTTTATTGATGATGAATCCTATACTAAGATAAAATATCTGTCCATTTTTGCTAAACTACCTATCTCTGGTTTCAGTCAATTCTTAATATCTCACAAACATACCCCATGTTTCATATTATGAAATTCACTAATCTTTATAACTCTTCTCCATAAACCAAATATCCTCGACGGATGTTAACCATGATGATAGTTAAGTTCATGGAATTCTGTTAATTCTTAACTAACTATCTACCATTTATCAAATTATCAAATTGTAATATATACCTATCATATGAAAGGTAATGATATCTTTATGCTCTCATATTTAAGACTGGAGCTGTAGGATAACTGTTGGAAATGAATTCAAGTAAATGAAAAGTCATGAAGATATTACAAAACGATCTATAGAAATGTCAATCAGTTGTCTAAAACTTGACTGTTCGTGTTACAGATACTATTCAATCGTCTCAGACTTCATTGTTCTTGTATTACCATATCAATTGCTTTCTGTTCCTGTTCTTTCCTTCTCTATCTTCTTGAACAAATGCTGCCAGATATTCTATTTTGGGTTAGTGTTATATACTACTTATGTTGATATAAGTAGCACACCACAATATCACTAAACTTATGAGGGAAGTTACTTATTCAGTAAATAAAGAAAACTGAAAATTATTCTTAAAAACCCATTTGTTTCATTGCATCTGTGAGTCCCGATATATAAAAATATTTTGTAGAAATACAAAATTTGTAGAACCATTTTTGAGGATGATCACCATTTCTTATCAGAAGGGACTTGTGAATGCTCACTGCACAGGAGTCCCATACTAGGACGAAACAGCAGTCCGGTGCTTCCAGGTTTTCCATGGTGATCTAGTTTTACTTGACTCATGAATTCCACTACTATTTGTTTCATTAGTCAGTTAAAAATAACGAAGTACTACTAGTGAATTGGTGACTTTCTTTGCTTAACTGATAAATATCGATACATGCATTAAAAAAAATCCTAGTTAGAAAAATGAAATATTTATAAGCTATAGTCATCACAGATTGATCTCATTTTGGGAAATATTGGAAATCAGGTAAAAATGGACACCCTTGATTATCTTTCGAAACAGTTATTTAAGTTCATTATTATCATTGAATATACCATAAAATATGTAATACAACCAATCTAGAATGTAACTAAAGAAGTTTGAATTGTAAGTAGAACTTGCACTAGAATACGAATGGGTTCATCACCTAGAACTTTCTTCTGTGTTCAGAAGATAATCGTCTTTAATCATTGCGTTCTCATCCACTTCAATAATATCACATTCACAGATCCATTCAATAACATATTCTTGCCATTCTTCTTTATATATCAATGTATACTTCATATTATTCCTGTTGTATTTTATATTACCAAGGAATGTTTATTGAAACTTCGTGATATGTTTTTTACATTATTGGCTCAAAGTCATTCAAAACTATGCTGTCATTTACGTAATGATATATTAACAATAATATTGTTGGTTGTAAAACATGCTAATACTTATGATTTATTAAAACAAATACGTTTAATAGAATCTGGTTTAATACGTAGATTAGTACAATTATTAACATTTGATGAATGTAAGTTCTTTTTTTTTCTTTTTGTTTTACAATTTGTTAATTGTTAGAAAATTGATTGATTCATTGTTTTTAGTGGCAAAAATTATACAGGACCCCCGTTTCGTCCTCCTTTGGACTCGTCAGCTGGATGTATCTGTATCTCAAAGTTGATGTTCACTTTTGGACTCGAACCTAGTACTGTTCACTTTAAATGCCATCATGTTATCCACTTAGCTACTAAGTCCTGATAGATACTTGCATGTGTATTGGGATGAAGTTTAAATTTACTTGATATTGATTGTTCGTATCTTCTCATAGAACGAAACGCGTTTCCTGTATTCCACTGCTAGCCACTATCCATCTTTGCTTATAAAGCTTGTGACATAAGGCAAAATCGAGGTAGTCCTCACAGGAAGCACATTTGTCAATACGAGACTGATCAATTACAGGCCTAAACAACAGTGGGAAGATACAAGTAAACAACATCAAGTATAATCTCAATAGTTGAGATCATGTGTCAATTGAAGCTAGACCACGATGGAAACCTGGAAGCACTAGAAGTTAGACATTAACACATTTGGATGTCGGCTCAGTGGTCTAAGAGTTAAGCGCTCGAGGACGAGACTGGTAGGTCCTGGGTTCAAATCTCGTGGGGTGCTGGATCGTGGATGTGCACTGCTGAGTAATCCCACAATAAGACGAAACGGCTGTCCAGTGCTTCCAGGTTTTCCATGGTGGTCTAGCTTCAATTGACTCATGATTTCAATCAGTGAAATTTCTAAAATCTCCACAAAACCTTTTCAGACTTATATTAGTTGAACCGAATCAAGAAATATATGTACACACATTGATATATATGTAAACGTTTCATTTGATTATCATCATTATTAATATTGTTATTGTATGATTGTATTTCTACATTATCATTACTATGAGCTTTCAGTGGATCTACTAACCGGTGAAAAAAACAAATTAAACTAAGGAACGTGTCGGTTATTGAATTTCACAGTTTAATTAACACCATTAATTATTGTTATTCTTCAATATATTGAGATAATTTGTCTTTATGGACCAACTGACTAGGCAATTATAGATCCACATTCTTGGCTGCGATCCACATTCTACGTGTGAAGACTATTGATATTACCTTGTTGTCGAAACTTAAGTGGATATGGTGGGGTTCAAACAATCTACTTAATTTTCACAGATTGAACTCATGAGTCAGTTGAAGCTAGACCACCATGGAAAACCTGGAAGCACTGGACGGCTGTTTCATCCTAGTATGGGACTCCTCAGCAGTGCGCATCCACGACCCCGCACCACCCGGGGCTCGAGCCCAGGACCTACTGGCTTCGCGCGCGAGCACTTAACCACTAGACCATTGAGCCGGCATCCAACGGTGTTAATGTCTAACTTCAACCAATCCACGAAGTTGCGCTACCGTACACCATTGTCTTCAGTGAGTTGTTATCTCACAACAGACCTGGTTGAACTCCACTGGTAACGACTTCTCACTAGAACTCCAGAAGTGTCTCCTGAAGTCAGTCACTAGTGAGCAGGTGATTACTATTATCAGAATGTGTTTTGTGGAGATTTTTTTAGAAATTTTCACATGAGTTCAATCTGTGAAAATTTCTAAAAAAATCTCCACAAAACACATTCTGATAATAATCTACTTAATGACTGTAAATATAACGCCTTAACCAATGAGTAACAGTCACAATAAACAGTACAATATTTTCGATCGATATAGATATACGACCTCGTAAAAAAAAACTAGAGGATGACATTTTTAAAAAAATGTTAAGTATTCAGATTATTTACAAAATCGATTAATCACTAGGTGGTGATCAATGTCATGTATGTCAGGTCCTTCATAGTGCAAATCAAATCCTATCGACCAAGTTACAATATGGTCATCAGTCTAGGTGACTTAACATTGCTTGCACTATGTTGACTGGCTCCAACCACCATCTTGTATATTCATTTAAGAATAACAATAGATTACATAATCAAACTAAATTCTTCCCTTTTTATTTCAATCTTGTTTTCATTTAGTTAAATGTATGAATCCATTGTATAAAAATTTGAAATTATTACCAAATGATGAAAATTTCGATATGAAACGATTAATTCTTTCAATACTGATTGAAATATGTCATGATCCAGCGGCAATTTATGTAAGTATTATTCCATTAAATGAATCATCCATTTTTATATTTATGTTTAGTTCTAATTGTAAATAACACGATATTAACTAACAAATCAGTCAGCTAGTTAGTCAGAAAGAGGTACCTGGAATAGAAATTGGGACGGAGGTTGTTTTAGTGACCTGAGAGCGTGACCGCAGTGTTCAAGGGACAACTGCTTGAGGCCAATCAAACACGACGTTTTTGTGGTTAGTTTCAGTGTTAGCTCCATATTTGTTGGGACCTAACCACCAGAGATGGACACCCGTTGGATAAGGCGAGGTGTGAGTTTTTAGGGTCGACCTTTTCTAACCCCACCCTGCTTTGTGGGAAGGCAGCATCGCTGTTATGCTGCTTGTCTGAAGGAAACACCTTACTGACGTCACACTCCTGTACAGGTAGGAGTACGACTTGACCCTTGGACCTTGGGTTTACTGCTTTTAGTCATACCGCTCTTTAACCGACCTGTCTGGCATGGTAGGTCCTTGAGGAACGGTTGTTCCAGCTAGTATAGCTCGACTGGTTCATTACGATAGGTTGGCCCAACCACTACATCAAGGTAGCAGCAATGGTTGGGTAATTAACAACCAGGTTAAGTAATATCTGTTGAGATTTTTTATTGGGACGTGCGGTGTCCGAAATCTGACACTGATACAAAGTAGACTGTGCACTTAACCCCTAATTGATTACTTGATCGAGAAAGTGCGTTGTACTACCGAATCAGATAGACATACTCATTCATATGTATACCAGTCTATTCTTGGGAAATTGACCCATTGACCCCAATGAAATGTAGTTGACGAAAAATTGGGAATAAGTCTAATGTTTAGGCTTGATGTATCCTACTTCCAGTGTTCACATTCAAATTATAAATTTGAATCACTAATCACACTTCTAACCTTGAAGCCATTAACTACACATCATGATCTTAAAGTCTAACCATAAATACTGAATACCTCATCCGATCTGATTGTACCTAAGAAACTCTTTATTACAAATTCATGTTTAACTACATTCATTGTTTTGTTCAATCTTAGACTATGTCTACATCGGGTCTAATTAAAGGTTTATTTCAATGGATATGTCCAGTGATACCTGCAAACCCACAACAACAACAACAACAACAACAACATGAACAAATGAAATCTGACCTAAACGCCGATTCAACACAATCATCCAATGTAAATCAATCAAATAACTTAAAATCATCATATTTACCATTGAAAAATTGTAATTCCTATTCATCAGATATAAAAGATCACATTATTAATGATGATAACTACAATAGTCTTAATCAAACATTACCAGTAGAGAAGATATCTGAAAATTCAGATCAAGATATTCAACGATCAGATCTATACAATGATGAAGAGAATATGAATAGAAATGATAATTCTCAATGTAAACAAGAAATTGATTTAATACGTAAATGGCCACAAGCATATTTAGAAGAATTACATTTGTATATGCTTGATTCATTGGCTATTTTAGCTCCATATTTATTGGATGATTGTTTAAATTATGGAATTCCATCAAGATTATTGATTTTATTACAATGGTGTATAAGTCCAGGTAAGGTGAATTAGCATTCATTCAAATAGGTTGAGTAACAAACAATTAAAATAATTGAAATGGTTGAATTCTTGAGAGTAAGCGTTCACGCGCGAGACTGATAGGTCCTGTGTTTGAAACCCGCGGGTGAGATCATGGATGCACACTGTTGAGAAGACCCATACTGGGAAAAAACGGTTTTCCGTGATGATCTAGCATCAGTTGACTTATGAATTCAACTAATAAATTACATAATATCCACAAAAACCTCTTCTGATACTGATCAGCATATGCTCACTAACGACTGGTGTCAAGAGGTGTTTCATGAAGTTCTACTAAGAAGCAGTGACTAGTAGAGTTCAACCGTGTCTGTTGTAGAGGCAGTTATTCACTGAAGACAATGGTGGACGGTGGCACAATTTCGTAGATTGGTTAGACAATAACACCCTTGCATGCCAACTCAGTGATCCACAGGTTGAGCGTTTGCGCGCAAGACCGATATGTCCTGAGTTAGAAGCCAGAGAGTGGGATCATGGATGCGCACTAATGAGGAGCCCGTTACTAAGACGAAGCGTTCGTCTAGTGCTTCCAGGTTTTTCATGAAGGTATAGCTTCAATCGACTCAATAATTCAATTATTAAAATATATGATTATTATAGTTTGAATAGTTTGTACATCAAATAATTCATATTCACTGACTGATATGAGTTAATTCCTTAGAATAAGTAGGTTACAATGATTACAATGAGAGAAATGAAACATTGCCTAAATTTCACTGTTGCAGAATCCCATAATGATAACGATTAGACAGATCACCTAGATCTTAAACTTTGCTATTCAAAATAGACGTACAAGATAACATCACTAGGGTAATAAGAACAAAAAAAGTTGCTACTGAATTCGAAGAATTACAGTATGGGTTGAAAGTAGACCATTTGTCGAACGTTTCTGATTGATCATAGAGGTAAAAGGACCCCCTTTTAATACTTGCTTTTGTTGAAATATAATTTTTTATTGTTGCCCTTATTATTCCTCATCCTTTTTGATCTACTCCATACGTACATTTCTAGTTTCAACCAATTCACTATATTCCCCAACCATCTTTTAAAGTTACTGCTAGGCGTCTTCATAATCCAGTCGATTAACAAGAGAAAGATAAGAGGTGAGAGTAAGCAACCTTGCCTGACACTGGTCTTTATTTAGAAAAAGTCTGTCAACTGTCGTCCAATGATTTGTCAACATACATGAACTGTTTAATCATTATTAATATTTGTTAATTATCAGTGGTTAATCAGCACAAATCAGTTGCAAACTAAATTATTAGTATGTGGTTATGGAGATCATTAGACTATAAATCGATTGATCTTGGACCACCACTGAAAACGTGGAAGCACTGGACGACCGTTTCATCCTCTTGTGGGACTACGCAGTAGTGCGCATCCACGGTCCCCGCTTGCTCCAGTATCAAACAATAAAATTTTATTAATTATGAAAAAAACTATTAATATCATATATCAAATATATGATTATAATCAGAAAGAGGTTTTGTGTATATTATAGTGATATAATAGTTGAATTCATGAGTCAATTGAAGTTAGACCACCATGAAAAACGTGGATGCCTTCTCAGTGGTCTAGATGTTAAGCGTTCGCGCTCAAGACCGATAGGTATTAGATTCAAATCCCGTGAGCAGGATCGTAGACGCGTATTGCTAAGAAATTTCATACTAGGACGAAACAATCGTCTAGTGTTTCTACGTTTTCAATGATTGTCTAACATTAATCGGTTCATGATCTCAATCAAAAACAAACTGAATTGTTCAGTGGTAAAATCGCTTGTTGTCACGCTGAATGATACACGTTTTTATCATTTAGTTGATTCATGAATACAGACAAACATTATTAATAAATGTCAACTAATAGGATACCTTAGTTCAAGACTTCCTATTGATTGTTTCCAACAATTTACCATTAAACTGAATATTATTAATCCCAATATGCTTTATTTGAACATCATTTCCTATGAAGTAAGATAGTCAGTAATTAACTAAGTTTTATCTTTCCCTATCACATTGAAACAAAATGTAAAACACCTTGAAATTACTTAACCTCATTTCTTCTTTTATTCATAACAGAACCATTTCTTGGACAAGGCAATAGTTTCCATGGTGTTGGTGGTCGTAATAGTAAACGAGCACAATTACGTTATTCATTACGTTTAATAAGAAGTCTTGTTGAAACGAATGATGAACGTATTATTACGGTAATTTTAAAAAACAGAAACGTTATTTTTAATATTATAACGGTAAAAGTCTATGATAATACAAATGTCCTTGAGTGAACCAATTAGAATTAAGATAACACTTCAAAGATTTTCGCGCGAAATTCAAAGTCGAATGAAAGATAGGTTATATTTTATTATGAATGTGATTAAAAAGATATTTATAAAGGTGGCAACTACTGATACAACAGATAATAAGTATACATAAATTGTTACATTTTGGTTTTCTTTTCAATGAACAAATCATTCATACCATCTACATTCTGATTCGCTAGTAACCGATTTGAATTTCACAAGGTCACGCATGTTAATCCTCTCAGGATTCGAATAGTAATTACTTCAGTTGTCTGCAAGAGTCTCAGTCTGACCGACAAATGGACTGAGTCATGTCGGTAGGTGTAGACTACCTGGTTGGGGACCGCGAGATGATAGTAACCGATGGTTAGAGACCCTGACTCTTAGTGTCCTCCCGAATTCTAATCTCCTGAATCCTCCTTGTCTCTTTTTTTCTCTTTCCAAATTTATTTCACTGGATTATACTCTTTAAATAACATCTTCAAACCCTAATATTTCCGATTACTGCTTATACTCTTACTACCTCTACCACTACGGGATTTGACTCGACAACTGCATCTCTGGGCTAATGTGGTGTGGCAACTCGAACTGATGTACGTACGTACGAAGTTCTACGTTGTTACTGACTGACTGATTGACAGTCTGACGGAATTAGGTGGATTGTTGGTAATACGATATATTATTGTGAAAGATTGCTCTATGTTGGCTGTATGTCCCGTTTTAATTAAATGAGCTAAAATGAAGCCGTTAACAGTTTTAACTTTTAATGCAGGTGAACTACAATTAATGTTTTCCACACATCCAATGATCACTCCAAGGTTGAAAGATAAATTGCCCCAACTAACCACTTCGATTTGTATTTAAACATCATGTTATATTTCATTATTTCATAAATTTTATGTGGATTGAAATAACTGTTGTCATGAAATAATCTCGACCACTACGGCTGATAGCTAAGACGACTTTTTATTCGGGTTTGAAATTTTTTATCATAGTTCACAGATATGATGGGATCACCGGGTACGTAATAGTGAGGTTAGATGCAGGCTATTAGGGAATGATGGTAAATCAGTTAGTGAGGTTATGAATCTATATAGGCTAAGATGGTTGGGCCACGTCTCATACATGCCCAATCATCGATTACCACGACGCTCAATGCTAACTAGTGTTGGGGTTGGTTGAAAGAAAGTTGGGGGCGGCCCAATCAAAAAATGGCTTCAGTGCTTGAAATCACTAACTTCTAGTCCTAGCCATGTTGGTAGATACAAACGACGTGGTTGGGGTCCGTGTGTCTATCGTAACCAATAGCTGGAGACTCGGTGGTTCAGAGTCGGACACAATGTAGTAGGTGTATACACTCACTGTCTTCCCTTAAACCGTAAGATTAAAATTGCTTCACATATTTCTCTCTACGAACTAATTCTTTCTTCCCGTAATATATCTTTATACACAATCTTTCCTTTATATATTACTACCACTGAAGTAACTTCTATAAATTTGGTGTTCATCTTGTTGTGCTAATGAGGCGTTGCAACTTGGACCGACGCATATATGTGCCTAGTCCTACGTTGTAGCTGACTGACAGATATGACTTAAATTTACACTCAATATGCTGATAACAAATCTTAGTTTGACTGCCTCTAATTTTCATTTAACTTACTCTTACATCTAATATCACTGTCTGTCGAAGTATGCCAGTAATGAAATTAACATAAGATATACGCCAACCAATCCAGTCTAATAAAGATTCACTGTGTTGTTGACTAATTTTAGTTGCCATGGTGCTCTTCTCATAAAAAAAATTTGATCGAAAGTATACTACTTCAGAAGGAGTTTTGTGGAGATTTTAGAAAGTTCAATAGTTGAAATCATGAGTCAATGGAATCTAGACCACCATGGAAAACCTGGAGACATTGGATGACCGTTTCGTCCTAGTATGAGTTCGAATCTCGATGGGGGGAGGGCGGGATCGTAGATGCTCACTACTAAGGAGTCTCATACTGAGACAAAACGACCGTCCAGTGCTTCCAGGCATACTGCTTCTTTACAAGATCTTTTTTACACCTTTCTTTTTATCTCTTTTTGTTGAAAAACAAACAAACAAATAGGATTTTGTCTGTCAAGGTTTAATTCAATTCCTTATACCATTAATTTGTCCAATATCATCAAGAGTGAAATTAGAACGATCACATGATGAATTATTCAAATTTGGCAATCTATTGTTCACTGAAAAACATTCTGTCAAAGAAAATAATTCACAAACCATCTATTCAGATTATCAACAATATTTAAAACAAACAAAAGAGATTATGGAAGAGGATAATGTAGGATTAGAAATGCAATGTGATATATTACTTATATTGTCAAAACTATGCGGTACAGTACCTGAAAGGTAGTTTATTTGTAAATATTGTATCATTGAATGCTTGTAATTTTTAAAAAAAAATAAGTAAACACGAGCCAGATCTTGGTGTTGTACTTCAAGAAATTTCAAAATCCATTCAGTGTTGAATCAGTTATCTGATGGTTAAAGTGATCACTGTAGGACTTAGTGATCCTGAATTCAGATCCTTGTGTTGATTTTATGAGTTGGCAATGAAAAATAGTCGAATCAGCTGTCCAATGCTTCTGAGTTTTGATTGGTTGTTCAGTTACAGTCAATACGTCAAATAAACTCGATAGAATTGAACAATCTTCAAAAAGGCTTCCATCTATTAACCATATTTTTTAAGTCCACTGACAGCTAACATTTTGTATAGGCGAAACTAAATATATTAATAGTTTCTCACCTATTTACTAGTATTAAACATATTAAATTCTGTATTGTTTTCTGTTTAAGAATCCCAAGATAGGTGACAAAGTTCGATAGTAGAAGAAATTTTATTTTGTACTTAACATGGGGTTTGCTTATGAACAAGGTGATCTCCATGGTTGTTAGGAGTACATGACGAATCATCACTCCCAGGTTGTCAACACCAGTAGAAGAAATTAACTGAACAAGAAACTGTATCAAAAGTGATTTTGACGTCCTAGAAGTATTAGCGTTAAGTTTAAGGGATAACCACGTGAGCCCCAACACAAACGGTCTTTCTATAAGTAGTTTCACAGAAGTGTTAGATCATATTTCCCCCCCCCCGTTACAACCGGGAAAAGAAAATTCACGGAATAAAGGGAAGTGTATTATTTTTACGGTTAACATTTTCTTATCCTTTGATTTCGTTATTGGGATCCAATATCGGGACAACTATTGGTTCTTTTCAGAAAAATATCTTACTGCTACTACACTACTGTACATCCAATAACATTTCTTCATCATTGGATCTTTGGTTTATCGCTACTATTATTACCATCCTCCGACTGATCTAAACGAAAGAGTATTTTAGGCACGATCACGTATTATAACCATAGAAAAACCCGTTTGTATTGAATGATGAAATCTTCTCATTGAAGTTTATGATTGTAACTAATCAATTTCGTTTAGAATATGCATAGAAAGCCTCGGTATTACGACTAAGCCACAAGCATTCTATAAATATGGATAGATAGTGGCAAGCAGTGGAATACAGGATGTGCGCTTCGGGCTATTTGTGACTAGTGAGCTGCATGTACCTGTAATAAAGTTGATGTCTGACCCAAAGCTCGAACAGAATACTTTTCGTTTCAAACACCATCTCGTTAATCACTTAGCTATTGAACTTAGTTGAACCCCTTCTGGTGAAATCAGATAAACTTTAAGTTATTCATACTGGTTATTCGAATATTTGGGAAGCATCCTCGATGAAAAAGAGGATCAGATGCAGACTTGAAGGCGAGGATTGGCAAATCAAGAGCCGCATTCCTACAAACGAAGAACGCATGGAACTCAAAACAACTGTCAACCAATATCAAGGTCAGAATCTTCAATACAAACTTCAAAACAGTTCTACTGTACGGACCTTAAACTTAAGGAACTAATACAACCATCATCAAAAAGGTACAAGTATTTATAAACAATTGTCTACGTAAGATACTGAATGTCCGTTGACCGGACACCATCAATAACAGCTTACTGTGAAAGAGAATAAACCAGCCTCCATCTGATAACAAAATTAGGAAAACACAATGGAAACGGACCAGACATACATTAGGCAAATCATCAAACTGCATCATGAGGCACGTCCCAACTTGGAATCGTGAAGGGAAGCGGAAAAGTGGAAGGCTAAAGAACACATTACGTCGGGAAATAGAAGCAGATATGAAAAGGATGAATAACAACTGGAGAGAGCTGGAAAGGATTGCCCATGACAGAGTTGGATGGAGAGTACTGGTGGGCGGCGTATGCTCCCTCACTAGGAGTAACAGATGTAAGTAAGTAAGTATTTGAATATTGTTACGAATGTTTCGGGACTATAATCGATCAGTTACCTTTTCCATATATTTAAATTCTGCGAGGATTCTCTTGACATCCAACTTATCAATTTTATATGGAACGAAACGCAGATCCTGAATCATACTACTAGCCACTATTTATCGCTGCTTATACAAGAACTATTTCATCAGAAACAAAAAAACACCACTCGGTATTATTTACTTGAATCTTCTCATTGATATTTAGAAATGCAATTGATCAGTCTCTTATGTACATATGTGCATACTGTGCGTAGTGTCTAGATATAACCTTAATTCACAAACATTATCATCAAAAATGGATAATGAAATCCAGGACACGCGCGTTTCGTCCTACTTTGGACTCGTCAACTGAATGTGCCTACATCTCAAAATTGATGTTCACTCTGAGACTCCAAACCAGTACCGTTTCTCATCAAACATCATCACGTTATCCACATAGCAACTGAGTTCTGACATATATATATATATTGTTTTCTTTTGTTTGTTCCCATATAGAAAACAACTGATTGGTATAGATGGTATTCATTCAATTATTAAATTATTAAAACAATTAATAAAACGTTTTACATTCATTAAATCTAATCAATATCGTTTATTAATTCAATTAAATGAAAAATCATTAACAAATCATCAATTCATTATATTACATAATAAACCATTAATTCAATTAACTAATGCATTAATTGAATCAATATGGTGTTGTATAATTGGTTCAAATCTATGTGAAGATTATTTTCTAATGAATAATGGTGCTATATATTTACTTAATTTATTAGAGGTAATTCAATATTAATTAACTTTTTAATATATGTGATATTAGAAGGGGTATTGTGGTTGAGATCATAAGTCGTCAGTTGAAGCTCGCGAGGGGACGAGATTGTGGATGAGCACTGCTGAGTAGTCCCACAATAAGACAAAACGGTTGTCCAGTTCTTCCAGGTTTTCCATGGTGGTCTAGCTTCAATTGACTCATGATCTCAACCACTGAAATTACTATAATATCCACAAAACCCCTTCTGATATTAATGATTGTCTCCAAGAGTTATTTCCTAGAGTTCTAGTGGGAAATAATGACCTGTGGAATTTAACCAGGTCAATTGTGAGATAATAACTCACTGATGACAATGGTGGATGTGTCGCTCAATTTCATGTATTGGTTGAAGCTAGAAATTAACACCGTTAGATGCCGGCTCATCGGTGTAGATGTTAAGCACTTGTGAGCGAAACCAATAGGTCCTGGGTTCGAATTTCGCCGCGGGCAAGATCGTGGATATGCACTACTGAGTAGTTCCACAATAAGACGAAAAGGCTGTCGAGTGCTTCCAGGCTTTCAATAATGGTCTAGCTTCAACTGACTCATGATCCTAACCGTTGAGATATTGAATTTTGTTCATCAATGTACTATTAATATTTTACATATTGAAGGTAATTACTTACTTACTTACGTCTGTTACCTCTTGTGATGGAGGATAGACTGCCCACTAGCATTTTATATCCACCACTTTTTATCTTAGGTAAATGTTTCCAGTTGCTATTGATCTTTTTTTATATCTTCTTTCAGTTCTCGATGGAGTATGTATTTTGACCTTTCTATTTGTCTGTTTCCTTTCATGATTCTAAATTAAGACATGCTTCGTGATGCAGTTTGATGAGTTCTGTAATGTATGTCTTATTCATTTTCTCTTCAGATGGAAGGTGATTTCTTCACTCCCACAACAAGCTGTTGTTGATGATATCCGATAAATAGATAATGAGTATCCTGAGTAGACGATTGTTTTGAGATACTTGTACGTTTTGATGATTGTTATAGTAGTTCTGCAAGTTTTAGTTACATACAATAGAACTATTTTTATGTCATCTTGTAGCACTTTTAGGGTTACTGCCGGTCCCAAGATCGAGTATAAGACGAGCGTTGGACATAGGATCACAAACGCCATCCTCTAGAAAACAACCCTACTAAAAATACGAAGACTAGAACAAACTATATTGAAGATAATCGAACATACATACACCATGTAAACTTCACATATGTCATATCTTGGTGATAAGTATAAACTAATATCTGGAAATACGGTTTCAAGACAACCTTCATATTTTATTAAACCACCGTTAGCTTAAATTATTTAGCATAAGTTTTCAAGCATTTTAACTTCACTGATAGGATTTGATTATCTATCAAAGAAAAACACTATTGAATATATGGTGGCATCAACAGCGGAGTTATAGAGGTGTGGAGGCTTGTCTTAAAAAATCTGTCGTAAATGTTTACATTGAATAAGTGGACAGTGATGAGTAGTGAAATCCAGGATATGAGTCATTTTATTCTGTTTGGGAATCGTCAGCTAGTTATACCTGATCTCAGGGTGACTATGTCAATCGAAATATCAATAATGGGATAGTCTAAAGTAGGACAGATTAAATTAAAATTCGTCCCCGTTGCGCAAGATAGGTAGTTATCTCGATTTAGCAGCTAAGTGTATAGTACGCTGGCATTTGAAGGGAATGGTAATGGGTTTGAATCACAGAGTGAACGTCAACTGAGATCCAGGTACATCTAGCTGACAAATCCTCAGTAGAACAAAACAACACGCGTTCTGGATCGTATTATTCACCGCACTCCATCTATTCTATGACTAATTGAACAGATGACAGTTGATGATATTAAAAAGTGGAATATGTAAATTTTATAGTATTCTAGGGAAAGCCTATACATAGTTTACTCACTCCTTCATTGAATATATAGATTTTCCCTGGGAAAATAAGTGGAGAAACATTGTCTTTCCTCTCTTTAAATACCAATGATCATCCTTATTTCTAATCTCCATAATCTATAAGCACCAGAAAGTATCATACATTAATATTCAAGTTTGATGCACATGAATCATGATTACATAGAAACATGACACTCTCCCATTGGAGATTTGTATGATTTCATTGACTGTATCTGATGAACGCATGTAATTAGGCGCTTTCACCACACGTCTCTAACCTATTGAGAATCTAATTATTGAGAAATTCAATACAGACCATTATCCATTCCATGTTTTCTTTCTTTTCTGCTCTCTTTGAAGAAGCAATAGACTATTACGTTAGAATTCATATATCAAATATATTTCGAAATATAAAGTTTTGACGTGGGAACACTAGTGATGGTAAATATTTACAGATGAATATAAATGACAGCTAATCACTGAAGGACTGTTTTAGACAGATTTTTGGTTATGACCTTGATTGTTTTCCCACTAGTTTATACTGAGTACGAAGAGAGAATTCATTAGTCAATTGAAGCTAGACCATCACCACGGGAACCTGGTAGCACTGTATGGCCGAGATTTGAACCCAGGACCTATCGGTTTCGCGCGCGAACACTTAACTTCTAAACCACTGAGCCAGCCTCCAACGGTGTTAATGTCTAACGTCAATTAAACCACAAAATTGAGGGACACATCAACCATTGTTTTCAGCGAGTTACTATCTCACAACATACCCAGTTGAACTCCACTAGTCACGGCTTCTGTTGAGATATTACAAATTTCATACTGGTTTATAAATATTTTCAAAAATAAATAAACAAATGGCTTTTTTGTATGAAGTTGATAGATATTTTGACTTGATAACCGTTACTAGATTCTAACAGACTGAAAATAAGAGTCAGTTAATTATTAATCAATGATGAAAATCAGTTATTTCTTCCTAGAACAGGACTCTTCATTCACGACTCCATCGATGATTAAACCTTTTAGCCATTGATTCTGCATCCGATAGATTGCATTTCTAACTTCAACTGATTTGTAGTAGTACATGACATGAAAAGCCAATCAGAAGTAGACTAATGAGAAGGTCATCAGGTAGCAGTCAGAAATGAACTAAAGGACAAGTGTATTTCATTGGCTAAGAAGTGGATCAATTTCCTAAGGATAGACTGGAATATATGCGAACGAGTATTTGTGCATTTTATTCAGTAGCCCGATAAACTTTCTCACCCACTCTTGTTCTCACTCAATTAGTCGATTAGACGGTTAGCTCGTAGCACGCCGTGTAACAGTATCAGATTTCGAACACCGCCCGTCCCGATAGTGCGTAATCATTTCACTCTTGTCATCAATGAGTAACTGCTTCACACTCTACATATTTTAAATCCACCAACCCCAACGTCTCACCAAAACTTCGGGGATAGCTTCTCGAAATTAGTCATTGGTGAACACATAATTAATATTTCTGTTGATTCTATCAAGGCATCCAACTGCACGATTGAGATGAACATGAAACCGAGGTGCAAAATAACTTTTGATCTAAAGAACGATTTTATTATTATAAAATATATGTAAATTGGTTACAAACCTAAACTCGTGATGTATCTTCAGCTATTGAAGCGTCCATATGTCCGGAAATTGAAAGACCTCTTGTAATGATTACACAAACATTCATTACAACATACAATAGCTTATATCAGAATGACTTTTTGTGGAGATTTTAGTAAAATTTCACAGGTTGAAATCATGAGTCAGTTGAAGCTAGACAACCCTTGAAAACCTGGAAGCACTGCTGAGAAGTCCCATACTAGGACGAAACGGCCGTCCAGTGCTTCCATGTTTTCAATGGTGGTCTAGCTTCAACTAACTCATGATTTCAACCTGTGAAATAGCGTATATGTCTTAAGTCTATAATGACTATCAACAATCAAAATGGGAACTAAGAATAGCTATTACAATGACTTAAGTAATTTAATTACAGAATGAGTTTTGTGGAGATTTTAGTAAATTTCACAGGTTGAAATCATGAGTCAGTTGAAGCTAGACCACCATTGAAAACCTGGAAGCACTGGACGGCCGTTTCGTCCTAGTATGGGACTCCTCAGCAGTGCGCATCCACGATACCGCCCCCTGCGGGATTCGAACCCAGGACCTACTGGCTTTGCGCGCGAGCACTTAACCATTAGACCACTGAACCGGCTTCAACTGACTCATGATTTCAACCTGTGAAATTTAATTGCAATCATAAATACAGTGAATATTACGAGCTTATGTAAATACTTTAAAATATTACAAAACAAATAAACGTATGTCATAAGGTACTGGTTACCGTATGTACACAAAAGTGAGTAAAGATAAAGATTGTAAACAAACATAACAATTCTTATGAGGAATCTATGATAGTTGTCGAATTTCGTTATTTACATCATGGAATGATCTTAGACTAAGCATCTATCTTCAAACCTGAAGTTGATGAGTTTGATCCACAGCATGGTTGTGCATTCTTACTGCTGAGCAGTCCTATACTCATATGAAACAACTATTCATTGTATCCTAGTTTTCATTGATTGTCTAAGACTAGTTAGTGATGTGAAAAACAAGATCGAAAATTTCCATAAACCTTCTCTATCTATTTTTTTATAGAATGTGCTATTCAGTTATACAACAAAGCTACCATTTGTATATGAGTCTTTGTGATTGTAAGTTCGGATAAATAGGAACCTTTATTATTGGTTTATCCTTTAACTAAATGACAGTGGTATAGTTGATATATAATACATGTTTTTAGAATAAATAGAAATATGTAGTGTGTCAAAAACATGTCAAAATTATTTATTGAGAAATGTAACTGACACGATTGGTGTACTGATCACAAAACGTTCAAATTCGATCTTGAGAGAGCTACTAATTCTTAAGCAATGTAATCCTCCATAACCCAGATAGCTCAGTGTCAAATATCTCAGATTGTGAAACTAGGTGATGTTTCATTGAATTCGCTAGGGGATACAAGTTCTTTCGAAGTCACAGGTACACCTTATTCTTGACATATATCTAGCACGAAACCTTGATCAATCCATTTTTCTTATCGATTATCATCAACCAACTAATATCTTCACATTGAAAGCTGGTCAGTAGATTTCAATGAACACTGAAAAGGTTATCACAAAACATGACATTAATCACTACTCATTGACCATTTACAGAACAAGGATTCAATCAAATGTCATCCAAGTTAATCCCTTGATGTTTAAATTTTAAACAAAACCTCTGAACTAATCCGATTACTATGTTTATTCTACTTTTATTTTGTTCCTTTGAAAGTGGTATCCACTTGAATCAATCAATTATCTCTTAGGTTGTTTGGTAGATTTAACAGAGAATCCTAAATGTTTACCATATCTATCCTGTTGGTCTGGAATTCGTTCATTGAATGATAATGATGATTATGATGAAGAGAATAATTTTATATTGAATAATAGAAATTCAATTAAACAACAATTAAATCATTTAGAATTAACAACTTCCCTATTGATGAAATCACCTGATCCTGTTGTTTCAACTAGATTGCATAAAATTATTTTAAATACGAACAAACATACTACTGATCATCATCATCATCATAGCAATAATATTCATAGTAATCAGGTACATTTAAACATGGCAAATGAAAAAGGAGTCGATTCAAATGAGATTGTCAATCAAGATTCCATAAATCCTTGTGAAATAGAAGAAGTTAATAATAATGATGATAATGATGATGATGACAAAGAAGAATCGATCAATATTTGGTTGAATGGACCTAGTTTAGCACAATTACTCTGTTATATTTGGAGATGGGAAGAGAAAAGATTGATAAAACAAAAACAATTTGGTAAGTGAAAAGTAAGAAAATCTATATTATTATTCAATGTATAATGAAGTATCATTGCCAAACTAATATGCTATTCATACTTATTGTTATGACTTTAAGTTGGGGTCGATTTTTACCCTGTGCTAATTGTTGTGTCCTTGACTGGAAAATTAGAGCAGCGTACTTATCGATCGATTCGGTGACACGGTTACACGTAGTGGACGACCTAGTGCCCTGATTCGCTGTCTGTCCTAGTTAGTTGAGTCCAGAACTCAAGCCACAGCCTCTGAGATATGAATCATTATATTTCAAATATACTTTGTTTATATACCAATCAAGCATACCACATAGTACCATAAAAATAGAAAACAACATTTTGTACAATATTCAACAAGTGAACAGATATCGACCAATAGGAAATGTCCATTTAAAGTCCAAGGACACCACTGGACTTAACATGATAATTATTGGTCTATTCCTCCGCATCCACAACACTTATAAACCATAAAATTTAAGCGATATGACGTAACAATGTCAACATTCGAGAACCATAGAAAACTGAACAAAACTTAAACCTCAATGGGAAGATACAAGCCAAACAATACCAAGTGAATTCAAATTCACTCCATTGCACAAGCAAGTGGCTATTAGGACTCAGTAGCTAAGTGGATAACGCGATGGCATTTGGAGCGAATGGTACTGGGTTCGAGTCCCATAGTGAACATCAACTCTCTGAGATGCAGGTACATCCAGCTGACGAGTCCCAAATAGGACGAAACGCGCGTCCTGGATTCCACTGCTAGCCACTATCCATCATTGCTCACAAATAGCTAGTGAATTAAGGTAATATCAAGGCCTACGCACAGTATGCACATATGTCAATAACAGACTGATCAATCGCGATCTTAAACCTCAATGGGAAGATACAAGCCAAACAATATCAAGTGAAAACAATTCAATTCACATTACAGTCACATCAATGATTATCCCTAGTAATGTAAAACAATAATCAGCGAGTTTACTTATTGTTATCTTTAGCATAGTGTTTATAACTTTGAATAAACTGTTATACCTGGTATCTGTACATCAAGTGATTGTAACGTTGAATTCTTAGTTGATTTCTATGAAACAGAGAGAAAGAGAGAGAGCAAGAGAGAGCGCGCAGTTGATGATCGAATCAAAATGATGAAAGACAACTATTGATTGATATATTGAAAAAAATTGTTTCATTACAGTTACCAAAATGTATTCATCTAGTTACGTTATATAATAGTAACCATTTTTTGAAAAAAATGGTACGATTAGTTTCTAAGCAAACATATTATGAAAGTTTACAAATGAATCGATTAGCATTAAGAAGGACTTCACACATATGAGACACTAATTACTAAACACTAACCAATAAAATGTAAATATATCTTATTCCTACACGAGGTCGATTGCAACTAAAATAGCTCAGTGATAATGTCACTGAATGTGAATTTAAATGACAAGGGATTAAATATGCCAGAGTGCATTATTCACCTCAGCATTACTGTTTCAGAAAGAGGGTTTTGTGGAGATTGTAGTAATTAAATAGTTGAATACATGAGTCAGTTAAAGCTTGATCACCACAGGAAACCTGGAAGCACTGGACTACTGTTTTGTTCTAGTATAGGACTCCTCAATAGTGCTCATCCACGAGAAGTCCCACACTAGGTCTAAACGGCCGTCTAGTGCTTCTAAGTTTTCTTTAGTAGTCTAGCTTCAATCGATTTATGAATTCAATTGCTAAATTATTACTATTTCATGTTTTTTACGTGTGTAAACTAGCACGAAACTTTAATCAACCAGTGTTTCCTATTGACTGCCTCCAACTAACGACTTGTCGTTTTACTACCATTACCATTTGGTGAAGATGCTGACAAAATGCAGAGTCTCCTGACCACTCTAAGCAACAATGCAAGCATGTTCGGGATGTGACTCTCTCTCTCTCGAAATGCAAGATGTTTCTTCAGGATTGGGTTGCATCGACACCCGAAATAATGATGGGGAGTGAAGTAGTTGTGCGTGTCGACTGCTTCACTGATCTTGGGCGTTTCATCAGCCCTTGTGGTCTGGTATGTGACGAAATCTCAGCACGGATACAAAAGGCTCGACTAGCTATTGCCAACTTGTATCACTCATGGCGTAGGCGAGATATCTGTCTACCAGCCAAAGGACGTGTTTACTGTCCAGCAGTTCGTTCCGTCCTATTTTATGGCTGTGAAACATGGCCGGTTAAATTAGTATCCGATCATAGGTGTCTTCGAAGCATTGCTTGTACAGTCTGAGACCACCGGACAAATAACGCACTTGTTAAGAAACGGGTTCTTGGTAAGGATGGCAAATCAATTGATGAAGTAGTGAAACTTCATCAGTTGAGATGGCTGGGACATGTGTTACCCATGCCTAACCATTGAAGGGCGATGTTTTATGGTCTAGGAGCAGTTTGGGAGGAAGCAAGGGGCAGCCAGATCAAAATATGGCATAAATCCATGTAGTCACTGACAAGTGCATTGAGCCATGTCGGTAGATGTAAACTACTTGGTTGGGATGCGCGAGATGATAGCAACCGATGGTTAGAGACTTTAAATGACATGGCTCGAAATCGTTTGAAATGGCGTAGGCGCATCCACTCTTTGTGTCCTCCTAAATTCTAATCTAGTGAATCCTTCTTGTCTCTTTTTTTTTCTTTCCAAATTTATTCCACTGGATTATACTCCTTGAATAGCATCTTCAAACTCTAATTTTTTCCATTACTGCTCATACTTTTACTCTATCTACCACTATGGGATTTGAATCGACAATTGTATCTATGTGCTAATGTGGTGTGGCAACTCAAACTGATGTAGGTACGTACGTACGTACGAAGTTTTACGTTGTTGTTACTGACTGACTGACCAAAGAAAAAATATCGCTTTAAATAAACCACAATAAATTATTGATTCATATTTGATAAATAATGAAATCATACGATAATATGATCCACAACTTCATACAATCATTTAACAGTACTATGGTACCATTCACTGTAATTAACTTTAGTTGATTAAGCTAGAAACTTGTTAAATACATGTGAATCTGGCATACCCCATATTCAACTTGGACCGATGCATATATGTGCCTGGTCCTACGTTATAGCTGACCGACTGACTGACTGACTCAACTGATGTTTTATCATTCCGATCAATCTAATTTTTTTTATCTCTACAAAATAAAATTTAGGTACAGATAATGTAAACGATCTTTCTGAGACATCAGCGACTAAACAAAACACCAGCCTTCAAATGAATATATACGCTTTGTTTTTACGACTTGGTTTTAATAATCAAGAGAATCTTACATTTAAAGATCAGATTACATTGAAAAAAATAGAATCATATTTTGATTTGAAGGTAAGGAAAACTAATAACCTCATGTTGTTGTTTATTTATGATTATGATTGTGATAAACTTAATGGAAAGACGTTAGTAGTGGAATCTAGGATACGTGTTTCGTCATTATTAGGGACTCTTCAGCCTGATCTACTTGCACCCTAGTACATTATTTGCGTCGGGACTCGAACCAAGTACGTTTTGTTACAATGTTCCACTTCATAACTGAGTTCGCTTAGTAACAGGGTGGATTTTATTTGGTTTATATTAGTTGCTTGAATATCGCGATTGTCATATTTGGCTATATTTGATTTCCAGTCTCAGCTTGAATATTAGCACTGGGTTACAGATACATCCAACTGAAGAGTACCGAACAGAACGAACTCAAATCCTGGATTCCACTACTAGCCATCATCCATCTTTGCTTAAAATGCTTGTAATTTAATGATAATATCGGGGTTATCTGCACAAGATTCATAAATTCCAAAACAGACTAATCAATAGCAGTACATAACATTAAAGAAAAAAATCCAAACAATCAATACAAATGTACTATACTTCATTTTTAATTAGTGACATCGTCTTAAGAATCACTAAAATCTATGAAAAACTTTGTAATCGTTTCAACTCCACCAGTGAAACTTCTCGACAATACACATCACCCACCTCGGCAACCATTAAACCGTAGACTTTCAGATAGGTGAGTTAATATTTCCAATATCAGCTAAATCTACACATAATACGATCATCAAATTTCATAGATGATGACTATCTCATCTGTGAAACTCTTCAATTAACAATTAAAGAAGATAATGTAGTGAACGGATTCGGAAACGGGGGACAACCAAATGTATTTTAATACAACATTACAGAATACATTAGTAATATCTGATAAACATACAGTAAATACTTCAATGAAAAATATCCATTAATTGTTTCAGACTTAGTTGTTCCTTCATTTTCATTATCAATCATTCTTTGTTCTCGTTCTCTTCTCTTCAATTTTCTCAATCATCTAACGCTAGGCATTCCAATTTCGATTGGTGATACATACTACTTATATCTATCAATATCAGTAGCACACATCACAATAATACTTACATGAAAGCATCCCCCAGTTAAACAGAAATTTATCCAATATAAATAACCAGCAGATTTCTGATATTAATTAGGAACAAGCAAATGATATATCAATTCATTGAATTTCACTAAAAATTATTGTTAGATTATACCATAGAAAAGAAATTTTGTCTTAATTTGAAAGAATAGTTTCATGATAGATGAATCCTGAGTGAATGTAAGACATGAAAGAGGAAAAATTATATTTCAATAAACTCCAAGATTGATGTTTACGTAAAATTCAACATTTTGATAGACAGTCTGATCCACGTTTAGATCTTCATCAGCTCCCCCTATCTAAATACTCTCACATGGCCACGTGCATACAACCACTTCCAGGAAAGTCCTACTCACTACCCTCTCGCGGCGAGAGGGTTGTTTACGAAATTCAGAGGACAAAAAGCGAATATACAGCGCTTTAGCCGGGTGAGTGGATACAAAGAGTCCACCTAAAGGAGTTGGAAAACCTTGATTCCAAAGCAATGATGTACATGAATTCAACGACCTTGATGTAAAACCTGGCGTATGAATCAACTATTGGTCACAGATACCATGGGACTGCATCTCCTGACATTGCTCCACTGCCTTGTGGATCAAACCTTAAGGTCAAAGGCTCAGGCTATGGCCCTTTAATAAAACCACCCGTTTTGGTCTGAGCACTCAGGTAGTATCCCAGATCTCACACAAATCGAACGATTTATGTGGCCCATATATCCATTTGCTGATGTCAATTAATATCTTTAATATAGTTTATCTTTACCAATCATTATATGAATATATGTAACACTATTCTTCATTTATTAAGATGGCTGAAACTTGGACAAATATACAAACTGATTTAGATAATAAACAAATTCGACCAATTACACCAGATATAGAATTATTATCATGTATATCTGAATGGTGTAAAAAACAAATCAATAATGTACAATCTAAACAACAAGAAATATTAGATGCTACAAAAACTTATGAATCAACTGAAGAACAAAAATATTATTCATCGGTAAGTAAATTCTTCCTTCATTTCTTTGTATTATCTTTAATGAAGAATAAATTCTTGAATTGTCAGTTTAGGGGATGTGGAGATTGTTAAATTGTTGATTTAGATCATAAACCGATTGATGTTAGACCACCATGGAAAACCTGGAAGCACTGGACGGCCGTTTCGCCCTATTGTGGAACTCCTCAGCAGTGCGCATCCACGACCCCGCCTCGCGGGATTCAAACCCAGGGCCTTCAGTCGCACGCGCGAACGCTTAACCTACTGGACCACTGAGCCGGCATCCAATGGTGTTAATGTCTAACCTCAATCAATCCATGAAGTTGCACGACCATCTCCCATTGTACTGAGGTAGACATCTATTTCTACCCGACACGGATTAGCTCCACTGGTCACGGCTTCTCACCAGAACTCCGAGAATTTTCTCACGAAGCTAGTTACTAGTGAGCACATGGTAATTGTCAGTTTAGGGGTTGTAGAGATTGTATTTAAAGTGCCTTAATGCCTATTAGTCCTTGATCTATCAGATGATGAAGATAAAAAACCTGGTTCTATGTTGTAGCTGATTGATTGAAGCTAACAAACAGCTATCTTCTCTATTGTACAGTAGTGGCTTATCATAACTCAAACACTCATGAGTTTATATTGCATAAATTATCAGACGAAAATATACTAACAAACGGAAAAGTAATTTCAATAGCTGAGATCATAAGTCAATTGAATCTAGACTACCACCATGGAAAACCTGAAAACACTGGAAGGTCGTCAAGAGGCGGGATCGTGGATGCTCACTGCTGAGGAGTCCTATACTAGGACGAAATGGCCGTCCAGTGATTCCAGGTTTTCCATGGTGGTGGTCTAGCTTCAATTGACTTATGAATTCAACTACCAAATTACTATAATATCCACAAAACGATACTGTGATTAAAATAGAAAAGTATCGTTTAAACACAAACAATTCATAAGTGGGCGAGAATGTAAAAAGGGTTGAATAAGAAGTTAGATATAGTTAAGGAACACCAAATCATGTAGCAACAATTAGTGACTACAATAGATGGACATAATAAAATAAATAATCTGTAAAATAGTTTCAAAGTTCTAATCTTCTTCATTACTCGCACTCTTGCAAGATTTCTTTTTATATCATAATAATGAAATATAAATTTTCACACCACTAACTACCTTTGGTTAACATAATATTTTGAAAAGCAGAAAACACAGGAGACCTCTTTCATCCTGACATGGTGCTTTTTAACGTCAGTGTGCGTTAACAACCCTATCAAACATTGAATCTAAGACTCACAAGACTCGCTACCAAAACTTGATCATTTATATCACTAGGCTTGCATCCAATAGTATAATTTCTAATACAGAATGATGAGTATCTAATCCTACTGGTGGATAACTGCTTCACAATCACAACAAATGAGATCATAAGTCAAATAAAGCTAGATCACCATGGAAAATCTGGAAGCACTGGACGTTCGTTTCGTCCTATTGTAAGACTCCTCAGCAGTGCGCATCCACGATTCGAACTCAGGATTTATCGGTCTCGCGCGCGAATAAATTATCATTATTATTATTAACTATTTTATCACTTTATTGAAATTTTATAATCTATTCCCGTTTTAATGAAGATAAAAAAAATCATACGTAATCAAGAATATGCCATGGAAAATTATAATGACTACATAGCAAGAACATCAAATCATCAATATCTTAAAGAAGCTCGTATTAAACAATTATCTGCGATTAATGCATCACGTATTGGACGATTGAATGATTTCAGTAAATCTTCCGACATTAATGTAGATATTCAAAAAAATAAATCAGAATCAAATCAGATCACAAGTCAATTAAGTAAATGTTCAAATCATGATAAAGGATCCAGTATATATCATAAGACAGATATTGATAAGTTGAATGTGACAGTAAGTGATGTTACTTTTCTAGAAAATATATCTCATTTATTTCAAATGATATAACTCGAAAGGTAGTCGGCGTGTAGTCATTTCTCAGTCGAATAAATCATCGATAATATCCTAGACTATGTAACGAGGTAATCAGTGTCAGAATCTTAAAGGGTAGTGTTATGGCTTTATGTTGCTGTCGATTTTTACCCTGTGCTAATTGTTGTGTCCTTGATTGAAGAGATTAGAGAACAGCGTATTTATCAATCGATCCAATGACACGTAAACACGGACGGACGGCCTAGAGTCTCGATTGGTCCCACTTCCTTGTCTAGCCCAGTTAGTTGAGTCCAGAACACAAGTCACAACCTCTGAGATATGAATCATTATATTTCAAACATACTTTGTTTATATACCAATCAAGCATACCACATCGTACCATAAAAATAGAAAACAACATTTTGTACAATATTCAACAAGTGAACAGATATCGACCAATAGGAAATGTCCATCTAAAGTCCAAGGACACCATTGGACTTAACATGATAATTATTGGTCTATTCGTCCGCATCCACAAGAGGTAGCATCAGTTATCTCAAATCTACCAACACCCCTTGATTACGAGTGATATCTAGAATGAAATCTAAGTCGACAAGATTTTCTTGTTGACTACTTCCAACCACCTAAAATGTCAACATAACACATGAAATATCGAGTCACTTTGATCAATGACCGCATTGCAACTTGATAGACAGAAATCGATTAACTTTAAAGGATTAAACAAACTTCGTATTGGTTTATACTCAATAAATTGTCGCATTAACATCTGCCAGCCAACTAGTCGGAGAATGATTAAAATTAAGAATGAAGGCTATGAATTTGTTGAAAAATTGACTTAAAAGTATCTTGCTCATGGTGAGATTGTGAGATCTTGAATTCGATTTTACGTGGAGCTATGTTTGAATACAACGAAGAATTGTCCATTTGTAGTTGGAATAACTGATTGAAACCTTCTTTGTGATGTGTGAGCGAGGGAAATAATGATTAGTTATTTGTTTAGTAAGACTAGAAAATAGTCTGACAGGTATTAGATGAGTTATATATTCTCTTACCCTTATGAGTACGGAGATTGTTGTCGGTTTTTGGTGTGAAAATATATTTAAGTTCCAGACAGGCTGATTATGGGTTCTTGATCTGGGTTGTTTTGAAGTCCTGTAGAATAGACACTGGGAGGGTATCTAGTGTAGATAGTCGTCTAAGGTAAATTAACATCCTAGTCGTGTAGATGCGGAAACCGAGCGTCATTACACTTCGATTTTCAGATTTTTTCCAAGTGATATTAGTTCATGGAGAATTTACGATTAAAACTGAATTTGATCGAAAGTAGTGAAAACTAGATAATTTATCACCTTAGTTCTATTATTGATCAGCGGAAGTTCAAACAGCTCCATAGTAACGTCTCAAACTACAAAAGTAAGTAAAATAAATTTAAATTCCACGTAAAGAATCCATGTTGTCAAAATCTAACTCGACCGCGATAGTTCAAACTTTCTTTATTAACCATAAATGCCCCCAAATGTCCTGGTACGGCCGAGAGTGGGGAAAGTCAGATCTCTTTCTCGAAATGCTCTCACATGATCACGTGTATACGACTAATGCCAGGGAAGTCCTACTCACTGCCTTCTCGTGGCGGGAGTGTTATTTGCGAAATTGAGGACAGAAAGTCAATGTCTTACATTTTAACGGGGTTGGTGGATACGGAGAGTCCACCTAGAAAAGTTGGAAAACCCTGATTCCAAACCATTGATGTACATGGACTCCAGGATCCTGAAGGAAAAAATAACGTATGAACCGAATTTTGGTCATCGGCTACCACGTGATTGCGTCTCCTGACATCGCTCCACTGCCTTTTGGATCAAACCTTTAGGTTAAAGGCTCCAGGTTTGGGCACCCGGACAGTTTCCTAACCCTCACACAAATCGAATGATTTATGTGGCGCATATATCTATTTGGTGCCTCGTTTTACCAATGTTTATGTGCTTTAATTAATAAATAAATCTTCACAATAACATTTAACTAAAACAAGTAAAGTACCCTATTGATTAACAACTTGAAATACTAAAATCTTTCTCTGTTTATTATGTCTTACTCTTCTTATATTTCTTGTTTTCTTTCTCATCATTCTATAGGCTTTCTGTTCACAAACTATTAATATTGATTCAACACCAAAACAACTATTTCAACATCCAAGTAAATTAGTAGATGAATTAATTAAATTAGTAGAAAGTAATGAACAATTACTATTCAATGATAGTGATATTAGTGATCATGAAATGAAAGATTGAATTTTAATAAATAAAGAAACCATACCTTAGATAATTTGTTTCTTTTTTCATCCCAGAGTAAACATCAACTCTCTGAGATGCAGGTACATCCAGTTGACGAGTCCAAAACAGGACGAAACGCGCGTCCTGAACAGCCGCTTCGTCCTATTGTGGGACTCCTCAGCAGTGCGCATCCACGACCCCGCCTCACGGGATTCGGGCAAGGGCTTATCAGTTTCGCGCACGCTTAACCACTAGACCACTGCTGAATAGTCCCACAATAAGACGAAACGGCCGTCCATTGCTTCCAGGTTTTCCATGGAGATTTAGCTTCAACTGACACATGATCTCAACTACTAAAATTACTACAATCTCCACAAAACCCCTTCTGATACTAATCAACATATGCTCACTAGTGTCTGGTTTCAAGAGGTATATCCTGGAGTTCTAGTGAGAAGCAGTGACCAGTGGAGTTCAACCAGGTCAGTTGTGAGATAGCAACTCACTGATGACAGTGATGGGAGTATACTTTAGTAAGGGTCAATTAATTCTGAATAAACCTTGAGCTTATCCACATATACCATTACAAACATGTTTAGAGATTATATTATTTCTCTTCTCATGACATATTTTCACATTGATCTCATCGTGTTAATGTTGGTTAGACAACTTAAGTAAATGTAAATATACACTAGACTATTTGATGATTATTACTGATTGACAAGAAAGCCTTTAAGTTCACTTCATTCAACTATTTGTTAGCTATCATGATTCAGTATATTAACGGAGTTCATTTAAAAATTGTTGAATATCTCACCATTCTAGTTTTTGAGAATAATAAAAATAATTTATATAGTTGAGATCATGAATCAATTAAAGTTAGATCACCATGGAAAATCTGAAAGCACTGGACAGTCGTTTGATCCTATTATGGGACTACTCAGCAGTGCACAACCACGATCCCGCGCCGCGAGACTCGAACTCAGGACCTATCATTCTCGCGTATATATATCTAATGGTAGGCATATTCTATTCATCCCTTCATAATACTCTCATATGATTGGAAATTTGTTAACTTATTATTACCAAAGAAGTCATATAATTGTACTAACGTGTAAATGACAGGTTAATCAAAACACTAGATAAGTATAGGTCTTTTTTATTATTTACCACGTTATTATGAACTCACTTGAATGACAATTATTTAACAACGATAGAGTGAATAACCAAAATTATAAACTTCTCCCTACTAAAAATCTTGACATACTTCCACATCATTAAAGATTATTTGTCGGTAAGACCAGTGACTTAGTATACGTTCTAACCGATTCAATCGATGAAGTTCCATAATCTCATCAAATGAGTAGTCATCATTTACCTAATACATTAACTCTAATATCAATATTACTACCTTAGTGATATCAATATACGAGAGAGAGAGAGAGAGAGAGATAGCTTCAAAGACATATTTCGTGAAATACTAGTTACTAGTGACCTAAACATAAACAGAAACCAGAGAAAACAACTGAATAGTATAATTATTCTTCCATTGATAAACAAACAGATATTGACATTGTAACTCATACAGGTTAACCAAAAACGAAAACTGACAATCATCAATTCATGTGCTAAGATTTCATTAAATTCAAATCCTCTGCGGGTCACGCTCCCAACACTAATCCAATTTCCTTTTCAGGTTCCTCAAGAAATACCCTCCCACGGTGTGGGCAACCGGGAAGTGGTATCAGCCCTCATACCCGTAACAGCACACGAGACCAAGTTGGTCACATTCAAATCCTTCCTACACCTCCTAATACCTCTCTTATCTCCATGACTAACCCTCTTCACGTCTCTTTATCACCTCGCACCGCCAGGGCAAACGTTTCGAGTACGTGGAACGCTATTCCCGGTCTCCTGAAACCACGCTCTAAACTACACGTAGGAGCTTTTAACGTCCGAACACTGTGCCAAATAGGACAGCAGGCTTCCTTAGCTAAGACTTTAGAATCCCGCGCCATCGATGTCTGCTGCGTCTCCGAAACGCGCATACAGGATGCGAGTAGCGTCATTCACTTGACCTCACCATGCCAAAATAAAGAACCGACTCGATTCACACTTCGTGTATCTGGAAGCCCTGATTCTGCTTCCCGTGGCCTCGCCGGCGTAGGTATAGCATTGAGTCCTGGGGCGGAACTAGCTCTCTCAGAGTGGATCCCAGTAGACAATCGTTTGTGCGCTGTTCGACTAAACGGAACAATAAGGATCTGAAAAGATAGCAACACTCGTCGTTGCCTCTTCGTCGTCTCTGCCTATTCTCCCACTGACTGCAGTGCAGATGATGTAAAAGATGAGTTTTACAGAAAGCTTTCGGACCTTCTCCGAAAAGCTAGGCGCTCGGATGTAGTAATAATGGCCGGTGACTTTAATGCTCAAGTAGGTAAACTAAGTGATAGAGAAAGACACCTAGGTGGATCTTATAGCATCGTGGCTCAAAGAACAGATAATGGCAACCGTCTGTTGCAGCTATGCTCAGATAACCGCCTCTTTCTTGCCAATACTAACTTTAGGCATAAGGAAAAAACATCTTTCAACATGTAGACCCCCTAATTCGTCCCAACGTTGGACCCAAATAGATCACATCGTTATCAGCGACCGATGGAGGGGCTCGATAGAAGACTGTCGCTCATTCTGGAGTACATGCTTAAATTCAGATCATTCTCTAGTACGAGCGCGTATCTGTCTGCGTCTTACTGGACGTAGGAAAGACGCTGCAAGGAAGCCTCTCGGGGCGCTAATTAATTATAGTCAAGCTAAGAGTATATTTCAGGAAAAACTAGGAAAAAAGTTAGGCAGCCATGTATGTGATGCCCTTGTGGTGGTCGGTATTCGATATAATCTTTAAATTTCGTATACAGCTCGTCTTGATAACCGTTCTATATAACGTCCCAACGGTTTAATAATCAGAAGGCAAATACGGAGTGTTGATTACGTTTATTACGAGACCACACACATATATCCAAATGTACAGATGCGTTAAACAAGCATAGAAGAGTTGTGCCGAAAGGCAAGCAAGCGAGTGAGAGCCATAGCAAGAGCGAGACGAGAGTGAATGAGTGAGTGAGTGAGTAAGTGAGTGAGTGAGTGAGTGAGTGAGTGAGTGAGTGAGTGAGTGAGTGAGTAAGTGAGTGAGTGAGTGAGTGAGTGAGTGAGTGAGTGAGTGAGTGAGTGAGTGAGTGAGTGAGTGAGTGAGTGAGTGAGTGAGTGAGTGAGTGAGTGAGTGAGTGAGTGAGTGAGTGAGTGAGTGAGTGAGTGAGTGAGTGAGTGAGTGAGTGAGTGAGTGAGTGAGTGAGTGAGTGAGTGAGTGAGTGAGTGAGTGAGTGAGTGAGTGAGTGAGTGAGTGAGTGAGTGAGTGAGTGAGTGAGTGAGTGAGTGAGTGAGAGTGAGTGAGTGAGTGAGTGAGTGAGTGAGTGAGTGAGTGAGTGAGTGAGTGAGTGAGTGAGTGAGTGAGTGAGTGAGTGAGTGAGTGAGTGAGTGAGTGAGTGAGTGAGTGAGTGAGTGAGTGAGTGAGTGAGTGAGTGTGAATAACATGAACATATATATACCATGTGAAATGAATGAGTAATCGAATCAAATAATCAGTTAGTAGTAAGACTAGCAGAGTGAATAAATGCGTAGGACGTAAGCAATATTCAAGCATACGTATTTCATACAAGCACAAAATAATAAGAGTACAATAAGTTGTCATAGTGCGGATGACTTTGTCCGCTAAATAAGTTAGCAAAAGGGCTTAACTGAGTTAAATGAGAATAAACTCAACTGCACGTGAGTCGCTATACCCTCCCCGAGGCAGCATGAAATGATATCCGAAAAGCTGTGGAAACAGCAGTGATATCTGCTAGTAAGGTAAACCAGAAGGTTAGGGAGCAACACTGGATCTCAGCAGCATCTATCGCACTGATAGATGCTCGGAAACTCATTCCACCTGGCTCTGAACATAATGAAGAGCGGAGTCAGCTTAAGCGCAAGCTGACAAGAAGTCTACGCAATGACCGTGAACAGTGGTGGGTAGCGAAAGCAAGAGACGGAAAAGGCAGCGGCAATAGGTAATAGCAGACAGTTGTTCAGACTTGTTAAAGAAACCGGTATTAGGAAACCGACTGTTAGCGAAACACTCAGAGAAAGATGGACATATTATACATTCTCAATCCAGGAGATTGGATCGATGGGCAGAACACTTTAGGGATCAGTTCAACTGGCCTTCAGCCACACTTCGGTTTCCCACGATCTCCAGTCAACCTGAATGGCAAGTTAATGTAGGTCCCCCGTCCCTTTACGAATTTGAAAATGCCATAGGAAATCTGAAACGAGGGAGAGCAGCAGGCCCTGACAGGTTTGCTCCTGAGATTTTTAAGAATGGCGGTCAAGTATTAGCAATGAGATTAACCGAGGTCTTAGGTAGAATTTGGGAACTGGACGTAATCCCATCTGACTGGTCTCAATCACTGATTGTGCCAGTCTATAAGAAAGGACAAAAGTCCTCTTGTGACAATCACAGAGGAATCAGTTTGACTAATATAGTGTCTAAAATATTAGCTTCAATAATACTTCGACGCCTAATCAAAGCTCGTGAAGAGCAGATTAGAGAAAACCAAGCCGGTTTTCGACCTGGACGTGGTTGCATAGATCAGATAATCACACTACGTCAGGTTCTAGAACACAGACACACGTTCAGACGCCCCACAATCGTAGTATTTCTCGACCTTAAGGCGGCATTCGACTCTGTTGATCGTAAGGTTTTATGGCAGTGTTTGTCACTGAAAGGAGTACCAAAGAAGTACATTAACCTTATAAAGGCTCTCTACTCGAACACAACTGGTCGAGTGAGAGCTTATGGCGAACTGTCATCAGTAATAACAATTTCCTTATCTAAATTTCCAGGGGTTGAACTTCTACCGTGAGGTTCACTTGTTGACTTAGAATATGCTGATGACATAGTTTTATTTGGTGAAGACGCTGACAAAATGCAGAGTCTTCTGACCACTCTAAGCAACAATGCAAGCATGTTCGGGATGCGATTCTCCCCCTCGAAATGCAAAATGTTGCTTCAGGATTGGGTTGCATTGACACCCGAACTAATGATAGGGAGTGAAGTAATTGAGCGTGTCGATCGCTTCACTTATCTTGGAAGTCTCATCAGCTCTTGTGGTCTGGTGTGTGGCGAAATCTCACCACGGATACAGAAGGCTTGACTAGCCTTTACCAACTTGCGTCATTTATGGCGTAGGCGAGATATCCGTCTATCAACCAAAGGACGTGTTTACTGCGCGGCAGTTCGTTCCGTTCTAGTTTATGGCAGTGAAGCATGGCAGGTAAGAGTAGAGGATATCCGTAGGTTACTAGTATTTGATCATAGGTTTCTTCGAAACATTGCTCGTATATCCTGGGACTGTCGAGTAAGTAACACAGTTGTTAGGAAACGGGTACTAGGTAAGGATGGCATCGACGTGCGATGTTTTATGGTGTACTAGTAGGATGGAAGAAAGATAGGGACGATCAGACCAAAACATGGAACAAGTCCATGAAGTCACTGACAAGTGGTCTGAGTCATGTCGGTAGGTGTAGACTACCTGATTGGGGACAGCAAGATGATAGCAACCGATGGTTAGAGACCCTGAATGACATGACTCAAAATCGTTTGCAATGGCGCAGGTGCATCCACTCTTTGTGTTCTCCCAAATTTTGATCTCCTTATTCCTCCTTGTCTCTTTTTTTCCCCTCTAAAATTTATTTCACTGTATTATACTCTTTAGGTAACATCTCCAAACACTAATCTTCCCGATTACTGCTCTTACTCTTATTACCTCTACCACTGCATCTCTATGCTAATGTGGTGTGGCAACTCGAACTGATGTACGTACCTACGAAGTTCTACGTTGTTACTGACTGACTGACTAACAAATCCTCAACAACAACAATGGAGTTTACAATTTTATATACATAATTCGAGAGAAATTATTTATAGTAATTAATTATTTAAATACTAAATAAGAAAAGAATGAAAAGACAAATTATTGATTGACAAAAATAAAGTTGAATACTACTACTGAATACATGAAGTTAAATCACTGAACATAAATAAAACAATATCAAGTGAATAAATATACATATATATATATATATATATATCTTCATAATAAGTAGTAGTTATATATGTATTTCGGTCTTTGAAGAAGAAGAAGTAAAAAAGGAAGCACATAAGTTGATCATCATCTTCACCATTATGATCTTAGTTTCTTTATCCTTTTTTTCTCGTTTTGAAGAAAGTGAAGTATAACAATGGGAAATTAAAAAAACAAATTAAATAATTCCATGAATAATTACCACGGGGTAAGGAGGGAGGGGAGGTGTATGTGTGCGTGTGTGTGTATATGGAGGGGTGTCGGACTGGAACTATACATACATAACCATGATAATAAATTATACATAGAAGATGTGGAATGAATTGTCATAGTTTTTTTTTTTGTTTTTGCTTCATCGATAGATCTATTTCAGTTAATTTGATTTACAGAGAGTTTCTTCAAGAAAATTTAAAACTGTTGCTTCAACATGAGATTGATGCTTTAAACGATGTCGAGAATTTGGATAAAACTATAAAAGTAAAGGAGAAATAGCATCAGATGAAACAATAGATAAGTTGACACTAGAATAAATAACATTTACAGTGACATATTACAAAAGTACTGATTGACTAGTTTTCAGAAAATGTTTTAAAAGTTAATCAATATGATGATTCGTTTTTGATAATTCTAAATGATACCATAATTGTACCATAAGAAGATTAAAACACGAATTTCAGCGAAGGGATCTCTTTTCAATCAATTTATTATCAAACTGTACAATCGTATATATATATATATATATATATATATATATATATATATATGAAAATTTTTGTTTTTGTAAAAGTACTAATTCCGTGAGGAAATATGAACACAATTAACCATTCATCTACCAGTTCACCTGCTCTTGTACAGCAAGGTACATTGACCGTAGCCAGCGCTCGCTTTCAACTTGGATATGGGAGCATATAACAGCTTGGTTCTATAAGGATGAAAGGAAAGCAGTTAGGAGTTCTATACTTGAACACCTAATCGACTGTAACTATTCCACAGATCCACAAATTGATTTTAAGGTTATTTATATTATTCATCCAAGTCTACCCAGATTTCTTCGTATCCAACTCTTAAAAATAGCCGAATCTCTTACAATCCAGGAGCTTAAACCAGAACTATGCGTACAAAAGAAGTACGTCTTATCGTTATCGTTACCTTGACCTTAATTATTTTGATTATCCTATTATTATCATCATTACTGCATTCCCCCTTTACTTATGTCTTATATTCTCAATGTTTTATTCGTAAATGCTCATCATATCACCTTATTCATCTTCTACGTCTTTATGACCTTTAATTATTATAACAAAAACATTTTCATCATCTTATTATATTCATTAAATCTATTGTTATTATTCGTATTATGTAATCTAGTATTGTAATCTTTCTATTAAGTCATCTTGGCTATTCGTGTCCACATTTCCTGATGGAATTAGTACTTTAACAAATCGTTTTCATATATATATACGATTGTACAGCTTGATACTAAATTCGTTGAAAAGAGATCCCTTCGCTGAACTTCGTGTTTTTTTAATTTTTAATGTTCAAATGGGAATTATCTGTCAACATAAGAAGATTGTCGGTTTTGCTGAGAAATATGTCTCAATGATTGGTAAATAATACATATGACACCCAATCAAGTTAAACTGGCTGAAATAGTTATTCAATTAAGTCCTAATATGACAGTTAGATCGGTCGAAGGAAGATAAGGCTAAAAATAGCTAATAGTACTTGGACTGTGACGAAAATGAGATGTTTTCCTCAGACAATGAGCATTTTTAATGAGTTGGCTTATCTATAACAGCAGAAAGTGGTTAGAAAAAAAACCATCCCACAAATAGCACTCACAGATTCCCGTCTACAGTAGTAAAGATTTAAAAGTACAGAATTAAAAGATCAAGAACTACTCACAAAAACGCTGTGCATGAAAGATCTCAAGTAGTTTTCCTTTGGGTTTTGCAGTCATCCATTTCAGGTTTTCAAGCTTACTAATAACCCAATCACTTTTCAAAATGCTTTAATAAGGGGGAAGGGTATCCTACCAGGTTATGGGCGACCGGGAACTGGCAAATGTCCATATAATTTTAACAGCACTGAAGACCACCCAACATACCTATGCTCATGACACAAGAAAGTAGACGGATAATGTTCTCATAATATTATATTCAGTTAAATTATGAACAGCTGTTTAAATTGAGATCTAGTTCGTCAACTAGGAAACATATAATGTAGAAATTTTCAAAAATACAGTTTAAGGGATTAACTAAACTCAGGGAGTCAGTTATGCAGATGATGGTTCCAGGTAATCGACAAGAAACCCTACCCGACCTAATTTTCGTGCAATCATACAGTCGTCAAAAAGGTGTCCTAATCATCTTTAGAGAACTGATGCTCATTTACAGATTCATCATCGTGTGACCTAGTTTCACAATCGGAGATGTTACCAGTAAACTATTCCAGCCATTAAATAAGAGAGATTAGTTCAGCGAAAAGAGTTCTGTTTTCGGCGAATTCATTTTCAAAGCTGTACAATCGCAAATATATATATACTTATTTTTACAGGATGATAATAATACTGATAATAAACTTCATAAACTACATGGTGACAGTGAGGTTACATAAACAAAGGTATTAGAAAAATTTTTTAAAACAAAGAAAGTTTAATAATCGTTTGATTGTTATTGGCTTAAGTATTCATCAAAAGATAGATTGGGAAATTATCATTGGGAAAAGATGGCTCAGCATAATAAAATAAAATGTTGAAACAGAGATGAAATGTAATTGAAATGATCGTGGAAATAAAAGGAAATCCAGTTGGGGGTAGAAGATTTAAAGGAAGATGAAAGGTGAAGCAGATGGCTGTAAAGGAACAAGAGTATGAAAAAGAAAGTAAATTTTAATACATTAAGACCATGGTAGAAGAAGAGGTTGTAACAGTCTCTTTTGCACACACAATTCTGGTTTTTCCAGATGTATGGATATTGCTTCGGCAATTCAGAGAATATGAAGTCTGATTGTCTTAGGAAGGCTTCTACTTACCTTGTAGATGACTTTGAACGCAGAATCTGTCTTGATTGAATGACCTGTGTTCACAAGATTTTCGATTATTGATACCATTTCACGTTCAAGGATAGAATTAGACTTAACAAGACAATTTCTGGGATATTTTTCTGAATATCCCAACACTATGTGCACCATTGGTTTGGAATCGTTTTCCAACTCCTCTAGGTGGATCCTCCGTATCCACCAATCCGGTTGAAGCACCGGACATTTCCTTTTCGTCCTCCCCCTTCGCGAGCAGGAAGTCAGTGGAACTTCCCTAACAGTGGCTGTATACGCGTGGTCATGTGAGAGTATTTCGAGAGGGAGAGCTGATTCTCCTCACCTTCAACCGTAGCAGGGCAAAGTGCTCCTTACAAAAAAGGATTTCGTCAAACAAAACCTGCAAAGATCCGACATTTTTATAAACACTTGGTGTAAAAAATCTAAATAAGACCGGTCACAAGCTGATGTCACTGGTTGCACAAATATTGGTAAATCAGGGAATAAACAATTGATTATGGAAACCATTTACATTATTCAATAATCAATGGACAAATATGTCATCTTTACATGAGATTCATGTCAACAATACAAACATCTACAGATTGATCAACAGGATAGAGTGACACAGACAAACTAATAAAATCGTCTAAGACGATAACAACATCAATTGAATTATTTAATCATTATAATATATGAATTTACCTGAAAATGATGTGGTTTACCACATGCATCTAATTTTTCAATTAATGATGATGTATGCAAAAAGTGTACATTTTCATCTTGACCACCATGGAATATAAATAAATGATATTTATTTGATGGCATATTTGAAACATAATTCATTACGTTACCTTTACTATTGAGGAAAAGAAAACGAACAAACAAATAAACAAACGATGAGTTGTAGAATTACAACACAAGAATAAGTCTAATCCTAATGTAATAAGTTCATAAGCGAGTACACGTATAATTTGAACTAAAATGCATATATCCAACAACACTAAAAAAAACTGGATAATATGTTCACTAGCAACGTCATATTAACAGTGTTTGAACAACTACAGTCTACAGATTGTATGTCTTCGCATTCTGATATCATGTGCTGCCTGGTTTTCAACGGCACTCCTAAATGAAATTCAATCAGAGACAGATAACAACCTATACATCAAGTTAATCTCCATAGAATCATTTAAACTAAATACGAGATTCTATTAACTATTATAAAAGTAAACCTACCAATAAGCATCTGGATTATCCTTAGGTAGACCAATATATCGTTCTGTGTATGCGGTATCATATAACGTCCAATCAACCACCGGAGAAATAGCTATTGCAGCTTTATATACATCGTGATATAGCATTGCAGCCATCAATGACATATAACCACCTAAAGATGAAAAACAAAAGGAGTTTCATCATCATCATAATCATTATCAGAACCGTAATACAACATTTTTTGTATTCGAAAAAAAATGATTACATTTGCAATAAACAAATTTAATTGAATAGTTGATATAGAATGGATGGAATGTGGCTAGCAGTGGAATCCAGGACGCGCATTTCATTCAACTTGGGAGTCGTCAGATGGATAGCGCTACTGAAACGCGGTTCATGGATTAGACTGTTAGCCAAATTTCATGTATTCCTATAATAACTGATGTCATATCGAGATGATCCGCACAAGATGCCCAAATATGCCAACAACGAGATAATCTAAACCATTTCTAATTGAATTAATTGAATAGTACTATCAGGCAATGGATTTTATGTAAATTATTCTTTGTACCGTCTAACTCTTTAATATTTCTTCTTTGATGTTCGCTACTTGAGATTCTTTCTTTTGAAGAGAAATGTTCAGTGATGATCTAAAACAAAACATTAATAAGTCACTTGACACATTAATAATTTATTCAATAACTATAGCACTGTGAGTTCTACACTGCCGATGATAAACGTATTGTGCAAATGGTATATCTGATAATCAATCGCTTAATCCGATTTCCTAGCCGCCTGCTCATAAACCCAGGCTAAATCTACACGGTAACTTGAACACACAAAAAAAGAAGTCTGAACAGATTGCTTGGTTCCAAAGTTAATTTAATTACAGAAAAAATGTATCTATAAAGTTACACACGACCTTGAGTTCTTAACATTTCTGCAACAACACTAGATATAGTAACAACGTTGGCGACTGTTCAACCAAGACCGCAGCAGATGATTCTGCATTTTCTAGATGCCTCTGCGAAGATCCTTAAATATAGGATGAACAATTTCATATGACATTTACAAAGTATTACTGAACTAGTAGTAGTGAGTCACAGAATGAATGTTAACCGTATGAATTCATTTAAGTGTGACTAAATTCTATAACCCGGTATAAGATTTCTTATCGATTTGCAGTTATTCTCTTATCAAATCAACATTTCTAAGCAAGTGTAGTCCATAAGGTTAGTATATGGTAAGAATTGCGATCTACGATACACATTTCACCTTATTTAGGACTCGTTGGCTGAATATACAGCTATATCAGTGTTGATGTTTGAATTAAGATTCGAACCCAATAGTTTTCGGCTCGAACACTCAACGCATTATCGATTGAGCCACTATCGGGTTTAGAACTAAAAGAAATTGCAATACAACACTATATCGAAACAATCCACTGAATATATAAATATTGACAGCAGAGACTGAACAAATTGCACTCCAAAATGATTTAATATTTATTTAAATGAATAAAGATTGGTACAATATATGTGCGCTAGACTACATCATTCGATATGTGTACGTGCTGAAATACTGCACGAGTGCCCGAACCAAAGCAGGTGGTTTTCATAAGGGGACATTCCTTGAACCTCTGACCCAAAGGTCTAATCCACAAATCAGTGAAGCGAAGTCAGAAGATTGGGTGCCATAATAGCCGGTTCGTACGCCATTTGTTCCCGCAAGATTATAAACCTAATGCGCACAATTGGTGTGGAATTAAGGTTTATCAACTCTCATTGGTGGATCCTTCCTACCTATCAACTGAGTTCAAGTGCCTGATATTTACTTTTCCTCCTCTCAATTTCGTAATCAACACTCTGATTAGATAAGGCAGTAGGACCTCACTGACAGTTGCTACATACGCGTCGCCATATGTGAGCGTTTCAACAGATAGAGCAGACTCTCCCCACTCTCGGTCTAATCGGGGCATTTAGGGGCTCTGAATACCAAACAATGGGGAATCGTAAACTAATACTAACAATAAAATACTTACATATTGACATATGGTCAAATAGGAAAGTTGTTGACTCATAAAGGTTATATATATATATATATATATATATATATATATATATATATATATATATATATATATATATAAACACGATAGCCTGCTTACCAAAGGAATAGCCCATAATAGCAACACGTGAAAGATCAATAAGTCCAGTGGTTTTTGCAGCATACTTTAAAAAGGCCACATGATCATCAAGTTCCACCTGACCCTGAATTTATTTTTAAGAAAATAGAATACGATATTTCAATGATGAAAGGAGAGAACAGGAAAGATGTTAACCCTCGCAGATTGAAGGGATTTATAACTAACACTTACCTTTATGAGCGATGTTGGGTGGTTGAAGAGTAATTTGAAAAAGAATACCAGGAGTAGACAATATCAAAGTGACATTACTGACTGCTAGTCTGAGCTATGTTGATAGGGATCTGAACCAGATGTCTGAGATCCTTGCAGTAACTCTAGTCAATGATTTTAGATGCTCAGTGACAAAGCTGTAAATTGATCAAGATGGTACACAGACACATTTGCTATTCATTTTATTCTAGATCTTCAGTTACTTTCATATGTAACTTTTGAATTCGTTTTCTTGAACTATCTCCTCAACGTTTTGTCCTTTTTATTACCATTATTAAAACTATTATTATTTTAAACCAGTTACTAATCGCCATGTTAATTTCATCGTGTTGTACTAATGTGGTATGAGAACTTGAACTAACGTATATATATATATATATATGCCAGTCACCAAGTCGTTTTACGACTGACTGATAGAATGAAGGTTGCATTGTGGTGGTCGGTATTCGATATAATCCTTAAACTTCGTATACAGCTCGTCTTGATAGCCGTTCTATATAACGTCCCAACGGTATATTAATCAGAAGGCAAATACGGAGTGTTGCTTATGTTTATTGCGAGACCATAGCAAGAGCGAGACGAGAGCGTGTGAGTGAGTGCGTGTGTTGAATATGAATAACATGGACAAATATATACCATGTGAAATGAATGAGTAATCGAATCAAATAATCAGTTAGTAGTAAGACTAGCAGAGTGAATAAATGCGTAGGCCGTAAGCAATATTCAACATACGTATTTCATACAAGCACAAAATAATAAGAGTACAATAATTGTTATAGTGCGGATGACTTTGTCCGCTAAATGAGTTAGCAAAAGGGCTTAACTGAGTTAAATGAGAATGAACTCAATTGCACGTGAGTCGCTATAGTATCAAAAGATCAATCTTTATTTTCGCCATTGTGTAAAATTACATTTCGAAAGGAAGACAATTCAAAGAGTTCACATTATATTCAAGCGTATTATAAACAGCGTTTCCTGTCGATGTCAAGACACTTAGACTAATGAACACATATTACTTAATTAACAGAATTTGAGATTTAGATAAATGTAACATTGGTCACCACTATTCAATGATCAGTTATTGTAAATATTTATAAATGATTTTCAGTTTAGATGTACCTAAAAAGGAGACTAGACTAACAGAAGTTTTGGTGACCTGAAAGCATGATCAAAGACTATAAGGGACAACAAGTTAAGGTTAGTTATAGATACACAAGTTTTTTTTGTCAACAACTTTTGATATGTCAGCTCCTAATTTTAAAGGCTTTACAACTGATGATGTAAGGCCGTAGGGTATGATGAGGTGAAATATTTTTAGAAATAACCATTTGTAACACATTCCTTCCTCTGTAACTATGGTATTAGTTAAATTTCAATCGCTGAGAATATTTCAAATATAATTTTCACATATAATGACTTCTCTATACTCGGCGCTCAATTACTGTCAAACTATTCGTTCTAATCTTGACGAATATTCGTATAATTATTGAGATAATGATTGTCTGAAAACAAAAACCTTACTATTGTCACAATCTTTTACAGTCAGCAATACGACTTGGATCTTACATCTTAAATTTGCGGCTTTTATTCGTAGAACCAATCAGCATGTCATGGTAGGACGTAAAAGAATCGATTGGATCATCATAATACACGAACTAGACTAATATATCAAGATAACAGCTATCAACAGATCAAAATGATTGTATTTGCTATAAAATGTACTTATAATAAAAAATCAAATAATATTGGATCAACTTGATAAATGTGTATAGTCATTACTTGAGGTTACTATTTTCCAAGTCTATATGAAGAGAGAGTAAGTCAGTCAGCTACAACGTAGGATCAGGCACATATGTACATCGGTCCAGGTTGCCACACCTCATTAGCACAGCAGGATGAACACCGGATTCATAAAAGTAGCTAATTCAGAGGTGGTAGTATATAAAAGAAAGATTGCATATAGAGATATAGTACAAGAAGAAAGAATTGATTCGTAGAAAGACAGATATGGAGCGATTTTAATCTCTTAGTTTAAGGGGAGACAAACAGTGTATACACCTACACCATTGTGATCGATTTTGAACCATATTACCCAGAGTCTTCAACCATTGGTTACGATAGTCACGCGGACCACAACCAAGTAGTCTGCATCTACCAACATGGCTCAGACTAGAAGTTAGTGACTTCAAGCACTGATGCCACGTTTTGGTTTGGCCACCCCTAACGTTCTTCCAACCATCTCCAACACTGATTAGCATTGCACGTTGTGGTAATCAGTGTTCAGGCATACGTAACACGTGATCCAACCATCTCAGTCGATGAAGATTGACAACCTTATCAACTGATTTACCATCATTCCCTAATACCCTGTGTCTAACCTCACTATTACTTACCCGGTGATCCCAGCAGATGCCAGCAATATTTCTAAGACATCTGTGGTCAAATACTAGTAGCTTACGAGTGTCTTCTACTCTTAATGGCTATGTTTCGTTGCAGTAAATTAAAACAGAACGGACTGCCGCGCAGTATACTCGTCCTTTTATTGATAGACGGATATCTCGCCTTCACCTCTAACAGCACTCAAGACCACTGAAGAGAGAGTAAATCAGATGATGGAATAATTGAAGCTAAAGTATATGTTACAATACACAACATTAATTTGCAGTTAACACAAAAATGAACAACTGAAAAACAATACACATAAACTTGATTTAACATTTAGATTATGGAGAAGTGCAAGAACACACATTAAAATAACTGAAATCAATGTTTCAATGGGACAAATTAATCTCTGTATTATGTAAATTGTTCATTTCAGAATTTTATATCATGTTCACAAAATGACTTAACTGAAAATAAGAATGTAAACCATTGTAAAATCAATTCAATCTCCTAAAGATTAAGCGCTTGTTGTGAGGACTGAAAGTCCCAAGTTGTGGATATACATTATTGAAGAGTTCAACATTATAACAAAACAGCCATCTAATACTTCATAGTTTTTTAATAGCTGTTTAACTAGAATAACTCCATGATGTGGAATTATTAACATTACTATTACGAAAATGTCCACCTATATACTACGATTAAATGAAGGTTATGAACCTGTGTGAGAAATTAAGATTATGATTTACCGTTGATAGTTAGCATTAGGAAGGATTTGAATGTGACCAATTTGGTCTCGTGTGTTATTACGGGTATGATGGCTGATGTCACTTCCCGGCTGCCGACACCGTGGAAGGTTATTTATCGAGGAACCTGAAAAGGAAGGTGGGTTAATGCTGGTCTTATCGACATGTGGCTTGACTGCAGAGCGCAAGGGACAACTGCGTTGAAAAGTCCCGTACTAGAACGAAACGGCCATCCAGTGCTTCCAAGTTCCAAAGGTCGTCTAGCTTAAATCGACTTATGAATTCAACTATCAAAATATAATTTTAATTATTTGTCAACTTACTAATCGATTTTTAATATGACCATCAAAATTGATACCACGATTAGAGGAACCACGACAATCACATAGAAAAACAGCATAACCAAAATGACAAAATAATTGAGCATGAGCAAATCTATTTCAAGTGATCAATAGAAAGTAAACAAATATCAGTTACAATCACTAAATAAATTATCGATCATTATCAAATATTTCTTTTCAACAGAAAAAAAACACATCAATCCAAAGATAAGATCGATAATATGAGCTACACAGTAAAAACGGTACTTTTCCATTTCACATAGATTCTCTTAAAAGTAGAAATATTGGATATCGGGTAGGTTGGCAACCATACTTGGGTTCTACTGATTATGTATTAGCCTAAACGACTTTGCTTCATTTCTACTGATTATTCGAATCTTTCCATTGATGTTTAACATTGTGATTGATCAGTCTTGTTCTTCGTAACGAGCAAAAACGAGTGTCAGTTAATAGGTATCTCAAAAACAAAACTGGACTAGTAATTGTTTAGGTGAACTAACAGTCAATGGGTATATGGACTCAGTAGCTAAGTGGACGAAGCAATGGCATTTGAAGTGAACGGTGTTGGGTTCGAATCTCAGAGTGAACATCAACTCTGAGATGCAGGTACATACAAATAGGACGAAACGCGCTTCCTGGATTCCACTGCTAGTCAATACCCATCTTTGCTTATATGTCAACCACCATTATAATTTCGAAGAGATCGTGTTGAGATGAACGAATTAACATTTAAATCTTTGCGTAGTAAAATCCTGAGTAATATTTGATGCCACTATTTTCAAACGTCGGCTTCAGTGACTTGGATATATTTCCCAAATGTCACCCCAGATACTTTTACAGCATAAGTCTATTGAACTACCGAATAAAATACATAAATACCAATCCATATATACAACATTTCTAAACCTCAGAAAATCAATCCATTCCTTAGCAAATGATATGCAGTTGTCCTTCAGGTTATTTCTGATCGTTATCAAGCGACCGTCTCACTTGGATACTTCCGATTGGCTCACTATATCAGAAGGTACCCTGCGGAGACAATGGAAAGTGGTTGTGCAATATCATGGGTTGACTGCAGTTAGATTTGTACATCATGAGATCCTGGCTCAATGGTATAGACAGTAAGCATTCGGCGTCGAAACTTAAAGTCCGGAGTTTGATTTCCGGTTGCGTGGTTATGGATGAGCACTATTGGGTAGTCCCATACTAAGGAGAAATAGTCGTTCCGTGTTTCCAGACATTCAATGGCTGTCTAACTTGAATCGATTCGTAGTCTAAATGAAATTCAACAGCCTTCACAGCCCAATACTGACACTAAGCATTATTAACGGAAATTACGTAATCCCATGTACATTTAAGTACTCCTCTATTTTTTCACAATACTATCACTTCGTTTGAGTAGTCCATACTTCTGATGACTAGTTGTACTAGAATTTATGTATATTAAGTTTTCAATTAACCATTATATAAACGACTAAAAACCAAGACTTACACAGATCTTGAATAACTGCCACGAACAAGTTGAATACCTGGACCACCATAAACAAAATGCAAAGTTGGATAACCAACAACACTAACACCATCGACCGATGATACAGGTAACAGTCGACTATGATTACAATTTGGCACAAATAACTGTCCGTATAGTATTGATTGTGAATTGCTAAATTCAATATAATTTGATGAGTATGTAACACTAATACTACTACTTATATGGTCATTTATACATTCATCATTATTATTATTTTGTAATGTGAGCATTCGATCTAAATTATTAAATATATCACATCGAAGGACTAACGGAGGATTAGTTGGATAGAATCCATTGAATGCATTATAATGCCATACTATTGAATTAGTTTATTGTTGATATAAAAAAAGAAGAAAAAAAATTCCAGGGTGAATTTATCATAAACATTACGAGATATGCGGAATATTAGATAAGTAAAACTGTGAATCTACACACAGAGTGTGACTCAAAACTGAATAGGAATTTGTACTTAGTAGGTGATTTACGTCATCTTCGGGAGAATTAAGCCTACAAATCAGATCCTAATTTAATGAACAGCAACTACAAAGATGATATCCTCCAATAGTCTATGACTTCTAATCGTGTTATTTTACTGCTAAACATTTGTATATTAGCAAACCTATTCTTCTATCTAGTGGTCACAACCTTTGATATCAGCTCATTCAGAAGCTCGAATTGACAATTCCATCTTGTGGGCAGTCATAACTCAGTTAGATCAATCGGTATTCTATGTCTATATGTTTCAACGAATTAAAACTCGTTCAACGCAATCCAAACTGAATTCATAGCAATGTCACATCAATTATGTCACTTAGTGGATGATAATACCCAGGTGATCAAATTCAAGTCGTTCATAGCTCGAAAAAGTGGCCCAATAACTAAAAAGAGTTTGAGAACGAACAACAAAACAATGAATACAACATTAACTATTTATAAAGTTCACACTACGTGCTACCATTTTCATCTATTTAATCTGTGAAACGTGTGTGGCATTAAATCAGAAATCAGATTAACATCATTGAATTTTTTTTAAAAAAACTTAAGGGTAAATACAGTCAAATGTGTTTTTTAGATTACTGAAAACGTGATAAATTACCGCCTCATTAAAACTTATTATTCTTTAGAGAAGAGATTAGTCACTTAGCCTGAATGATTGTTAGAACAAAATGACTAAGTACTCTGAAATCGTTGAAGATGCAACGATTGTTGCGGCCACCTAAAAGTTGTGATCGGGCTTACTCATCATCGTTACTCTATCAAACTGTTTTGGCGGGAGCGCTTGTTCCTTCAGGTACTAACAGTCAGTCAGTCAGTCAGCTACAACGTAGGACATGCTAGGTAGGTAGTTGAACAACGGGAAAACGGAAGGCAGCGAATGAAAAATCCGACAGTAAAGTCATGCTGCTGACTGTACAGTGGTGTGACAGCAGTAAAGTGTTTGTTTCAGGAAACCAGTATGTGCAGCGATGGTTCCTCCTCATACCGAACCAAGTAGTTGTCCCTTAGGCTCTGCCGTCAAGCGCCCAGGAACTCAAACTATTCCTAGTTTAGATTATTGTTCAGGGACTCCAAGGCGAAGTATTCTTCCAAGATCTGTGGTGCCACGTATCACGCATGCCCGACCACCGATTACCACGACGCACAATGCTGACTAGTTTTGGAGATGGTTGGAAGAAAGTCAGGGGTGGCCAAACCAAAACGAGGCATCAGTCCATAAAATCACGAACTTTTGGTCTGAGACATGTTGGTAGATGCAGACTAATTGATTGGGGTCCGCGTGACTATCGTAACCAATAGTTGGAGACTCTGAGTGACATGGCTTAGAATCGATCACAATGACGTAAGTGTATACGCACATTGTCTTCCTCTAAACTGTGAGATTAAAACTGCTTTATATCTTTCTTTCTACAAACTAATTCCTTCTACCTGTATTATATCATTATATGCAATCTTTCTTTCATATTACCACCACTGAAGTAACCACTTTTATGAATATGGTGTTCATCCTGCTGTGTTAATGAGGTATAGCAACATGGACCGATGCATATATGTGCCTGGTCCTATGTTTTAGCTAACTGACTGACCTGCTCCACCTAGATTTCTCGTTATTTGTAAATAGTTGGAAGACAAGGATTTATAATTGACTGAGAATTGAGTAGCAACTTATGTAATCTTTAGCAAATCCTTTTACATGCTGACCAAGTTGCGATGTTGCCACTAGTCTGAGTGACGAGACATTGTGTGAGATACACGGAAATTTTGGTTGGTAGGAGGTGGTCGATAAGAAACCCTGACTGAATTAGGTTTCATCCTAGATGCCGCTTGTAAACAAGTTGTACCTGTAATATTACAAGAAACGATACTTCCTGGCGAACTCGGTTTTTCGTCATCCAGTTTTCCGTCAAAGACACCCTTCGAGCCGCAAATAACCTCCTGCAGGACTGGGTTATACTTACAATTGACTGATTATTGAGTAGTGACCAATGTCTTGTTTATCAACTTCTTTTTAGTGCTGATGTATGCTAAATAACACAAAACCTAGATGAATGCAGAGTTCCCTGTTGACTATCTCCAACAATCTAATATCTCATCAGAGTGTAGGTAATTTCAAGTCACTTGGACTTGTGACCCCATTGCAACTTGATCAGTAGAGTTCCATCAGCATTAAAAACAACTTAATAAGTACGATATTGGTCGCTTATCATTCAGCAATTAATCAACTTTAAAGAATATATTCGGCTGTAACAGAGAAAAAACAAGCACCTGAATCTTAAAAACTTGTACAATCCGCCACCACACGATACAGTAATAGTGTTACAAATCGTAGGATTCAAATACAAAGTGATTATAATCAGATTTCAGATGAAAATACATGGAGGATAATAGCTTTAAAGGTTGTTACTAAGTTTGAATCCATGTATAATCAAAATTTCTTACCATGTTTACGAAGCCATGCTATATGTTGTAGAATTGGTTTACGATGTTTATTTACAGTAATACTAGTAGAATTATTTATATTATTTTCATTATTCTCAATAATAACTTGACAAATTTGAATGCCAACAAGTTTATCTAAACTGCTTGATTCTAGGATCATAATACCAGATTGAATATTGAATGTGTTCAATTCATAAGACAATGGATATGGTTTCATTAATAAACATGAATCATGAAACAATGGATCCAATGTACATTCAATATTAGAATTCATTGATAACGATGATGATGATGAATTGTGTGCATTTTGAATGGATTTCATAACACGAGTATCATTGTTGTCGATTGGAAGGTCTAACGTTAAACAATTTAATGAACCTCGATCACTTTGATTTCCATAACTTACGGAATATCTACATAAATTTAGGATAAGAAAGGGATTAAGGTAAAATAGAGAAAGATATGAAATTGGTTATCCGTTTACCAAATACTTAGGCGTTTATGCATACAATAGACAGATTGTGGCCAGTAGAAGAAGCAACGATCCATGCTACATCCCTATTTCGGACTTGGCAGAGGGACATGTAGTGAACGAGCATACAGGTGGTGGCAACCGATTGCAGATGAACACGAACCTACAGAATGTCTTGGTAAAATATGAGAATACATTGAATTATTCATTCATGGATTCATTCGCGGATTGGTTGAGGTTAAATGTTAACACTATTGGATGACGGCTCAGTGGTCTAGAGGTTAAGCATTCGCGGGTGAGATTGAAGGCCCTAGGTTCGAGTCGCGCAAGTAAGATCATGGATGCGCACTGCTGAGGAGTCCCATACTGAGACGAAACGACCATCCAGTGCTTCCAGGTTTTCAGTGGTGGTCTAACATCAATCAGTTAACAATCTCAATCAAAAAGAATAATCCATTTGCAACTTTCCATCATTTATCCCTCATATTCTGTATGATTCGTCCAGTTCACAATTCCTTTATATTTTCCCTTCCATTCTCTACAGCTCGATCTTCTTAGCCTTTTGCTGCCAGGTTTTCCACCTCCGATTGATGTTACATACTACTTATGTCGATAGATATAAGTAGCATACGCCACAGAAAAACCTACAATCCCAGAATTGATATTCACTAAGGGACTTGAACCCATTGTCTTTCGCCTCAGAATTATCAAATAAAGGAATAATTCAAACATTTATTCATAATAATATCTAAATATTCAATTTTTCAGCATCGAACATTGGAAATTATTATTATAACAATTAATAAGCAGATTACTTGAACAAAAACTTACTTACATGTGTTTCAAAAGAGGATGTTCCCTAAATCCTTCAAAATAAACAAATTTATTATCTTCGTCCAGCCAAACCTATAAGGAAAAAGTGGTAGGTTTAGGAATAGAAACTTCACAAATAAAACATGTATATACGTGAATGTTTATTTATTCTGTCGAGATTACGAACCGATAAATGTTAAATCACTATTGAAAACTTGGAAGCAGGGGACGGCCATCTTATCACAATATGAGATTCTTCACGGGTGCGATTCCGCCACCCCTCACGCAAGACTCAAACACAGGACCTTCAGTTTCGTGCGTGAACATTTAACCTCTAAATTACTGAGCCAACATTCAACGGTGTTAATCCCTAACTTCAACCAATCCACGATATTGCACGACCATCTTCAATTGCTTTAAACGGGTAACTGCCTCACACCGAAGGTCCTGGTATCGAGCCCTGTATTTGGAATCATGGATACGCACCGCTGAGAAGTCCCGTGCTAAAACGAAATGGACTTCTAGTGTTTTCAAGTTTTCAATAACGGCTTAACTTAGATCAGTTCATGATTTCAATGGAATTCAATGATCTTCACAACCCTATACTGACGTTTACTTATTTGTACCCAGAATGCAAATAGATGTAGTACAGTGAACCAAAACTAGCACTGGAATTTATGACTGGTATATTTTTGGAGCTCATCAGTTTGATGTACTTTTATTCCAGTTTGTTACTTGTAATGAGACTCGAACGCAATATTTTTACTTCAAACACCAACGCACTGACTACTGTATTGCCAAATCCAGATAGACACTAATTTATTCAACGGGTCTGATGTTTAGAACATTATTAGTAAGAGTTTGAAATCATTCCAATGTTGGTACATAGGGCAGAATTTTGATCAGTCCTTGTTGGTACATGTGTGGATCCCATGCGGATTCTATCGGTACACATAATTTTTCACATTCTCTTTCAAACAAATGAACTGTGATTTGAAGTGGAATCCTGGACAAGGGTTTTGTCCAATGTGTTCAAAAAAGCTGGTTATGCTGAAGCAATTCGAACAAGATGTATATCTTTCCCAACAAAGATTAATCAAAATTCAATCTTGCATATCAATAACCGGATAATTCGAACCCTTACTAGGAATGATATAAAGATTTAATAAATATCATCATGGAACTGTAAATGAAGTTTGATAAACATTGAGAAATCGGAACACAAACGAATAGACGTTTCTCGTACACGTTTGAAATTTCTAGATAATCAACAATTCTTGACAAGGAATAAAAAAGCACCCCAAGGTTTTTAGATAATATAATCAACTAGAGAATAATATAGAATCTGTCAAACAGTAAATAATTCCATGCATTGATAACCCTGATACAATAATCCAATTTCATTCTCTAGGCATTCACTTTTTAGCTTTACCTCGATCTTGAAGTTCAGTATTCTTTTCAATACATACCTTTCCAATCTTTTGACTCAAACTATGTTTGCAAAGACTGGCCAATCTTTTTATCATTCCTAATACATTATTTTGACCTCTTTTATGTTTATTTACATCACATAGTGGTAGCCGGGTATAGTAACTAGGACCAACCACATCTTTTCCAAGCTCTATAATGATGATGTCAATCTGTTTAGCTAAAATATCATGGCTTGATTATTCTTGACTAAAGAAAAGTTGGAATTACTACTATTTCACTACAATAGATATCCGCAATTATAAAGAAATAACGAAAGCATTATTTTGTACAATATCTCACTAATCTTAACAAGATATTAGAATATTTCAATCTTAACTTAATCTTTATATTTGTATTTCTTAGTATAGATCGTATTAGTGTAGTTATAGTCAAGAAAATGATCAGAAAACCTGAGTTGAATTCGAGTAACGAAGAATAATGATAAAAAGCTATTCAACTAACAAGTTATTAACTAAATACCAACTGAAATTCATTAGATTCTCAAGTGTTAAAAATAAGTAAGAAAACGTACTATTGATTGATTACTGAGTAAACAGCATGTTTATCGAGTCCGTTTTAGCGTTGATCGAGCTCTATCGATTATGTCACAATATGGTCACTAGTTTTGTAGTGATGTACAGTGTCTGAGAGTTTCTATAAACAATCTCAAGCGGAAAGTTGGAGGGTGAAGGAGAAAGTTTACTTGGTTAAACCGAATTATATGTTTGCATACTCATATTAAGCCTATCATTGGTTTATGTCTCATTTCCTAGAAAAAAGGTCACTTCTTGACCAATGACGCCCACTTACCCTTTGGCAATTTTTGACTGGCCTATTGTATCTACCTTTCTCTCCTAAAAAAAATAGGTCTGCTTTTCGAATCCAACTGAAGGCGTTGGAATTGGTGGCACATCTAAACTAAATGATTCAACATTATGTGTACTATATTGAAATGGTAAATGATTGTAGATAGTTCGGCTTAACTTAGTTATCGTGCTAGTTAGCAAATGTAAGTCATATGTAACTATCTGAAATCAAAAGATAAAATATAAGACAAATTTCATAAATGAAAGTAATTAATTTACAAAACATTTTATAGAGAATTTAGAAATACCTGATTCCCAGTAACCTCCCAATCACCATCGGTTAACTGATCAACAAAAATTTGTTTAGCTTGGATAAGGGTTGCAGTTTGTTCATGTGTAAAAGTATTACCATTATTGTTATTATTAATTGAAGTTTTAGGCCATGAACATTGTATAAGATATAAATGTGTAAAACCAGATCTATGTGAAGCCCAAATAAATGTACAAGAATTTTCATTTGTAAAATTTGATGATTTGTTCATTCCACTTGTTGAATCCCATGGATATTTCAGAAAGGTTAAAACGTCATGAACCTAGAACAGTAATTTTGCAAATTTTGCAAAAAATGGAACAACACTTGTTAACATAGTCACTTAACACGATTTGAAGGAAAAAAAAACATTTTTTTATAAAGTATTAATTATGGATGGTAGTTGTGACTGTTTAGTTGTCTGTAAAGTGGAAGGATTTTTTCCTCTTGCAAGAACTGGAAAAGAAAATAGATGGGTGGTGGTATTAGTGACCTGAGAACGTGACGACTGTAGATTATGAGACAACTGCTTGGACCCGGTCACAGTCTTTTTGTAGTAAGTTTTAAATGTGTTAGATTCATATTTCTAAAGATTTTATCGCCGGAGATCTGTAGAGTAAAGAGAGGTGTATTCTTCTTAGAGCCGACCTTTTATAAGCCCTTGGCTCCGTTTTGAGAAGACACCATTGCTGTAGATGCTAGTTGTTTGACGTAACAACCTTACTACTGTCCCACTCCTGGACGGACGGCAGCACAACTTTTCTACTCCCAGTTTTTCCATCCTCAAGCTAATCTACCAAGCATGGTAGTGCAGTGAGGACTATCGAATGTATTTGAACACAAAATTACAGCACATCTTAGTAAAATTTAAGAACCATACAGTAAATACTTAATTTGCAAAATATCAATCAACTGACTGTTACTTCTGCAAATACCAGTCAATCATATCACATTTCATTGTTCCTGCACTTCCATACCAATTTCCTTCTGTTCGCGTTCTTTCTTTCTCGACCTTCTGCTACCAGACATTCTAATCTTGACTATCGTTCCATACTACTCATGCCGATATAAGAAGCACTCACCACAGTAGTACCTAGAGGGACAAGCGTTACGTCAATACAGTTTGATAGGGTAATCACGATGATCAAACCCAACTACCCCTTGGTGAATCCACCGTTCCCACCAACCCGGATTAAGTGCCAAATATTCACTTCTCCTCCTCTTAATTTCGTAAACAACACCTTGATTTGAGAAGGCAGTAGGAGTTCTCTGTCAGCGGTTATATGGGCGTAATCATATGAGAGCATTTAGGGAGGGAGAGTAAACTGTTCTTTCACCCCCTCGGTCTTACCAGGGCATTTTGGGGTTAGGTTTAGTGAATATCTTGCTAACGAGTGAAAACTAGCACGAAAGTTAAGTCTAACATTTCTTACCAACTTTATACAATTACCTAACGTAAACATACTGATGTAGACTAACCATCGAACGACAGTTTCCTACCCCATTTCATTTAGTTTGGTTTCAATAGTTAAGCAGTTATTAACACTGGTGCTCATATGATGTGTACTTTAAAGTCGACTACCAGTACTTCTATGTGATTATTGAGTAATGGATTGAAAGAGGACATGGCTGTTATGGGGCCGGACAGAATATACTACATAAAAATGATTCATCAACTAATCGACAACTACCTTTAGAAAAGAAAATAATTACCACGTTATAAATCAGATGATTGAAACTATAACATACACTACTACATTGGTGATAATATGACGTTTAGAAACACATACAAAATCAATCATACCTTCGATAATTTAAAGAAAAAAAACTCACCAATACAAATATTTTTCATTTTTCATGAAATTTCTGCCGGTGTTGTTATTGTTTAGGGATGAGATAGTAAGCATTATGATTACGAAACTATTTACCACAATAATTACAAACACTTTCCACTTCATATGAAACAATTAGCCTATAAACTGATAGAAAACCGTTTACGACAGTGCAGGAGGCACCAGATACATATGGGCCGCATAAATCATTAGATTTATGTAAGGGCTGGGATATTGTTCGGGTGTCCAAACCGAAATAGATGGTTTTCTTGGGGGGCCACACTCGAAGCCTTTGATCGAAAGGTCTGGTCGACAAGGCAGTGAAGCAACGTCAGGAGATGCAGTCCCATGATAGCCGGTGATCAACGATCGGTTCATACGCCATTTGTTCCGTCAGGATCATGGAGCCTATGTGCACCATTGGTTTGGAATCAAGGTTTTCCAACTCCTCTAGGTGGATCCTCTGCGTCCACCAACCCGGCTAAAGCGCCGGACATTCGCTTTTCACCCTCTCAATTCCATAAACATCACCCCCGCCACGAGAAGACTTCCCTTGCAGAGGCTATATACGCGTGACCACGTGAGAGCATTTCGAGAGAGAGAGAGAGAGAGCGGACTCTCCCCACTCTCGGCCGTACCAGGGCATTTGGGGGTGTTTACGACAGTAAGGTGTTTGACACAGACAACCAGCATTTGTAGTGACACCACATTTTGACAACGACAGGAACGGGTTAGTAAAGGTCAACCGCATATGTAACACACCTTTCCCATAGCCTCACCAATTTCCATTGAGGAAAATAAGACTTTTAAAGTAAAGCGCTAGCACATCAAAAGATAAACACAATAAAGGGCATATGTGACAGACTGATCATAGATAATTGACGATTGGACTGCGGATACGCTTCCAGGTGATCAGTATCATCTCACCCACAATCTAAATTAAACTTCATCAAATGTTAATTGCACAAAAAAACAAGTATGGTTTAAAGTCGAATGAAACGCAAATTTGTACTTTGATCAATCAATTCCATTAAATCAAACAAAGAATTAACTAATTGGCACTAATTAGCAATCCAATTCCCGATTCATTTATGATTACTAAAATTTGTTACACATAAAAATGTAAGAAATCTCTTTAAAGTAATTTTTCCTATCGAAAATACAACTCTATATACCTTAACCCAAAATTTCGACTCGACTTCAGTCACTAATTCTATACATGGTGAAGTGAAGAATGAAGATGAATAGTCTGTTAATGTGGATGTTGCCGATGAAAACGACAATGATGATGGATCGGGATGATTAACAACATCAGAGATAGGTAAGAAATTATCAACTGGAATTAATATGAGTGAAAGACGTTGTTGAAGGCGAGTGATCAGTTGACACCAAACACTAGAAGTGAAATACATAAAAGAAAACAAATAATTTGTAAGAGATAAGAAAACAACAAGAACTTAATGAGTTCTTTTCAAAAACAAACCGATTCTAATTAAAAGAACACTGTACAACTGATATTGTTTACATCATTCATATTACCTACAATCAAGACAATGAGTAATGTCCATTTCTGCGTACTTTTTTTCTTTTTTAAAGCGTATTTTTGAGAGAGGTTACATTGAATTTGGCTCGGGATTAACAGTAAAATATTCAATACAAGCATCACATCATCTTCTCTGAAACTTATCAGACAGATTAACATTAACAAACCTTAGTATTTTCATCTTGAGACTTTTAGTACAGTGAAATCATTCATGTTGCAAATGACTATCTGTCTCTACAGTTAATTTCATTTTATTGCATAAGATTATTTACCTCATTTTGTGAAAGTATATTGAAACAATAAACCATACACACTAACTAAATCCATGATTTAGTTGTTTGAGCTATAGATGATTTAAATATTCAGAAGCTTTATATTGTCATTCTGGAAATCATTAGCGCCTATTTTATGTAGAGAAGTGAGCCCTTTAGTCACTTTACAAGTATTAAGTTATTTTGTCCTAATGGCTTTAATTATGGTTTTAAGTAGAGATGAAAAGTGTTAAGTGAAAGGAATCCAGGATGTATGTTTAGTCCAATTTGAGACTCATCATCTGCACATAGATACATCCCATAGTGAGTTGATTGACTCCAGGACTCGAACTAAGTATCAGTCGCTCCAAACATCACCTCGGACAACCAGATAGCATCATTAGACCTCATACTTAAAGTTTGACATATATTAAAGCATCCAGTGAACGAATTACTTCAATTAGTAATGTACTAACTACTTTCATTTAGAATGAGACATTTGAAAGAAGATTCTTTAAGTTTAGAAACCAACAAGGATAAAGAAAACGAAAGATTATTTCAAACGTTTGAAACAATTTTTCTGTGCATCAGAATATATTCTTATTATTAACTCTCTATCCAATGCTCAGTTAATTTGAAACAATCAAGTCCAACCTTGGATTTGATACCTTATTTATTTATTTAAACACATAAACATTGGTACAAGTAGGCACCAAATAGTTATGCGCCACACAAGTCACTTGATTTGTGTGTGGGCTGTGATACTGTCCGGGTGTCCGAACCGAAGCAGGTGGTTTTCTTGGGGGACCATACTCGAAGCCATTGATCTAAAGGTTTGGTCGACAAGGCAGTGGAACAACGTCAGGAGATGCAGTCACATGGTAGCCAGTGACCAACATTTGGTTCATACGCCATTTCTTCCTTCAGGATACTGGAGCCCATGTGCACCATTGGTTTGGAATCAGGGTTTTCTAACTATCCTAGGTGAATTGTTTGTATCTACCAACTCGGTTAAAGAGCCGGACATTCGCTTTTCGTCCTCTCAAATTCGTAAACAACACCCCCGCCAAAAGAAGGCAATGAGTAGGACTTCTCTGGCAGTGGTTGATACCTAGAAAGATTATTTCCTTATGAATATATTTTCTTGATATTGAGTATTGAATAAATGAAAACTATTGATATGATATATAATAAATTGTAAGGATTAACATAGATCACTACATATAAAATTGTCTACCTTAAAAAGTTCAGGCTTAGTTAAAAGAGGGCCCACCTCCCTACAATCTTTTAACTGAAATATCCAATTTGTGTACATCACCAGAATACCTTTCAAAATTAGGCTACCACTGTAGTTAAAACCTATGGAATATCTAAACTTCTGTGATAAAAGATTAATTACACCAACCTGATTAGAACACTAGACAACTCCTTTAACTCTCTCCCTCTCTCTCTACTGTGGTCAACATATCCTTTACGACAAGGCAGTTCGTAGAATTTCCCCACTAAAGGAGAGAAATATAAGGTCGTACATTAGGGATAGACACCTTAGTCAGACAACCATTGAAAATCAGAAAGCATTCAAAAGTTATTTCATTTTAGTATAGAACCCCTTGGTAATATGATGATATGATGAATTTATTAGTTAGGAATTTAAATCATTCGATGTTGACTCAATGATATAAAAAAGTATGCTCCTGACTTGAATTTCTAGATATCGATACGCAGTAAGTAGTAACAAACGTCTATCCATGATATAAACTATCAAGAACAATAATCACTGCGGGATTTCAACCAAAACTTCTCCGCTTAACTTTATTAGAAAAAAAACTTACTTACTTACTTACGCCTGTTACTCCTAATGGAGCATAAGCCTCCGACCAGCATTCTCCAACCTGCTCTATGCTGGGTTTTCTTTTCTAGTTCCATCCAATTCTTGTTCATTTTTCTTATGTCCATCTCCATTTCCCGGAGTAATGTGTTCTTTGGTCTTCCTCTTTTCCTTTGGCCTTCAGGATTCTTAGTGAGGGCTTGCCTTGTGACGCAGTTTGGTGCTTTCCTCAATGTGTGTCCTATCCACTTCCAGCGCTTCTTCCTGATTTCTTCCTCCACTGTGGTCTGGTTTGTTCTCTCCCACAGTAGGTTGTTGCTAATGGTGTGTGGCCAAAGGATCCGAAGTATTTTGTGTAGACAACTGTTAATAAACACCTGTATCTTATGCATCATGGGTTTCGCAGTTCTCCAGGTTTCCGCCCCACACAGTAGAACTGTCTTGACATTTGTATTGAAAATTCTGACCTTGGTGTTGGCTGACAGACAGTTGTTTTGAGTTGCAGATGTTCTTCAATGGTAAATATGCTGCTCTTGCTTTACCGATCCGCGCCTTCACATCTGCATCAGATCCACCATGTTGATCAATGATGCTGCCCAGATATGTAAAGGCTTTTACATCTTCCAAATCTTCTCCATCAACTGTGTTTTGACTGATGAGCGTTGTGTTACATCGATGAATCTTGCTTTTACCTTTGTATATGTTGAGACCTACTGTTGCTGAGGCTGCTGTTACACTGGTCGTCTTATCCTGCATTTGTTGTTGCGTGTGCGATACAACGGCCAGATCATCTGCGAAGTCTAGATCGTCCTGCTGCATTCTAGCTGTCCACTATATCCCATGCTTCCCTTCAGATGTTGACGTCTTCATGATCCAGTCAGTCACCAGGAGAAAGAGAAAGCGTGAGAGTAAGCAACGTTGTCTGACACCGGTCTTTACTTCAAACGAGTTTGTGAACTGTCCTCCATGCACAATTTTGCAGCTTAATCCATCATATTTTGTGTGCAATTCTGTATGATATTGACTATCTTCTGAGGCACGCCGTTGTGATGAAGAGGCTTCCATAGTGTTGTTCTGTCTACATACATAACTAAATGAATCCTCTTTATATAAATCTAATTGTTATCTAATAATACAGACAGGTTATTAAAATTACTTACTAATTCCCATCTGGTGTCCAACCAGCACGAACTAAATATTCAAAATTCGGTAAGTATTGTTTTAAAGGTGAACGTAGTGCAAGAGTTTGTACATTGGAGATCTGATAAAAGAAAGTAGAGATAGGAACCCTTTTTTTTACAGAAAACTTTGATTCATTTGTTGATAACGTTGAAAAAATAAGCAAGAAACAATAAGACTGATCGTTGAATTTCCTAAAGTTCGAATAAGACGTAGCGATCAATCGAATTCGAAAATGTATCCGATGTAAGACAAATGTTATCCACCAATAACATTGGAAGATGATTAAGCGACATTATAAAATCGATTAGTCTATTTTATGACTTTTCACAGGTTTGTAAGCAGTTTAAAGTAATAACAATAAGTAGCTAAAATAACTTAAAAAGACTTTTCAACTACATTCGTTGAATATTTAATGTTTCGCCTAAGAATTTGAGAAAGTAAGTATTAACTTAGGACAGAGAAAAAGCTTTCGTAATAATTTCTGTATATATTTCCCCGAATCCTCAAAATGAAGAAAATCGTCCACAAGTGGTATGATCGTCATACACTTAATGAATAGTGTACACAAATGGGATATCTTCAAAAGAATTCAAAATGATTGACAGACATAAAAACATGACATTTGTATTTTGCACCATTAACGATATTGCCATCAGATGTTTGGAAACTGATTCATTTAAACAAAGGGAAGTAAAAACGAAACCTGTTTTTTGCTCTGATAAAAAAATAACTATCTCATGTAATTTCGTTTTTACTGATCTATAAACCCTTACTCTTTAAATTACTTTTATCCTTAGTGTATGTCATTTCATTTTATAATCAGTTACTTTCATTATGAGCATTATTGTTTGTCATATCAGCACCCCAACTTTATATGACTAGATCTATTGACATCTGAACACCACTACTACTCAACAACATCAATCAAAAAAGTCGTTTATTTGTAGTGTTATTCTGCTGAAATGCTGTTTCATTTTTTTAATTGTGAACACAACTGCATCTATCAAAGTATATATATATATATATATATATATATATATATATATATATATATATATTTGATTTTGTTTCTGAAATTGAAGGACGCCTAGTCAATTGATACAATGCGTGACAACTAGAGTTGTATAAAGATAACCTTTATTGTTTAACAGAAGTGTAAACTCTAGCGTTTCCGAACATTTTTCCGTCCATTTAGCGGGCACGTACTGTATATAAAAGTATAAATTTCACTGAGGTCTTCCGTCTAATCATTTAAAGGAATATACACATGTCTACTGTAGCGTGTATCCCAACTAGCCAGATGAAAAAAAAACAAATAAAGTGAAAGTTAGGACTTGAAATGAAGTCCTTAGTGAAAATCACACTCTTTTATGCAGGATCCACTAACTAAATGAATGTGAAAACGCTAGATATTCCATATACATTGAACATTGGGAGGCCGGTAGGCTACAAATTCACGAGAACGTGTCCTATTCCCTCGAGTCGGTTCATTTCAATTTCGGGTTGACGCTTATCGTATTATCAGAAATGACAATGAAAGCTGTATAGTTTAATCATCTAGATAAAAGGATGAAATATCCTCTGATCATCAAAAGCATTCACCCAAGCGATAAATCTTCATTTAGCCCTCTATATGATGATTAACTAAATAAAAAATAAACGATTGATGGATGAAATCAATCGATTTCAAATAGGCTTTCTAATTATTGCAATTCAATGACAAGACAGTCTTCAAAGTGTAAGTTCAATTATAATGAACGTTTAACAGATAATAATAATAATAATAACTACTTGACAAAAACTCATTCATCTGTAGTCAGCTGAACAAAGAAAACAGCCAGTCATACTCACTTTACCCATTGAATCCAGTTTAAACTGGCATATTTTCAAATTACTACTTGCATTTTCAGTGCCTGAGTAAGACAGAAAGAAATAAAAGATTAAATAAACACACACAGCAAATGAACATTGGACAATCTATTTCTAAACAAACAGCATTATATAAAGATAACATTGACAATTTTTCAGCAATGTGTTCACTGGTGACTAGCTTCAAGATGTAACACTTCTGGAGTTATGGTGAGAATCTATGAAGTACAACAATACCAGATGAGAGACAATTATTCACTGCAGACAATGGGTTAGGGTTGTACAGGATTGTGAGATGAATGAAGCAAGATATTAAAGTCACTGGATGCCGTCTCAGTAGTTTAGAGGTTGTGTTCGCGCGCATGACTGAAAGTTCAGGGTTCGACCACTGGATGTAGGGGTTGTGGATGTGCAGTGCTGAAGGGTCCCATACCGAGACGAAACAGGTACTCAGTGATTCTACGCTTTGAATGGTGGTCTAACTAAGATTAGTTCGCAGCTTAAACTCTGAGAATATAAAAAAAGTTCAAAATTGTTTCATACCTCTATTTATTGTCAATGAAAAATGAGGGAAATTGTAAACAAATTACAACCATTTTTCTCATGATGGTTTCATTATTGTAAACTTTGAAAATACAATATAAAATACAGTATAGAGAAGAGATTGAAACAACCACAATAAATTTCCAGTTAGTTGCTATCCCAACAGGCAATAGCTTTCGTGTAAATGGGTCATTTATGAAAAGGGAAACAATCATATATCAAAGTATAAACAGATTTTACATGATTAATAAAACTATTAATGTCTCCTACAGTGAGGTTACTCTGTCTGTATATTCAAAACAAAAAAAAAACAACGACATATAAACTTGTCCTCGTGGACATAGATTCTCCACTTTTTTTGAACCCTAATAAGGATGTAAACATATTTTTAGGATTCCCTTTATGTTCCTAGTTAGGAATGGGTATTTTGTGGATAGAACTAAAGGTTTATGATTAGGGTTTTCCATTGCCAACTGACATCGGTTATCATGCAAAAGTGCTCTGTCACAATATAGATGAATGAATCTTCTCAATTAACGTCTACAATTACAGCAATGTATCTTTTTGTTTTCTATGAACTAAACTGAATTCAAAATTAAAACTCAAGATTGTAGACAGTCAGTGTTGTTTGAGGTATAGTAGAATACTGCCACTTCACAGTTGTGCACACCAATGAAAAACAACTCCTAAAGTAAAAAGAAGACTGGGTTAGTAGAGGTCTTAACAACCTGGGTAGGTGACTGCAGATCACATGGAACAACAACTTGCGTTCAGTCTTACACGAGCTTTTTATACGCAGTTTTGACGTATTAACCCAGTGCTTTAAAGACATCACCACAGAAACACAAATCTGTAGAACAAAGTGAGCTGTGCTAATTTCACAAATAATCCTTTCTAATCCTCTCCTTTGTTGTGGATATGGATATGGACACCTTTAAAATTGACCATCTCAATAAAGGCGTCAGCTACTACTAATGATCAAGTTGATATTGGGGTTAGGAAACAAAATCATTGTTGCCCTACCAAAGGAATTTTTATTTACCTGCAATTGGATAACGTTGATTTTCCCAACCACCACCAAATTCCCCATGAAACAATCTCGTCACAGCCACATTACGTTCATCCACTTCTTCATATAACAACTGATAATAATGATCTATAAAAGCACAAAATAACGATCGGACAAAATTCATACTAGACTAACCCTACAAATAATAAAATTCCTTTGTATAAACATTTTAGCCATTGTATTCAAGTCGACTGAAAAACATTTTGGACGTTAAGCTAAAGTGATATAAAGCACAAATACATATATTCGGATCCTATTTCATTTATGCAGGTTAGGACAACCAATTGTCAAGCAGTAAGTAGCAGGCAGTAGTAGTATCGCTAGTTCTCACATAAGATAGTGTAACTTGAATCCCAGTAAGTAAAAACATATTTGATAAGTAGCTGTTAGCAGGATATAGGTTGGATTAAAGCATGTTCCATCCAAGATTGTGTTTGGACATGGAGACTGGCTATTTCTTAATCAATCAGCGCTATCCAGTATTTGGAGAAGACTCTAGAATCTGCTTACGTAAAATCTATCAATATACTAACGTTTTTCTTATTGTGATCCCTACTTTCATTCAACTTTGTTTATTTGGAATATAATTACATTTCTGTTTAACCGTGTTCTGATTTGGCGCCCTGTCGAGTGAAGTAATGGTCAAAGAATACAAAGCAATAAGAGTAGCTGGGCTGTAAGAGGAAAATTCATAGCACTAGCTTGAACTAACTAAACAACACACTTCAATGTAATGCCCAACGATTGATCAGATCCATGTAAAGAAATGAAATAATGGCTTTAATATTAATCGTATGAAAAAAATCTTCATATAAATGAGTAGCAAAGAAATGTTCTAACAGTGCAAATATAAAATAGGAACAAGTCGATCAGAACACACAAAATAGATTCCAGTTCTCTACACGAGAAGTAAAAAAACGAACGACTTTTATTTTACATGACATAAGAAGGGTAGTAAGAATAACTTTCTATGACGCTCGAAACGTTGAAACGTTTTGGGATTAAAATAACACTTCTATGAAAATTAGCCAAGCATTAACTGGAAATTGTAATTGGGTGACATATACAATTGTTTATTTACAGAGTAGTAAACAAAACTATATTCGTTTAGCTCTTTAGCGCTGACCGAGTTCTATAGATCAAGTTACAAGAGAGCTCCCACTAGTCTAAGTGCTCCGATATTACGCGCGCCCTATGTTGAGATGTTAGGTGATTGTAGGTCGTTGGCAAGACAAACATAATATTGATCACTGCTCAGTGATCAGTCCTAACATGTCATTTGCAACACAAATTGCTGAATAAGAACATCTCAGATTGTGACACCAGATGACTGAGGTTCGATTCCCCAGAGAGAATTAGTTTCCAGAAGAGTACAAATACTCCTCGTTTGTGGAGACTGGGTAGGATCCAGATTTTAAGATAGTGAAGATCCGTGGTTCAGGTAGATAGTTTAGGTGGAGTTTTGATCGTGGAGCTTTCATTGTTCTTCCGAACAACATCATCAGCACAAACTTCAAGTAGAATAATCCAGACTACCTCCAACCACTTGAAATAAAAGTTGTTTTTATTTTCAAAGAGAAATTTCAGTTAAATTTGTGAACAAAGTAATAATAGTGAGGTGTATTAAGTATTCTAAATTAACTTAAGAGGCATAGAGTTATTCATCGAGTAAGACGTCGGAATATAACATATAGTAGTCAGAATACCAGTATTGCAGATCACATGCATTTTGTAAACCTTTTTGGTAAATAATCGTTAAACATATCATTTTACCATTGGTCATCGTTGGTCTCCACCAATAACCAACATATCGATCAAATTCTTCCTGGACGACGAATGGTGGGAAACCTGCAGACAAACCACCTAAAATGAGAATTACACAATATAAGGACATGAAGAAATGGAAAATAATTACAGATTGAAACTACAACATTTCGATACCATGTTCTTGGAATAACTATATTATGGTGTCAAGCGACAAATTTCAGATATATCAAAGTGAGCTGTGTAACAGATGGAATTCAATCATGTCAGGAGTGTAAGTTAAGGGTATCATCAAAAACACTAGATAATCGTCAAGTAATATAGCGAATTAATTGAATTTGACAATATGAATAATTATTGGATTCCAACTAATTGGTAAACAAAAATTGTATCTATTTATTGTACAATAACTAAAGGTCCTGAATTCAACACTTGATGAGGTTAACCAATACATATTACTGTAAAGTTAATCCTAAACTGAATTGAAACAATTATCCAACGTTATACAACCATTGAAAACGTGAAAGCACTGGACGGCCGTTTCATCCTAATATGGGACTCCTCAGTAATGCGTATCCAAGATCTCGCACGTGAGATCCAAATCAAGAACCTTCGGTTTCGCGTGCAAACACTTCACCTTAATGGTGGTCTAACATTGATCGATCCATGATCTTAATTACAACTTAAAAATCTCCATAACCCTATACTGATAACTATTCAATGCTTTACAGTTCCCAATTAACAACTAATTTACATAAATTCATAGATGAAAGTCAATCATAAAAATATTTAATATTTCAATGGTTGAGATCATGAGTCAGTTGAAGCTAGACCACTATGGAAAACATGGAAGCACTGGACGGTTGTTTCGTCCTATTGTGGGACTCCTCAGCAATGCGCATCCACAATTTCATGATCTCAACCTTCGAAATTACTATAATATCCACAAAACTCCTTCTGATATTACTTATTTAATAATTCATAAAACTTACTATTATTTGTATGATTTGTTACTGGTATCCATGTATTTGTTGGTATATAACCAATGTAAATATTTTCATTTGATAAACATACAATAAAATCTGAATTGAATGGACACATAATTGGTTGAATTGCACTAGACAATGGAGTTTTGATTAGTTCCAAAGAATTAGGTTGTTCCTATTGGAAATTAGAATAGATCATCTATTAATTATAAAAATTTATTCGAAATCAAATATGACATAATATAAATGAAATCTCATTCCGGGATAAAAACAACTGTTCAGAATGCTATTTGATCTACTTGAATGAATATCTAAGTAAGATTAGTTCATGATGTAAACTATACAAATTACACTAATAACAATCATATGATCACTAGTGATTAGATTCCAGAGGCAATTTTAGTTCTTATGAGAAATTGTGAATAGTAGGATTCAACCATGCCAGCTATGAAATAGTTATCGAAGTTAAGCATGTACATCATTATTGCCGATTCAATAGACTAGAGATTAAGTGTTCGTCGAGAGACTGAATGTCCTGAGTTTGATCTTTGATAGATTCGTGAATGGGAACTGTTAATGAATTCAACACTAGAGCAAAACAGTTGTCCAATCCTTCCTGATTTTTAACCGTTGTTTATCTAAGATCAATTCGTGATGTAAACAAAGAAAAATCCTAAAATATTTTATTAATACATATTACATTACTTAGTGTTACACTTTATCACTTTCAATGTATGCTATGAATCTTACTCTGATAAACACATTTAGTATACTTGGTCAGAAATATAAGCTAAGATAATAACTGAAGCGGAACAACTAAACCGTAAATAAAATTCATTTGCCGATATGCAGAAATTCCTTTGATATCATCAATCGTCTTATAGTGTACGCAAACAATCGCTAGATGTATAATGTTACGTAAATATGAAAAGCCGATCGTGAATCTTTAATTAGGGTGGCTAGAATATGTCGAGCATACCCAATCATCATCATCTAGCTTGATGAGTGGTACTCATGCTCTTTTTTTGCTATAACCGGTATTGCTATTATTACGACTGCTTTCGGTATATATCTTATTAATTCCATCTCTTAGTGCTACAATATGGTAACGAGCTAATCTATGTTTTCTTCAAACATACAAAGCTTGTATTTCATGGGAACATTGAACCTCACATTTTCAGCCATTATTTCAAATCGACATTTCACCATGCAAAATAACTAGGCGGAAGTATTAGGGGATTTTTGGCCTATTGTTCTGAGAGACTACTTTTAAACTTCACCCGAAACATATATACAGATATATATCGTATAACAATAACACCAGTGTATTGCAATAGGATGAATATTGTAAAAGCTGAAACTGTTGAAACCGTTTTTTTTTTCAAATTATTACTATGATTTGTATTTTTATTATATAACTAATAAGTGTCCGGATTACTGAGTACCTATATTCTGTATATTGTAAGCTTTCATCTAATCCATAAACCATTATGTTACTGTTTATATGAGGTTTAATAATGATATCCAACTTTAACACCTAAAGTAACTGGAACAACATTCCAACCTATGACTGAATGATCCAGAGTCGAACACTTTGACTAATAAACCACTTTTAATTAAGTAGCATTAGGTGTGTACTTCAATACAGAGCAAACTATAAATTAACAATTAACCAAATCTAAACAGATATATTTATATATAAACATCTTGTTAATACACAATAGAAAAAAAAACATAACTAACTCCAAAACATGTATTGTCTTCAGTACTATAAATTTCACTTGATGCACAAATAATTAGTTTACCACAATTGGATAGACAATAATTGCTAACACCCGATACAGAAACACGCATACGTTCATGGATTAAGAAATCGGTTAATGCAAGTGAATTTCTTTTTTTTTTTGAAAAATAAAGCAAATTTAAAACCAAAAATAAAATATAAACTAATCAAACAAAAGAAACATCGTTTAATAATGATAATAATAAAAAGAAATTTAATTTCTAGTTTATATTATGGATTGATATTAGCCAAACAACTATGGGAACTAGAAAAGACTGGACAGTTGTTTTATACTAGTATGGAACTCTTCGGTAATATGCATCAATAACCGTTGCAAGGATCGGACACAGGACTTTCAAGCCTCAAAGTGAGACCCTCACCTTCAAACCAATGATCTGGTATACAATGGTTCAGATTGTAACGTGGTAGAATTCCAATGGTCACGGCTTCTCACGGGAAGTCCAACACTTTTTTAAACGCTAATCACTGATGAACACATAATTATTATTATTAGCATAGGAAGATAAGCAGATTGTTAAATTTTAGGTTTTTTTCACGAACTGGTGTTAGTTGTTTGCGGAGTCCCATGCTAGAATAAAACACCTCCCAATGGTTGGTTAGGGTCAACCCGTGATGTAAACGGCAAATTAACAAGTTATCGCAAATCTCCTACACAAAAAAAATCGATTGCTAAAGGCAAAACAACTGTAACCAAACAAATGAAAATAATCTGATCCGTTTATGAAGAACATTTTAATACAACCAGCTACAAATCACTTTATTTGACAGCTACGGTATTACCCAGCTAATCAAACCGAAGCAGGTAGAGCCATATATTAACGGTTTGCATACATCACAACTTAATTTTCATAAGCGTATGTTTGTGACTGGATGGATGAATACTGAACATCTGAATCATTACATCGTAATTTCACTTTGATTAATAAGGTTTAAAAAAATCAAATGACTTACGGTAAAATAAATGGACATTTTTAGAAAATTCTTAACAACTTTCAAAATATACATAAATTACCTATGGAAATTCATTCTAAAATGATAGGCCCCAAATGCATTAGTACGCCCGAGAGCGGAGGAAGTCAGCTTTCCCACTCCGAATGCTTTCACATGGCCACGTGCTTACAACTACTGCTTTTTCGCACCACGGACGTTGTTTACGAAATTGGGAGGACGAAAAGCGAATGTCTCACACTAATCGGGTTGGTCGACATGGAGAATCCACCTAAGCGAGTTGGAAAACCCTCATTCGAAACCAATGGTGCATATGAGCTGGCTGCAGTATCCTGAAGGAACGAATTGCGTATGAACCAATTATTGGTCACCGACTACCATGAGACTGCATCTCCTGACGTTGCTCCACTCTCTTGTGGATCAGACCTTTAGGTCGAACGCTCTGGGAATGGCCCCCTAAGAAAACCACCTGCTTCAATTTGGGCACATATACCTATCTATTCATGCAATTTATAGTCTATGCTGAGATTTTTATAGATTTTCCTTAAAATCAACAAAAAATTATCCAGTAAACTTGCTGAAATAATCAACAACAGTAACACCATTCATCATATCATCTTACAAAGATTATGATAATAATGCTTACTTATAGTCTAAAAATTCATTAGGCAACAATGGATACCATATTAATTGATCATCGGAATTCTGCCGGATTAAATCAGCGAAAAACAATGAAGGTTTAGTACCAGGTTGAAAACTAGTCGACGGATAAGAAATGAAGTAAATTCGACAGCGTAGCTAAAATTACGAAAAATAAATGGTATGGATATATCACAGACGTAAGAAGTGAATTCGGAGAACGCTCGCGCAGAAATGAAAAGAAAATTATAACTTCATTTTATCGCTAACCTCAGAATAAATGGAATGACTGTAGTTTTAAATAACAGATGACTGTAAAATTCAGAACGTGTATTAATTAGTTGGCTGTTATGCCAAAACTGACTACTTTTTTCCACTGAGAAATAATCATTTAGCTAACTCACTTCTCATACTAATAAAAGAGATTTTATCGTCAGGACAAGAATGATATTTGTTCAATATTTGTTTATAGACGACTTCAAATAGTACAATCACTAAACATCTCTTAAATATAAGACATCTAGTAGATACCTTGCAATCTTTCAAGGTGATTAATAAACATCCAGGCTCCAGTCTTCTGAACTTTGCTGATTTTGTTGCTACCAGGTATCATAAACCTGATTTGTGTTCAGAATCAATCCGTCAGCTACAACGTAGGACCAGACACAAGACTCAGTTTATTAGACATCAGGTAATTTACTTTCCATACGAGTTACATTTGTTCCCCAAGAGGGTCCAAAATGTCAGTTTATCTAGTCAATTTTGAGGGTTGTTAACGATGAATGCCGTCTAAGCATTCTACCTGATCGTCTAAACTGATACTCCATTATTAAATATACTGCTTTGATTTCACATTTACAAAAAAACACATAAAAACATACTTTGTCTTTAGAATCAGAAAGATTTCGGATTTTGATCACGGTTGGGATGGAAAATGTATGCAATCCAAATCCGTATGACGAAGCTATATGATAGAAGTGTTCAAATGTACTGGTAACTTTATTTGAACTGTCTGAATCCGACATCATTGCCTGTAAACAGATGGAAGAATTTAAGTAATTTTGATCTGATGAAAATACTTGATTTAAAAAGTCATTCCTAGAAGCGAAGAAATGTAACGAATGTCAGACACATTTTTAAAGTCAACATCTATGTATGCAATTTTAAGACGATGCAAAGATCGTTTGGCACATGAAATGTTGTCTTTTGAAGTCAAACTGATGAAGTTGTATAATACATCGAAATATTTCAGAATAGCGTCCAAAAAACTTTGCTCAGTTATGTTCGTATAAATGACAACAATTTGTATCAGATATCCATACGATCATTAGAATCTATAATCCATTGATGCTTCGAGAAAACTTATAAGAGCTTTGAGAATATTTAAACCGAGTACATGAGTCTATTATTTTCAAAGAAAATTCTATAGATAATGAAATGAAGATAAATGTGAAGGAATATTAGATAAGATTAAATTTAGAATATACATATAACTCGTTTCCGAAGTTAAGAGTCACCCAAAAAAAGACATTGTCAGCCTAAACCGATCCTGGTGAACATATTTCACCAAGCAACTTAGGGACAAGCATAGGAGACACTTTTCACTGAAATTGCTAAGAAACAACAATCTCAGCCAGAATAGATATATGAGTGCATATGAACAGATAGGAAAAATTTATGCTCGAAAATAAATTATCAAAAAAGTTTCTGGTCAGACTATAATTTTTAGACAACCTTTGAGTAACGCGAAGATGACCATAAAATGACCACCTACTAACTAAAACTAAATGAGGATTATAAACTAGTGTGAGGAATTAGAATTATGATTTACAGTTGATGGTTAGGGTTAGCAATTACATTTAGGGTTTTCATCACGAACTGACATCAGCTATAATGCGAAATAGTATTTAGCCAAGTGTATAAATTTTGCGCCAAAATGCGAGACTTGTTGTTTCAAATTTAATTGGTTCGTCAATAAATTATAGTCTCGACAATTTCATTAGTCTAAAGTTGTCTTATTTTGACTCAGAGGCTATATTGATAACATGTGAGGACCGACAAAAACGGTGCCCGCAACACATGTTGAGCCACTTAATTTAATGACAATTAGCAACTAATTAGACTGATTTACGACGTCTATCTAGTACCTAACATGAAACATCAATATCATTCAATATGAGGCAAGGAAGCAGCTTGTGTGCACGCGTCAACCTCTATTACACATGTTCACAACGGACTTATAAAGCCTTGAGCTGATAATTACAACGGTAACTATGAAGTAGATATAAGTACTAGCTATAACTAGGAAATATATTTCCTGCACCTTATAAGATGCAGACTAAATGTATGGATTTCGGCAATTTATTTGCGCATGAAAATACTGATTCGAAAGAATACTCATTCCCAAAATAAAAGTAATGAAAGTTTATGGTGAGATAACATCGAAAAGACTTTACACTTTCAGTAAAACTGTGCAGCTAAGGTCAGAAAACCGGACGTAGCGCACACAGTTGAAAGTGCGACCACAGTACGAATGTTCAAGTGGTTCAAATGGTTGTGGACGGAATAGAAGAAGCTTTCGCTTAACAGGCTTCCGTGTCTAGTAGCAGGGGATCACCAAATCCTCCAGGCAGGAACCTAGGTATGTTAACAGTAAAAGAGGAAAAGAAATTGGTAAATCATAGTGTGATGCTGTCCTTGGTCCTTAAGAATAGGTCAAGTTGCCTCTTGAAGGACTCGTGAGAAGTCGATTGGACTAGCTCGGCCGGCAGCGAGTTCCAGCTTTTGACAACTCTTAAGGAGTAAATGCATGACGGTTTGGTTTCCCACACGCTCTCAATTATAATTGCCCAAATCACACTTCTTTGGCATAAAGCACACTACGTTGTTCATCTTCATGAGTGTAGAGGCATTAATGGAAAATTATTCATTTTTGCGACGACTAACAAATTTACTTATATTTATGAAAGAAGTTATGCGATTCATACTATTAGCAATGTGTATTCGCTTTTTCCCTCATTTCTCTTACTTCAGTGTTACTTGCAAAAATAAACAGTCAGCTAGAACTAGGTGAAAACCTGATTGCGACATCTGTAGTATAGCACAACCTTGAAATAATGTAACCAATATTATGTGACCCACTCACATCGTTTCTAACTTTTATCCACATCATTTTTGTAACTAGATATTACACTAGCCTCCTCAAATGAGATATAACGCAACGTCCCAATAATCAAACACAAAGCAATCCATGTCCCAAACGGGCAGCCGGAATTTGTTGATATCATTCGAATTATGGTGAGAAAGCACGCCGTTGCACTAAACCGTGCAGCTTTAGGACAAACTACCCAAACCATCAGGGAAACGAAGCGGTCAGACAGTAATGGCGGCAGCTGTTACTGGCCAACCTGTTAGCCGCCTCTTTCACTTCAGGGATCGTATTTCTGGCTCGGACTTTTTAGTCGATACTGGAGCAGAAATCAGCGTCATCCCACTCCATCTCTCCCGCAGACAACAGATAACAAGCACTTAACTGTCCCTAATAGCGGCTAACGAAACAATTATCAAAACGTACGGTGAACAATCACTTATATTAGACCTCGGACTACGCAGAAGATTTACATAGGTTTTCATAGTTGCTCATGTCAAACGACCCATCCTCGGAGCCGATTTCCTTAGTGCGTACAACTTGTTAGTAGATATGACTAAGAAGAGATTAATCGATGCAAATACACGTTTACAGGTAGATGGTACACCTTCTAACGACTACGAAATCCGTGGTAGACGAATAGTGGAGCCTGCGAACAACTATTTCAACGACATACTGACAGAATACGAATGCACCACGAAAATAGACTGTCAAAAAGAATGCAATCCACACCATGTGCAGCACCACATCACTACCACCGGACCACCCATTCGCGCCAGAGTGAGGAGACTACCACCAACAAAGTTGCAGACAGCTAAGAGAGAATTTGAACACATGATGCAACTTGGTATCATCAGACCATCTAATAGTCCTTGGGCCTCGCCCTTACACGTGGTACCAAAGAAAGACCAAGATTGGCGTCCGTGTGGAGACTACCGCCGTCCGAATAATCAAACAATCCCTAATAGGTACCCTATCCCACATATACATGACTTCTCGTCAAACTTACACGGTAAATGCATTTTCTTGAAACTTGACCTTGTGCGCGCATACCACCGAATTCCGATTTCACCAGGAGACATCGAGAAAACAGCCATCATCACACCGTTTGGTCTGTTTGCGTTTCTAAGAATGCCATTCGGATTGAAAAATACCGACCAGACATTCAAACGATTCATGAATGATGTTACAAGAGGCTTATATTTTGTATTCGCCTACATAGACAACGTTTTGATCGCAATCTCATCAATAGAAGAGCACGCCCAGTATGTTCAGATCCTCTTTAAACGTTTTAAGAAACATGGCGTTGTTATTAATCCTTCTAAATGTATATTCGCCGTCCCAGCCTTAGAATTCCTGGGACACCACATTGATTCCCAAGGAACTAAACCGCTTGAAGATAAAGTCAAAGCCATCACCAGCTACTCAGAACCAACCTCAGTAAAATCATTACGTTGTTTTCTTGGAACATGCAATTTTTATCGACGATTTATACCAAGTTGCGCCGATGTACTACAGCCGTTGACAGATATACTGAAAAACGATAAATCAGGTACCAAGAAAGAAAAGAACCAAATATTCAGGTTACCTTCTGATCCCAAAGTAGCATTTGAAAAAGTTAAATCCATGATTGCTAATGCTACCATGCTCCAACACCTAAATACTGACCCCACAACCCTGTTGATCCTGTGCACAGATGCTTCACAAAAAGCCGTAGGGACAGTATTACAACAGCGGGGAAACAACACGATTACCCCCATTGCCTTTTTCTCCAGAAGATTATCGCCAGCACAAGAACGTTATAGTACTTTTGGACGCGAACTCTTAGGTATGTGCTCAGCCGTAAAACATTTCAACTTCTGGCTGCAGGGTCGTGATTTCATCATTGTGACAGATCACAAACCCCTTTGCCATTCATATAGCACATCGTATGACAAACGCTCCCCACGAGAAGCAAGATAACTTGATTATCTCTCACAATTTACTACAGACATCAGGTTTATCAAAGGTCACACAAACATTGTCGCAGACTCACTATCTAGGAGGGATATCAATACGATGGTACTCAATCATGACATCAGCCTTGAAACCTTGGCTAAATTACAAGTAGACGATGCAGAATCGAAAGTCTGCAAAGAAAAGTCCAGCTTAAATCTCATACCTGTACCAATTCTTCTTTCAGATGCATTTATCATGTGCGACACCTCAACAGGCAACAATCGTCCGTTTGTCCCACACGCCTGCCGACGAAAAATATTTCAGCACTTGCACGGTCTTTCACATCCAGGCATCAGAGCAACAACAAAGCTTATTACCGATCGTTTTGTGTGGCCGAAAATCAACTCAGATGTTAAACGTTGGACACTTAGCTGACTCCAGTGCCAACGCAGTAAGACGCAGAAACACACCTCCAGTCCAATTGGGAAGTTCCCTATCCCTGACAAACGCTTTCAGCACGTGCATTTAGACTTAGTGGGACCTCTGCCACCACCAAACTCTTTCACGCACATCCTTACTGCAGTAGACAGGTTTACTAGATGGGCCATAGCCTGCCCCATAAAAGACACTTCGGCAGAAACAGTCGCTTCAGTCTTCCTCGACCGCTGGATATCTAACTATGGAGTACCATCAATAATCACAACAGATCGCGGTCCCCAATTTCAATCTGTCCTTTTTCAGCAGTTCACTAAACTTCCAGGGGTCAACCACATTAAAACCACAGCTTACCACCCAGCAGCTAATGGCTTGGTCGAAAGATTTCACCGCCAACTGAAAAACTCGCTGATGGCACAAGACGACACATCAAAATGGAATGATGCACTATCTCTTGTACTCCAAGGTATCCGTTCAACCATCAAAGAAGACATAGGGTGTACAACTGCTGAGTTAGTTTATGGTACAACTCTCACATTATCAGGACAACTCGTAGACTCAAATCCAGCAACAGCAACAGACTCAAGCTGTTTCGCCAGCTAATTACTACAAACCATGGATAGAATCAAAGCCACACCGCCTCGGGAACACAACAACCGAGTGCAACTTGACAAAAACATAGAAACATGTAAGTTTGTTTTCGTCCGTGTTGATGCAGTTAAAAAACCATTGAAGCAACCCTAAGAAGGACCATACCAAGTAATCAAACGAACAAGCAAATACTTCGTCATCAATAAAAATGGGAACAAGGAGACAATTTCCATAGACAGAATAAAACCAGCATTCTACGAAGCACCTCAAGACAAAGAAGACAATACTGAGAACAAACAATCACTTCCAGCAATTGCCACGAAACAAGAGGAGGATGAAAAACTTAGCACTACACCCTCTTGTTTAACACGTTCTGGGAGACTTATAACAAAACCCAAGCGTTATGTCCATCTCGTCGATTAAAAACAACAACAAAAAAACGATCAAAGCAAACATCTACTCATGTCCCACACTACTAATTTTTCCTCAATTATTCGTTTTTTGTCACATTTATTTTTTATTAAAAAAACTTTTTTTGTTACTATAATAAACGAGTAAACTCTACTTAATTACTCGTTTTTTGTACACAAAAATAAACAGTTCAATTTTTTTTCTTTGGGTTATTAGCAGTTTTGCACATTATTATTATCATTGTTAGCCAACCAAGATATTAAATGACAGTGTCTTCATTTTTTTATGTGTGTGTTTATTATGCTATGCTACATCTCTGCTACATGTCACACTCATCTCCACATTTTTGTTATCTATAACTGTAAATATTATTTTTGTATACATGTATATATCATATTCTTACAATTTTTTTTGTTATTATAACCAGTGTCACCTCCGGACACTCTAGGGGGAGCTATGTGGAGATAGGCCTGACAAGCTTATTTTGTAAATAGTTTTCAATGTTATTTGTATTTATTTTGTCAACCTTTCACTTCATGTATATTTAACATTAAATGATTGTACCTGTTGTTTTAGTAAATGACCTTGAACACTCTTTCCGTTGTGATACTGACATAGCGTGACATACTCTTACTGGCTAACAAGTACACTACTACTCACACACTCCTCGTTCTATCTTCGTTTTGTGATTGAGTTAACTGAAGTCTAAATCAGATACTATCTACATTTACAGACTGTAATTGGAATATATCACATCCTACGTTGGATTATATCACTGAAGAGTTCGTCAACTAGATTCGAATTACCAAGCATTTATAATTGTGGTTCCTTAGTACCAGACCAAAGCCGAACACGCATCAATTTGGTGAACGTAAGTCCCAACTTTCTATTGTATTTGTAATAATTAACTTATATATATTAACATTTCTATTTATCTTTATTAACTTTGTTGATACTTTTGCGTTTATATATCGTCTGGTCCACCACACCGCACCTCAGAAGAACTAAGAAAGGGTTAGTCAAGTGATTTTTTGTCTGGACAACTGCTTCAAACTTTGCCTAACAGAAGAAATGAATCGTTTGTTTGTTGAGAACTGTGCCTAACCAGCAGTAGGTTAGCATATTTGGTTATTCAGGAATTTAATTCCAGCTTCGTTTCTTCTAACTTTAAAAAACGAAAACAGTAGTTTATAACTAAAATGTTGATTGTCAGTAATCTTTCTCACTACTTAAGAGACCCAGTTAATCATTGAGGCCTCTTTTTAATGATTCGCCACAAGGTATTATCATTACAGTGAAGATGTCACAGGTATTCGGAGTTTGACAACGCTTTAACTAGTAACACCTAATATGAATCGTACCTACCAAGCGAAATCGAAAGACAGAAGCGAGAAGGTTCGAAGCTATATTTGATAAGCTGTCAATATATCGAGGATCGTCTGATGTAATCTGGCTAGCGATTGCAGGGGTTGTTGAGCACGGCGTTTCCACTCGTGATCTGGTACGGATGCATGACCGAACGCCTTCAGCTAGGTGAGTTCAGATTATAAGTGATTCAGTGCTTTTTCTGGCACAACAATTGCAACGACCGAACATAACACATATAACTCTATGATATACTGTTCATATTAAATATTATTCAAATGAGTTAGAGTTGCCAGGGACAATATTAACATAAAGTAATAGCAAGTAACTAGTTTTACTTCATAAATTCAATAATAAGAATAATTCCACTTCTTAAACACAACTTTTCAATTTTTGGCATTGAATTCATCCTGTTTTTTTGGGGGGGAGGGGAGAGAGTTTGAGACAGACACTAAACATTTCTATCTCAACTCATTTGTCTATTCTATAACCTTATCATCATTCAACTAACCTATCTACATTGAACTAAGCAAAAGAAGCAAAAAGAAATCTGATTGGTTAATAGAATTTAATCAATGAACCAATCATAATTAAGTAGAATAAATAAATCGGTTATTCGTTTATTTATTTTTTTTTGTCTTTCTTACAGTAACCATTTTGCCTATTTATTGATTCATCAAGTTTGTTTCCATACAATTGATCAAGAGACTAACAATAAAATCAATAACGACGATGAGAATAATTAAAGAGAACATAAATAAATAATGATCTATCATTGAAATTTTGATTATTCTATTATAAAATTGATTCATTCTTGTTAACAAATTTCATTGAAATTACTGATATTTTATTATTAGTAGTATTATTATGTATGAAAATCGGAGTGATTGGCTTATTAATCAATTGTTACCATTGAAACCTGATCCAAGATTATCAAATTATCCATTCATGTCAACATGGACACCAACTGCATTGATTTCATTCATTTATTGTATTATTGTATATATATGGCGTATAAAATTAATACAAAAGAAAGAATCAAATACAAATGGAAATAGTATAAAAAGAATAAATAGAATACAATGGATTCAATATTATATGGCATTATATAATTTTATTATGGTTATATTTTTTATATATTTATCAATATCTAGTTTAATTGTCATACGTCAATTGAATTATGGTTTAGGTTGTATTGAATTACCAGATCCGAATGATAAACGTACAGATGATTTAGTGTATTATGGTTATTTATATTTTATTTCAAAATTTGTTGAAATGTTAGATACAGTATTTTTTTTATATCGTGGTAAAGTGGATCAAGTAACATTTTTACATGTATTTCATCATGCATCCATGCCACCATCAGTATGGTGGGGTTTAAAATATGCACCTGGTAAGTTCTAGTGTATTGATCTATACGGATTGTTAAATAGGTTATTGTCTCTTTTTGTTTTCCTTCAACATATGCTGATAACTGTTCTATATGTATAGATAGATTGAAAAGAAGTTTTATGAGACAACTGCCCCCAAATACCCTGGTATGACCGGGAGTGGGGTGGGCACGCCCTCTGTCTCGAAATACTCTCATACGGTCACGTGCATACAACCAATGCCAGGGAAGTCCTACTCAATGCCTTCTCGTACAACGAGTGTTGTTTACGAAATTGAGAGGACGAAAAGCGAATGTCCAGCGCTTTAACCAGATCCCAAACCAATGGTGCACATGGGTTCCAGTATCCTGAGGAACAAATGGCGTATGAACCAAATGTTGGTCACCGGCTACCATGAGACTGCATCTCCTGACATTGCTCTACTGACTTGTGAATTAGACCTTTATGTCTAAGGCTCGGGGAGTGGCCCCCTAAGAAAACCACCTGCTTCAGTCTGGGTACCCGGGCAGCATCACAGCCCTCACACAAATCGGATGATTTATGTGGCGCATATCTACTTGGTGCCTCCTTGTATCGATGTTTATGTGTTTAAATAAATAAGTAATAAAATTATAAGACAACTGGGATGTTGAATTATTACTTTTGAAATGCTACAAGCAAGAAAATTTTGTTACTGACTAATAAATCATCCGACTGGAACCATGTATGAATGAGATCATGAATCAATTAATATTAGACCATTATTGAAATCTGAAAGTACTGGATAGCCGTTTTCGTCATAGTATGAGACTCCTCAGCAGCAAGCATCCACGACATTAACACCGTTGGATGACGGCTCAGTGGTCTACAGATTAAGTATTTGTGCCAGAGACCGAGGGCCGTGTACAGGATCGTGGATGTACACTGCTGAAAAGTCCCATACTGGGACAAAACGGTCGTCAAGTACTTTCAGGTTTTCACTGGCGGTCTAACATCGATTGACACATGATCTGAATTAAAAACTCAACAATCATCAAAACCCCATACTGGTAACAGAACCATTTATCCAAGCTACCATATTTAATTTGATTTAAAGCTCATATCATTATTATATATGCGAATTCAACTCTATCTTTAAGCATAACAAATATCACATTATCCACACTCACACAAATACACAAACATGTTGGGGTTATGGATGTACACTGCCCAATAAGGTGTCCTGTACCAGGACGAAATAGCCATTTATTGTCTCCAGGTTTTTAGCATTAGTCTACCTAAAATCAAATCATGAATTAAACTGCGAAAATTCGACAATCTTCAAAAATCCCTCTTTGTTAACCTAATTTATTTATTTATTTGCCGAAGAAGTAGCTTACACTGAGTGACGAAACACCGGAAAATGTAATTTTCTATTCATTGAGAAATTAAAAATATATTCTTTTTATAATCAACACTATAACTACTATACAATTTATTTGGAATCATCAAGTCTTGGTAATGATATATTACTTATATTAAGTGGTGCTCTGGTTGTTAGAAGGGGCATCGGTATCGTGACTTCAAAAGAATCTCGCCTTTCATCATAAGGAGTCATAATTCTTCCTTCAACTCCCTGGGGTAGAATTTAAATGATTTAGTTTGGTTAGCATTTTTTAGAAAGGTATTTTTACGAAATAGAGTTTCCGATCCCATACCTAACCCTCCTACTATGTGTGTTCTTGGGACCAGCAGTAACTCTAGAGGAGCTACATCTGGAGTTGTAATGATGTGTGATGATCAATTAAATTGGTAGTTTTTTACATTTTTAGAATTTCTACCCCTCTAGAATTATTACATTTATTGGCAAAAAATCACATCGACTTTGGAATTTAATCAGCTTTAAAAGAATTAGACAAATATGACATTATTCAATAATTAGTGATTAATCTGTTGTGGGTAACTTAACCTTACAGAAGATTAATCTCGACTCAGATGGTTCGGCGGCAACTAATCTCATATTACGAAGCTAAGTGACATGGTTCCGAATCCTCAAATGAACATCATTTCCCTCGAAATAAAAAGTATACCTTATTGATGAGTGCTAATTAACACATGATCTAGGTGAAGAGGAATTTCTTTTCGATCACAACCAATTACCTAACATCTCGATATAGTTCACACACTGTCGAGTCATTCAAACTAATGGCTAAAGTGTAATTTAATCAATAAATACTAGCCAAAAAATGACATTAATCATTATATTCTGAACAATCGGTTCATCATCAGAAGGGGTTTTGTGGAGATTTTAGAAATCTCAAAAGTTGAATTCATGAGTCAATTGAAGCTAGACCACCATGAAAAACCTGGAAGCATTAGACGGCCGCTTCGTCCTAGTATGGGACTCCTCAGCAGTGCGCATCCACGATCCTGCACCCCGCGAGATTCGAACCCAGGACCTGCAAAGATACTTTTATCAACTCTGAATAAGTTGACCGATAATGAAATCTGTTAAAATCATTAGTAAATACATAGGATCAGATGTGACTAGCATCTTTACTCCTAATAGTAATGGATTTTATGGTCCGGGATGTATGTAAACTTTGCAAATTGAATAATTGAGATGTTCATCTTATAGATGAATTTTACACTAACATAATGTTCTCTTTTTTCAATCAAGCCTTAAACGAATGTAAACATTACAAATTCTTGAAACAATTTCACGGTTAACGTATAGTATAAGGATAAGTCAATCATTAAAACAAGAAAACTACTTTAAGGGTTTAGTTATCTCGAGATTCAAAAAATCCAATGACATTTATCTTTTATAGGATCAAGTTTACAGTAAGAATATCTTTGAGATGGTGGAGTTGATGCTGATGATGTCGTTCAAAAGCTCCACGACCAAACCATCCAGCTTAGAGAACAAAACTCCATCAATAAAAATATCTTTGCATGATGCTTCGCAAGACATCTCACATTGTTAGGAAAATTTCTTTTTCTTATCATAAAAGACGAAACAACTGTTCAGTGCTTCTTGCTTTTCAGTGGTCGTCTAACTAGTGTCAGTTTGTGGTTTCAATAAAATAGATTAGTTTATTAAAAGGTAAGTATGTAAACAAGAAATATTTGAAAATTGTATTGGTTGCAAATGTACAAACATAGAGGTTGTATTCCATTTGATCGGATTACTGCTTTTCACTGATTTCCACTTATGAATATGTACACATATCCTTATTGCATGTAATCACTGAAATAGTTACGGTTGACCTGGTTAGTTTCAAAAAAGAAATAAATTATGTGGATCAGTTTACTTACGAATGTTAACATTATTAAATCTTGATGTTGAGTCATGTTCATTGTGAGATCTAGTCACACTAGCCTTATTGCCCTTACTAAACTAGCCTGAGCGGGATTCGGACGTGGGACTTAATGGCTGAAGTTCAGATATCTTAAAATCTGAGTAATTAGTCTATAAACCAAGTTTGAACATTTACTTCTAGGTTCTATTAATTAGTATCACTGAAACTTACCCGGTGATTAGATTTTAATCGATAATCTGAATTAAAACACATGCTACTTTATTATCAGTCTGAGACTGATTATTATAAGTATGTTTAGATGAATTAGACAGAAATAATAACTATATTATTCAAATGTTGACAAAGTTACCTTAGAACTAAACGATTCTTTACTATTTATGATACATTGAAATAATCAGAAATTAGCCAAATGATCAGTGCATATGATTAACTAAGAAATGACTTATATTACTTAGAAATGTGACACTATTAGAGTAATAAAATCTTCCCTCCTGCTATAGATTTTCTCACTTATGTAAGCTTGAGTATCAGTATCAATATCCAACACTCATATTATAACAGCTTAGAGATATTGTTAAGAACATCTATATCCAATGAAATAAAGATACAATGAGGTAAGATGTACCGAAGGTATTAAAAATATATATAGCAGTTCACGTCCAATTGAGTTTGTTCACACTTAATTCGGTTCAATCCTTTTGTTAACATATTTAACGGATAGAGTCATCCGTACAATAACAACTTACTGTACGGCGAGACGATAATTTAAGGACGAATCAATCAGATTTACGACAAGAGATTTTGGCGCGAAATTCATTCACCCATTTGTCTAAATAAAGTCTTGTTATTATAGCTGATGTTAGTTCGTGATGAAAACCCTGAATCTGATTGCCAACCGTAACCATCAATTGTAAATCATAATCCCTATTCTTTAAATTGCTTTATAACCCTCATTTAGCCCTGGTAAGTAGGTAGACACTCAAGGTCACTTCAGCGTCACTCAAAGATCGTCCATAAATTATAGTCTCACCGATTGTACCTTTATTATTGCTGCGCTTATATAAATATGTATGCTTGAGCATTGCTTACTACCTATGCATATATTCATTCTGTTAGCTTTAATGTTAGTCACTTAATTGATTCGATGATCCATTCATTTCCTTATGTATAAATGTATATATTTACATTTTTATCTTATTCATTGAGTCGCTCATTCGACTTGCGAACTCACATGATCGCTCGGTCACTCACTCACTCACTCATTTGCTCATTGGCATTAGCCTTTCATTCTTGTTTCGCGTATCTATAATTTTGGTTATCTCTAAGTCGTGATGTAATAATACATATAATCGATACACTTTATATTCACCTTCTGATTAAAATACACCACTGAAGCATTATCGAATGACAATTATCAAGACTAATTATATATAAAGTTTTTTTCACTTTTTTTTCTTTCTTTTTTTGTTTTTCTTTTAGGTGGTGTATTATACATGTTTCCATTAATCAATAGTTTTGTGCATATTATTATGTATACTTATTATGGTTTAGCAGCAATTGGTTATTATCAATATTTATGGTGGAAAAATTATGTGACATTAATACAATTAATACAATTTTTATGGTTTATTATACATCAAGGACAATTTATAACATTTAATTATCATTGTAATTTTCCTAAAATATTCCCCATTATTGTATGTTTATATTCTTTTCTATTTTTTATATTATTTTTAAATTTTTATATAAAAGCATATTGGAAAAAAGAACGTTTAGTTAAAAAATTAAAGAAAAATTGAATAAGAAAAATATTAAAAACATTTTTGACGAAAAAAAAACAGAAAAGAAAAACAAAAAAGAAAAGAAACATGATCGATTATTATTCATTTAAATAAAATGAAAAAATGGTAATATGATATTACATAATGAAAGAAACAAATTGGATGGTTTAATAAAACCGAAAAAAATAAAAAATTTTAAAAAATTTAAAAAATTAAAAATTTAAAAAATTTTAAAAATTAAAAATTAAAAAAATTAAAAAATAAAAAAGATTAAAAAATTAAAAAATCAAAAATTTAAAAATTTAAAAATCAAAAAAATTAAAAATTAAAAAATTAAAAATTAAAAAAATTAAAAATTAAAAAAATTAAAAATTAAGAAAAGTTAAAAAATTAAAAAAAGAAAATAGAAGAGAAAAATAAATGAGAAAAACAATTAATTCATTCATTGATGAATTTAATAGACAATTGAACTTTACCATTATTTAATAAATAATTGTAATCATTGTATTCTTTTTATTTATAAAGAATATATGTGTATATGGTTTACTTTCATTATGAATTCATGTATTATTATTATTATTATTATTATTATTATTATTATTATTATTATTATTATTATTATTATGATAACTTAAGGGGTTTGAGCCCCTATCAATATATTGATGTAATGATACTGTCAATTAGAGTATAATGATCTGTTGATCGAATCAATGATGTATAAAATATATATTGAAGGATTCTAGAGTCTTTATCACTTCTTTTTATTGACTAATCTTGCCTGTTAAGTTCTGAACATCAAACTCAGCTATTGTGTTATGAATCATGTATTTTAAAACATACTAGATTTATATACACTAGCCAAATAGATTACATCGTACCATAACATAGAAAAGATGATTCGTACAAGAAAGAGGTTTCTATGGCTAGTGTAGTAAATTTAATGGTTGAGATCATCAGTCAATTAAAGCTAGACTATCATGGAAAACCTGGACGGTTATTGTGAGACTCTTCAACAGTGCGTATCCACAAGATTTAGCTATGTAGTTATAGTGAGAAGCTATGATCAGTGGAGTTCAACTGTGTCTGTTGTAGAGACAGTTACTCACTGAAGACAATAGAAGATGGTCTCAGAATTTCGTGAATTGATTGAAGTTAGACATTAACACCATTTGTTGACAACTTAGTGGTCTAAAGGTTAAGCATTTGCTCATGAGATTGAAGGTCCTAGGTTCGACTTCCATGTTCGGGATCGTAAATACACACTGCAGAGGAGTCCCATATTAGAACGAAGCGTCCATCCAGTCCTTCCAAGTTTTCAATGATGATCTAATATTGATCTATTCATGATACTCATCTAAACTCATTCATCTCCACAACATTTTACACATCATGATAATTCAATTATAAAATTCATTTAGACGTTAGTTACTTTAAGTTGAAAATCTTCATTATATTCTTATAACATAATCAATAAATTTCATTAACCAAACTAGTGAAATTTTCAACTCATCAGGTTACATACCATTTTTCTTGACCTGAATTCAATAAACAAAGAAAAAAATCTTTTTTTTTTCGAAAAAACAAAACAATCACTGATTAAAATTTAACTCAATATGTATGGAACATGTAGAAACCTAGTAATCAATGTTCACACGTACATACACTCATTCACATGTACACGCACACACTCACACTTGTACCCCCCCCATTACATATATATATATATGTACATACACACAGAAACAAGTACAAATGATTGTGTAATTACAAGATGGAATAGATCTGATAAATATGATATATTTGCATGATACATTTAGAATAACAAAATAATGAATTAGTTACTAGTTAGTGATCATGATCAAGCATGACAACTGTAAGTTCAAATTGTCAACGAGTGACTATATGAAAAGATAATAATAAATTTCATAATATGAATTAAGATATTTAACGGATCATCTTTTGTTTCTATGACCTAAATAAGATTCAATGAATAGTTACAAATGAATTAAAGAGTGGTATAGTATACACATTGAAACAATTCTGATTATAGATAAATGATATTCTATGTAGTAATTTAAACAATTGAATTGATGAGAACTTACAATCATTGGATGATTGTTTTCATTTTAGTATAAAACTCCTGAACAGAGTACGTTCATGGACATACATGTGAGAGTTGAACTTAAGAGTTTCAATCTTGTGAGAGAATACTTAGTTTTTAGATCAATGAACCAATAAACAATGGTGTTAATGTTCAAATAGAATTGATCCATGACCTTACTCAACTCATTCATCTATTATATGAGGTGAATAACTATCTCCATACGACATGGATTGGACTCAATTGGTTACGGTATCTCATTATAACTCCAGGAAATCTATTTAGAAGCTAGTCACTAGTGAGCATATGATTATTTGTACTTGTAAACTGTCTTTCGATGGATATTAAATGTGTTTTGATTTAAACATTTAGTATGGTAAATATTAGTAGACTTAAATGTATTCCATTTGTAAAAGTTAGTAAGGTATAAAACATCATAAAAATTTCCCTCGTCTATGTATATGACTAAAGTATGAATAATAGACGTCAGTCACAACGTAGAACCCGTGCTTATGTCCATGTGTTCAAGTTTCAATACTCTGTTAACTTAGACAGATCAAATTATCAGGTACAATTTCAGAAAAGTAAAGGTGTTAACAGTATCAGAGGTTATATGAAAGATTAGGCATCAGAAATACAATTCGAAACCCCTAGATCACTAGGCCAATAAGCAACGGTGTTAATGTCCAACTTCAATCGATCCATAACCTTGCTCAACCCATTCATTCACTATTTGAGGTGGGTAACTATATCCACCCGACACAAAATTAATGAAATAAACACACAAAAAAGGTTATGACAAATTCAAAAGCTTATATCTTTGTTTCAGCTTTTTTACTGAATCATTTGACATTTAGTGCAATTATTCACCAGCATGCATTAGAATTGTGTCCATCGAAGTATTGTCTAAATTTAAGAGGATTACTAACAAGCGGTGATCGATCATAACTGCCTAAGTCATACTTCTAGTTATTGTAAATTAATATTCGTAAGTGGAAAACAAACTTAGCTGATGAAATGTATTCAACTAACTAACGTAATTACTAACAACATATGCTCAGATGTCTGTATTACTAGCTATGCACCAATTGCACATTTTGATTATACAGAAACCACACATGGAATACATGGTTAGCTATTTCTTAAATGGGTGTTTTACTTGTTCATTTGAACATAAAAACATTGGTACAAGGAGGCGTGAAATAGATATGCACGACATAAATCATTCGATTTGTTTGTTGGCTTTGATACTGCCCAGGTACTCAGACCGTAGCAGGTAGTTTTCTTAGGGGGCCACTCCACGAGCTCTTGACCTAAATGTCTGATCCACAAGGCAGTGGAGCAACGTCAGGATATGCAGTCCCATGGTAGCTGATGACCGACAGTAGATTCATACGCCATTTGTCCCATCAGGATCGTGGAATTCATGTGCACCACTGATTTGGAATCAGGGTTTCCAACTCCCTAAGTTGGATCCTCCATATCCAACACCAAGTGACGGATATTCGCTTTTCATCCTCTCGATTTCGTAGAGAACACCTCCTTCACGAGTAGGCAATGAGAAGGCCATCCCTGGGAGTGGTTGTATGCGCGTGGCTACGTGAGAGCATTTCGAGTAACAAGAAACCAACTTCTAGTGATTTCAGGTTTTCTATGTAGGTCTAGCTTAAATCGACTTATGAATTCAACCATTAAAATTAAATACGTGCCTTTCATAATGATAATGATTTTAAACAAAATTATTCATCTTCTTAACAGGTAATAATAACATTCATAATAATAATACATGACTTCGTCATTTTACATAAACAGTAAAACATGAACTACTAATGTTGAACAAAGCACAATAGTCTTACATGTAAAGTTACACAAATGGATAAGTAGACAGATAGAAGATTCCTTTCTAAAATACACAGAAATGTGACATAATTTGTGACTTTGACGAATAGAAAAACGAAAAAAGAATATGATAAGGCGAGCAGCCCAACTTTTAGACGTAATATGAAATGAATCAACGAATAAATATGAGATGAATATAGTAATCTATGTTAGTTCTATACACACTTAGATAATAAAAGATATATACATGTATTTTCAACAGTTGAGATCATGAGTCAATTGAAGCTAAACCTGTAAGCAATGGATGGCCGTTTCGTCCAATTGTAGGACTTCTCAGCAATGATCATCCACAATCCCACCTCGCAAGATTCAAACCCAGCATCTATATAATAGATAAGTCAAAATTACAAGATGTATAATTAAAGTAGTTCGCTGTGTCATTGAATAAAAATAAAGAGAATTCAGTGAGGAGAATTATCTTTCGGACGATCCATTAATTCAAGCCCGGACTCTGCGTACAAAAAATAATGCGTCCAATCGCTTAGCCTTCCTTGGCCTCAATTCTCTTCTTCAATGTACTTTGATCTTGTTTTACATCTGTTATTATTATTATGTATTCTTTTGATCGAAATCATGAACCGATTGATGTTAGACAACCATTGAAAACCTGGGAGCACTGAACGGCCGTTTCGTCCCATTGAGGGACTCCTCAGCAGCGCCTTCAGTCTCGCGCGCTAACGCTTAACCTACTCTACCAGCCGGTATCAAATAGTGTTAGTGTCTAACCTTAACCAATCTACGAAATTGCGCGACTATCTTCCACTGTACTGAGGTAGATACCTATCTCTACTCGACATGCATTAGCTCCACTGGTCACGACTTCTCACGAGAACTCCGAGAATTTTCTCACGAAGCTAGTCACTAGTGAGAATATGGTAATTATCAGTGTGGGGTTGTGGAGATTGGTAAGCTTTTGATTGAAATCATGAACCGATTGATGTATTCTGTTAATTCATAATCAGTTATTATTATCCACTAACAATTTCCCATGATTTTTATGACCATCACGGTTTCTATT